AACATAATCAAAAATAAATATGGATCCAGGCTCAAAAGGAGCACCTTGATATGTGCTTGAGAACGGCTTTGTCTCCATTCAAACCAGGTTTAAAGCCTTGCAGGGCAGCATAAAGCCCACTGCTCCCATTAAGCCAGAAAAAAGAAAGAGAAAAAATAACAGTCAGTTAGTTCAGGTGTTTTATAAAATATGTTAATGAGGACATTTTCTCTGTACCAAACTGAATGATTGTGATCTCTACTTCAAAAAACACTTTAGATTTTAAAATAGATTTAAAAATAAATTTGTAACATGTATGCATAAAAACCTAATTTTATTTCAGTGTTAAATTCTATTTAAAGTAACAGTTTATAATCAAAAATGTCTCCGGACCTTTACTGGCTTTTTTTATTCAAACCACAGTGATTTTTAATTGGTTACCCCTGAAATAGACATTCTGAGACAAATCTAAAATGGTGTAACCACTATATAGTGCCCTATATAGTGATCAGGGCGGACATTCGGACGCAGCCTCTGTCTTGCCTCTTTATCGTTATTCACATTTATATGCAAACATTTTTAGATTTGCTGGAGGGACAGCAGCTCTGATTTGCTGTTATGTTTCTTTTCTTTTTTTTTTTTGGTTTTAAAAGTAGAATTGATAATATTGTTTTTCTGTCTTTATGTGTGGTAAAGCTTTCATGCGGTGCACTTTTCAAGGGCTGCCTCTTCAGGCCTATCTCCACTGCTAACGTGACTTTAATGTCATCTCTTTAACTTTAATCTCTATCTGCTCCAGGCAGGGTTATAGCCTTCTTTTAAAAGCCCAGACTTATATTGCTGGACTTGTTTTAATTCCTTATCTCAGACAGGCAGGGCTGCAGGTTAGAAATGGCCAAACGGTGCAGCATATTGCTTCCAGACACCCGCTGTATTGTAAATGTCAAATCCTTCGCCTTTAAGGTCTTCTGCTTTGATTTCCATCATGCGTGTAAAAAAATGTGTCTGAGACCAACGCAGCATCCATCCTGTTTCTAGTTATTTTCTGATGAAATCTTTGGCCAAGCTGCAGGGGGGGGGAGCCAAAAGCTCTAATGTGACAGAACAGAGTGACTCACAACACGATTACATCAATACTTGTTGTTCCTTTCATTTCTGACTTTCTGGTCTTTTTCTCTCCGACTAACTGCAATTGTTTGATGTCTAAAACCCAATTTGTTTGTTTCCAGAGGACCCAGTTCAGACATTGTGATTGTTTGCATTCTCTAATTAAATACAGAGCATTTGCTTTAAAAAAAAAACCAAAAAACAACCTCCAACATAACATCCTTATGGACCAATGTTCTATTCTGGGAATAAAACAGCAGCAAATGACGAGTGTTAAATGGTCTGAGCTCATGCAGTTGGCAGCGCCGAAGCTTCCGATAGAACGACTTTCTAAAATCCTTTTTAAGTTACCGTCACAGAAGAGACGTTTGTGCAGAAACAGCTGTCAGATGTTTTCATGCTGTTGCTCTCCTTGTTCCCGTTTGAAAGCGGTTAGAGGAACTGCGATAAGTTCATGAAACTCTGCAGCTTTTATAACCCCTAGGCTTCAGATCAGCTGGTTGACTGTCTGAAGGGTTATTTGGTAATCAGATGATTACGTTCCCTGTTTGAAGAAAGCATTTAAAGTTGTTTCTGAATATATATTCAAAGCCTTGGTTTAGAAATTCACTTATTTACAACAGGTCTTTAAAAAGATATAACTTTTTTTCAGTGCTGTCCAGCCATCTTTGCATTTAACTTTCAAAGTCTGGAATATTATGCATTTAGCACCTTTTTAAGACAGGATTTAAACCACACGGACTAGGTTATATGAAGCATATTCTAAAGAACATATTTGACCAAATATTCTCTCAAATAAACCCTGAAAACACAGCCAGAAAAAAACTAAGGAAATAAAATCAGAAAAACACAAACAAACAGTAATAATGTTGGATCTATCCGCCTCTAAAGGAAGATGTGTTACAATTTAAAAGGGTTTAAATTGCTAATCAATATAAATATCTTGGAGAAAATAAGATTACTTTAGGGAGGTGAAACGAGAATTGAATCTAGAAAAAAGAATAAAAAAATGCAAATATTCACCATCAATAAAGTAATCTCAACTAAAAGCTAAAAAGGAGGATTTCTGGTTTAGTTTAATTATCAGTTCTTTAGAGCAGGCTGTTTCTGGTTTTATCATTGTATGTTTATGTACTGTACTTAGGCTCAACGAGTGCTCCACGATCTCCTAGCAACAAGCTAATATAGTCCAGAGAGAAGTTGGCAAATGGAACAAATTGCTGAATATAATGAATATGAACCGTTCCCATGGGAAGAGGAGCTCAGGATTGATCCCAGCGATGTTTGTTTGCCCATTTCTATACTGTCACAAAAACAGTCCTTAAATGACAGGAAGTTAAATGTGCTCCAGGATAAGGTTGCAATGACATGCATTTAGGGGATCTAAATTACCTCTTACAAACCTGTCATTTTCTAAAAAAAAAAAAAAAAAAGTATTGGGAAGATATAATAATGAAAAACCCTTATCTAATCTCTTCTCATTTGCAAATTCTTTATATTAACAGAAAAACCCATTTACTGCATCTACTTGATACTTTGAATTAACCAGGACCCCCAGGCTTTACTGGCCTGGTTGCCATTCCGAACTTAGTCCCGCCCACAAGGTTTGAGGTCGGGAAGTTCGGTCTGGCATTGCTCAATAGTAGCGGGAGTATGCTCGTACAATATCTGGCGGGCCAATCAAATTGTCAGGGCGGGCTTTATACGATGATGGACAGATGATCAACAGTAACGTAATCAACCACGTGACCAAAGCGAGCTTGGGTGACAACAACAATGGCTGCCGCTGGAGAGTTTAGGTGAGTAGATTCTGCTATTAGGTCTGTTCTAGAAGATATCGACAGCAAATTAATTTTAAAAGAGGAACAGAGAAACGCGATCAAGGCATTTGTTGAAAAGAAAGATGTTTTTGGCGTCCTTCCTACGGGATTCGGCAAAAGTTTAATTTATCAGCTGGCTCCCTTGGTCGCTTAACATACGTCACGCACTCCGTTGCTCTTATTGGTTGTAGGTCTATCCAATTGAGTGCAGAGGCATTTTTTTTCCTGGTTCATTCGAAACACGCTCCATAATCACAGCTCTATGGAGCAGTATCAGACTCATATTCTGACTAGAATTGAGTCGGACTACGTCAGGCTAAGGCTTTACAGCCATGCACACTTTATTCTTCTATGATATAATTACATATTTAATGCAGACATATCACCCTCTGTAGACCAGGAATGTTATTACAATTGTTTATGATTTTTTTTCACAAGCTCATGTGGATAACTGTTTGGTGAAATCTTTCTATTAAAAAAAAAAAAAAAAAAAAAATCACTGGTTGTTTTATTAAAACCTTATGGTGTTAAACATTGTTTTATTACCCTGTCAAGAGGAGGTGGCGGCAAATGAAAACATCATTGGATAAGTACAATAAACATGTTTATTTTAGGGCAGATAAATGTTTTCGCAATAACATTTGTTTCATGTTGGATGTTTCATTTATCAGTCAACTAAGTAAAATATATGTGGATTTTTAATGGAAGAAAAGCAAAAACAGTGTTTATTTCCATTTTGTGTTTGTGTTTCTGGAGGCAACATTTTAACAGGCAATGACCAGAACATGTGTTGTTTGTCGTTTATCTTAGATCATTTTTTTAGCTCTGGACTGATTCAGGTTGTGGATTTAAGAAAGGTCAAGTTAGATGCTCCTCTTTGCAGACATAATTTTTTTTGTTTGTAGTTTGTTTTTGATGATGAGCCAATCCACACAAAGATGGATGTTCACTAAACAAACTGAACATTAGTGGTGTAGAAGATGACTAGTGGAAAGTTGCACTTCCTAAATTGTTCTAAAAAGAACGATCTCTGCAGAACCATCTTCTGTACAGAGTCTATCTGTGATGACCACATCCAAGTATTAGAGGGGGGGCAGTAGGGGGTTTGTTCCATTTTTAGTGGATGAAGCTTCTAGTCAGTCTAAATTTACCATTGGAGCAGGTCTGGTTTACCTCCTGTCTGCATGCAGATATGTTGTTGTCCTGGATCAAACCAGTGACAGTGGTGTCACCTGTAAACGTATGGATTTTCACACACAGGTCCACTAAGGTACAGCATCTATATACAGAGAAAAAAGCAGTGGGGAGAGGACACACCCAGGGGGGGCTCCAGTGTTGATGGCCCTGGGGCGGAAAAGGATGCATCCCAAGCTGCTTTACTGCCAGTTAGCCTGGAAGCTGATGATCCATGTCAGAGACTAGTAATGTTGCCTGGGTCAGATTGAGGCTATTAAAAGCTGAAGTCATCATTTAGGATGATGATGTTTGCCACAGAGTGGTTGAGGTGTTAAGGCATGAAGTGTAGGAACAGGATGACTGCATCTCCTGCTGATCTGTTCCAGCCCTGCCGTAAACAGCGCTGGTTGAATCAATAATCACTGTAGTGTGAAATGTTGACTGTTACTGACCTGGAACTCTTAAAAAATGGTATATATATATATATAGTTTGTTATCATATGTTAAATAATCAATGAACATTACATTTAAATGCAAGTGAATGTAATTAGCCACCAACCACTGCACTCCAAGCTAGTGCTGCATGCACTGATAATGCGATGATGAATGTGACTATCTGTTACATATTGGGCAGCCCTAAAAAAAGATCAGACCTTACTAACCACAGAATCATCCAACTTGGAGCTGCTACTGAGGCTAGTGTTTTAATTTGGAAAAACTAGCTAACCGAGTTAGGGTTAGTTAGTTCTTACATGTTTCGGTGTCATTTATCAAGCTACGTTAGAATAGAAACAGCGTTTCTGCTTAGAAGGTTTATTTTTCTCAATATCGTCAGTCTCTTATTTGAATCTGTCCATGTCTGTATTGAATAACATGCTGTGAGACATTAAACCTTCATTATATGTCTCCCCCCCACAGGGCTGCCTTTGCCCTGACAAAGCCGCTCAAGATGAACATGGTGAAAAGGATCATGGGGCGGCCGCGGCAGGAGGAGTGCAGCCCGCAGGACAACGCGCTCGGGTTGATGCACCTGCGACGCCTCTTCTCCGAGCTGTGCCACCCTCCTCGTCACATGACCCAGAAGGAGCAGGAGGAGAAGCTCTACATGATGCTTCCTGTATTTAACCGGGTGAGTCAGATCTATCCTCCAGAGAGGCCCAAGCTGATCAAGAGGCGGGTCAATAAATACAAATCTTATTGTAAGGCTGACATCCGTCATGATGGGTGAAAGGGATTAAGTGTTATGTTTATCTTCCTTCTGGCTGCACCAGTCTGCCAGTACTGGTTTAAATTAGTGGGATTTCCCCCCGTATTCATATAAAAGCTGAGAACATCATGTTCAGTGGAATGAGGTTAGTTTTTCCTGCTCTCCTTCATGCAGTCGTTATTAAATAATCTTCCACTTTTGGTTTTTTAGCCACCTCTGCAGGAGGCATGGTGGGGTTTTTCTCATCAGGCTAAAGAACAACGCTAAGAAACCTTGACTTGCCAGCTAATTATCCATCACGGGCATTGATTCACTCAGCAGCGGCAAGATTTGTTGTCAGATTTCAGTGGCGCTCCTATACAGCGGGTCTCTTCAGACCTACTTTACTGTCAGATTTACTGAAGACACGCGAGGAGTCTTTATTTGATGAAGTGTGGTTTATCTTTGAGCCGCTCTCCCTTAAAGTCTTACATGAAATATTGAGTAAAACAAGAGAGCCACCCTCATGTTTCTCCTACTACACGTTCATTCTTCTCAAGCTGTTATAGAAAAAAGCTAAGTGAAGAATCTGTTTCTGTTTCATTTGGTTCAGGTGTTTGGAAACGCTCCGCCCAGCAGCATGATGGAAAAGTTCTCCGACCTGCTGCAGTTCACCACCCAGGTGTCCCGACTCATGGTGACTGAGATCAGACGCAGAGCCTCCAATAAATCCACAGGTAAGACCCCCGACTCCCAGCTACCAACCTGCCACTGAACTATCTTAATTTTTAATGAAAAAAAAAGACAAACATCTCTTTGCCATCATTGATTCATTTTCTTTTGTTTTATCTGTTAATTTCTTCTCCCCTCGATTGTATCTGTTGTGTTTTACATTTTTCCTGTGTATTGTGTGTAGGGCTGGGTATTTTCACCAAAGTCCTGAATCGATTCCATTTTTGATTCATACCGTTCTAAATCGATAAATTTCGATTCAATCTGTTTTTACAGTAATGAAAATGGTTCAACTGTGTTTCAAAATACTCATGTATTTTATTTTTCTTCCTGTCATATTAAACACAAAGTGCAAACTTGTAAATCAGACAGTTTAAACTTGAGATGTGAACGAAGCTGTCTAAAAAGTGCAAACCTGTTTGTGAAAAGTGAAAATTGTGTGCTGATTAGCCCCCATTTTTTTAATACCTTCAGTCCACCTATTGGCTATATCTGCAGCTGTCTGGCTTGAAGTCATCTTGGTGGTCTGTAGCACAAGATGCGAGGTGCCACTCATTATCAATGTAGTGGGAAGTCACCTTAATGTCATATATCCGGCACATTATCTTTAGCTGTTTTAAATCCAAAATGGTTCCAGACATCAGACTTCAGTTTGGACAGCTTTTTGAGCAGTGTGTTACTTGGGTCAGCATTTGCACACGCCTGCTCATTTCAATGTGAATGTCATGCACATCACTATAAAACTAATCGATCTCATTCCCTACACATCGATTTTGCAAAGATGTAAAGGAATCGATTCAAAATCGATTAAATCGATTTTTTTTTAACCCAGACCTAATTGTGTGACTCTACATGTGACTGGAATCATATCCCCTGAACTCCAGCAGTTATGTCTCCTCACAGAACGCCTGCACACGCACCCCCTCTCTCTGTGTTGTCGTCAAGCAGAAAACATCTCTAACTTAGTAACAGACTTCTCCAGCTGGTCTGCAGCCCTCTGCAGACTGAGTCAGGATGTCATAATGAGTCAGCAGTTCTCTGTCTTCTTTGGTCGTTTATCCGTTTGGTCATAAGAATGGGCAGCTCCAGTTAAGCTCCTGTTTTGGGCTTGATTCTATCTTATATCTGGGGTTACTGGAGACACACCAGGAACCTTCAGCTGTGTTCTTGCCCCGCGTCACGTCCAGCACAATGATTTCTCCAGATCTGTTTAACGTCGCGGCGGCCATCTGTCTGCAACATTGTGCTGTCACTGTCCATCTGTTTCACCACATGATTTTGTTCTTTTTTCTGCAGAAGCGGCCAGTCGAGCCATAGTCCAGTTCCTGGAGGTGAACCAGAGCGAGGAGGCGAGTCGTGGCTGGATGCTTCTGACCACCATTAACCTGGTGGCCTCCTCTGGACAGGTCAGTAAAGAGACCACTGGGCTGGTTTAACAGTCCAGTTAATCAGCAGACAGGAAAAAGTAAAGTGGGCCAATTTGAATCCATCACGTTCCAACCACGAACTTAACAAGATGGATCTCTGCCTATCAGCATAAATTCACAAAATTAATAGCGTTTGCTAAGTACCTGAATAATGATTTTATTTCTTCATTATTTTCCTCCAAATCCAAAGTGCACACACACTAATACAATTTCAGAGAGCCTACATTAGGATGCTTAGATGATCTTTTTGGCCAGAATGCAGAAAACCAACAGCAGGACTCAAAAGAAGCGAGTTACCTTAACAACATTTAATATTTTGGAAAAGAAAGATTATTTGTTGGTTACGGAGTCAGAGCTCTAGTTCAAAGCAATCATTAGTTTTTGTAACAGAGGGGAGTTGTGTCAAGTTGAAAACATTTTTTTTTTTTTTCTAGGAGATTTATTGTTCACAAAGATATATACATTATGTCTTCTTATCAACATATTATTGGCAAAAAAAATAAAAGTTTTTTTTTTAAATGCAGATTTTCTTTTAAACGTGCTGTTGATTCACACTGTTCTTTATTAAACCCTACCAAAAGACATTCTGCTTTTGTTTGTAAAGCATCCTTTCATAAATTTATATCTTCTTTAATTTTATATTTATTTGTTCCTTACAAATAGCTAAGGCTCATTCAGACAGTATTCCTGGATCAGTCTCTGCTTAAGAACAGTTTCCTCCCTTCTGCTATTTTAGTAATCGTTTAATATTAAACCTAATAGAGTAATCAGCTGAAAAAAAAGTCACATTTTGTTGATTGTCCACTCAGTTACATAAGCTTATTTTATGAGCTGCAGGAAACTTGACCAAAAATGCAAAACATTCAGTTCCTTTTTTTGATCAAGAAAAAAATAGATACATTTGCAGCAAAAAAAATTAAAAAAATACCGGCATCAATATTTACAAAGCTGGGCTGTTTCTGTTTGACTAAACATTAATACAAGCTTCCTCTGTGCAGAAATGAGAATGTAAAAAAAAAAAAAAAAAAAAAAAAGGGGGGGATAAATTTGCACTTGCGTACTGTGACTTTTATTTCTTTCTGCATTATAAAGCATAGATCTATGTAAATAAAACAGAATTCTTCTAGCTTAAGGGTCACTGACACTCTTATTTTTGGTGCAACAAAGACAACAAGTTATTAAAAAGGTAACCTGCTTTAAAAAAAAAAAAAAAACTATCCTCACAGCTGCAGCTGCCTGAATCCCTCTATGTTTTAACATAATGGTACGGTCCTGCAGCTGACCAATCAAAACAAAACTTCTGCTGAAAGTGCTTGCAGTGATAAAAGCTTTAAGTAGCGCTGAAGCCCTAAGCTGTTACGACCAAAGCTCGGTCGTCGCTAGCCGGCTAACTACAGAGTTTTCTGGTTTTGAATTTTAAAGTAAACCAACACTTTTAAAACTTTCTTTTTCTGGCTTTTTGTCCCTTTATTACGGATAGTGGCACTTTGCATCCACCCAGCAGGAAATCATTAGCGGTACCTATCATCACAGAACACATTGCTTGTTACATTGCACAAAGCATTGAGGCGGATGAGTAGCCTCAATGAATTTTAGAAATCAAGGTCCCTGAATCCTTTGATGAACGGTTACAGCCCTATTTCCCATTGCATAATGGTGCCTCTACCATGTCAAAGAGGGGATGGGGTGTCCAGGGTTATTGTTTCCACACAGAAATGTTCAATTGCTCTTTCTGGTGATTTTTCTTTTACCGAGCACTTTCCAGAAAGCAGAATTTATTAGGGCAAAACAGATGCATGTCATGTTTTCTTTCTTCCCAAAATGCAATGCAATGCTTGTGACATAAAAAAAACAACTTTTGAACTTTTCAGAAGGAATTCCTTAGAAAGTTTTTTTTTGTTGAGCACTGGCGTGAGACGGCTGGGAGCTTTTCCTGCTCTGTTGCACAACAGAAATTCACCGCTGTTGTTTCCCACTCAAACACGCTCTCCAAGACATGTGATGAACCGCTTTCTCATTCTGCTTTGCATGTCTGTTCTTTACTGATACCATGAGCCTGCAATATCAGAGCCCAGCATGGTCAGAAAACACGTTTTTAGCATTTATTGAATGTTATTTCCTCTTTGTTCCCAATGTAAATAATATAAAGTATTTAGTGCTGAAACAGTTAATTGGATTCATTAGATTAATCAGATTAATCGGGAATAATCGATTAATTGTTAACTGTATAGAGACTCTAACATGTGTATAGCTGAAAGAGCAACCCACTTAGAGCAGTAATTATATCAAAATTGTAAAAAATTATATATATATAAAATCATTTGCATTCAAAGGTATAGTGGAGGATGTTCTTTTTCTGGTTGGATCATCAAAATAAGTGGTCCAACTAATTGTCAATCATCCTGGTATGTTTACTTAAGGCTGTCCTTACGTTTTAGTTTGTTGATATGGTTTAAATTCTTAATCGTCTAACATCCAATACATACTGTATCTTCCATATGACTGACACTGATGTAAATTCTGGTGATGCTGCCTTACAAAAAAGTTTCTTTAAAACATTGGTCCTGTTCCAACCTCGTAATTAAAGAAGCTCATAGCTGAGACTATGAACCAGAGGCAGAAACCCTCATCTGGCTCTAGTTAAAAGAACTGCTGTCATGACATTTCTACAGTCTGTTGAGCTCAAACGTAATATTGTTTCATTCAAGCAGGAACTTTATTTCTTTTAGAAAATAAAACAAGTTTCTTTTTAAATAAAAATGAAGTTTTAATCTTACAAATTATTCTGTTTTTATCAAGCCTCATCCTGGAAATCAGCCTCCTACATGCGTTTTCTGTATCAGATTTAGTTCTGGACTCCTGCTGGCTCGCTCCTAAACATTATATAGTTTCCTGTTTGAAGACGTTTGTTGGCAGATTTAAAAGATTTTCTAAATCAGATTATCTAAATCTGCTAAGGGTATAAATGAGTTGGGACTGAACTGTGTTTGCACGTCACTAAATAAATAAAAACTCTCACTTACCGAATCATACAGTCAAAAGGTCAATAAGGACTTTTTTTTTCTAGAAAGTGGAAATAATAACCTTAATGTTTTGGATCAGGCTGTTTTTATGACTCAGTAGATATAATGGGAACAATAATACTTAGGTTCACTTACATGAGAGCGATAGTAGGAAAAACAGTTGTTAAATTAATTTAAATAAAAGGGTTTAGTATGTCTTTAGTCTTAGAGCTCAGCTTATATTGTATAAGAATACCATAAAATGTTATATCTGGTGTGAAATAGAGTAGATATGCGAGTAAGGATCAGTTTTTTTGTGTGATGTCTTTCGAATAATAAAAATTTACTTTTTGAAAACTGTTATATAAAAAAAATTATAAAAACTATTAGAAAAATTACCATATTTTCTGCTTTTTCTGTGTTTGTCTGTGCAAGAGTGAAGATCATAATTTGATCCTTTCTTTGGGTCTCAGATGGTCCTCCAAGGACTCTTCTAGCAGCTTTTCTGTAAACCTTTCTTATTCTCCGTCTCGCCTCCTGCTCCTCTTGTTTCACCTGCTAAAACAGCTCTTTTCTCACACACCCGGCTTTCATAGGACGGCCTTCCCAGTCTCCTTGCGTCTCACTCTTGTTGACACAGAGTGACTCTTTCAATGTGTTGTCTCCACTCGTCTGTGTGGTTGTGCTGCTGTTGCAGAGTTAATTTGTCAGTTTCCCCCTGTAAATATCCGCACACACCTCTCCATCTAGGGCCTCTGCAGGTGAGGCTCCATTCTTCTATTATGCTGACTCTCCATCCTCCATCTTCTCTGGCCTTTTTTTAGTTTCACCATTTTTCTCTCCCTCCCCCAATCCTTTATCGATCAGCTGAAAGGTATTTTTTTTTTTGTCTCTGAATGTGACAATTTTCCACATTTAGAAAGTGTTTGATTTAGTCACAGAGTTTTTTCTCCAGCGTGTGTAGGAGGCTGCGTTTTATTAGACCGATGGTTTGCCTGAGCGAGCACAGATCTCATCTCTTCATACAGACCTCTAGTTTCCCATCATCACGCAAACTGTAAAACGCACTCGTGACAAAACACTCTTCAGGCTATTATATGGCGACTCTCGCTTATGTTTTCTTCACAGCTCCTCGGCAAAGAACCCACATATATAAAAAACACAAAAAAGCGATTTTCAGTGTCACACTAAATATAAGAAACTGTGTCTTTATTTCTGTTATGTGGAGGAACACGCCTACTGCTCAGCTAATTTGGCTGTTAACGCAAACCAGAATAATTCTGGAAACTCTATTTTAAATTGCTTTAATTATTTCACAGATGGGAGCTGGACATTTTCCCATTCACCGTTTTCTTCCTTTGTAGTTTTGTTTAATTGGCTCCTGAAATATTCTGAGAAAAGCCCAGCATTTCATGCCAACAAGGGGTCAGTTCATACCTGCCAAAATGTGTTGATGCTGTGAACTTTGGGTGCTTTTTTCCCAGTACATATTATCTTGAAGCAGGTGGTTGCTTGGAGACATTTTGCTGTAATTAGAGCTCATCATCTCCCGCTTTCTTAGGGTTAATACACAGTTTTCAAAAATAAAACGCATTTGAAATAGAAAAAAATATCATATGAGATCTGATTATTTTGAGGACAAATTTATTAGGGTTTGTGAAAAATACATGGAGCCACATCTAGACATTAAAGCAATGTTAAACAATCCAATTACATCAAAGCAAAATTAAATCATCGACCCACATCGTCTTCTTCAACACAGTAAACAGGTGATCTGTTGTAATCATTTTTATAATTTAAAAGAATGCTTTTTGGGATCTGAGAACTAAAATTATGTCTGAGTTGTTTTGTGAGTTGATATCAATGTCTCAATGATGGGGCTATAGCATCGCATGAATTGCAGACTTGTGAGTTTAATTGAAAATAAATTGTTATCTTTAGTTCATGTAGAAACCGAGCTGCAGGAAATGATGAATCAATATGAAATGTTTTAAGTTAAAGTGGTGTGAAACGGAAGGTGGGAATGAAATGACAACCCTGAGTTACAATCGGCACACAGGCGAATTGATCAGAAACCTCTAAATGCAGGTCAATGTGTGCAATAGTGAATAAACAAGGATAATATTTCCTTTTTTAATATGAATTTTGTATGATAACGCCATGCAACAAAGCTATGATCGAGTTGGCATAACTTTAAAGTTGTTAGCATGGCAGCATTTTTGGGACTCTGAAAACAGTAAACTATATGGGACCACTATAGGACCCTACAACCAACAGTTAACATTAGTAGCATCAATATGGCCTAACCCCGCATCATAAACTCTATTTCACTGTACTTTATTATAACACAGATTAGGAAAGTAAGTCATTTTATTTGTATAATTGGATTGATCTGGTTATATTTTTATTTTTGAAAATGATAACTGTTATTTTATGAAAAAAATAAACGTTATGCTCCCATTGTGAGAGATCAAAGAAAATTACATTTAGTTTTGTTTTCTTATTATTTTTTCCAGAAAAAAAAAAGAAAAAACAAGGATTAAAGAGAAAGATTTAGGGGGAATGGTTTTCTTTTATGTTTTAAACACTAAATGATTAAATTGAAAGTCCTTCTGTTTGGATGTGTGGAAGTTTACCACAAAGTGTTGACATGTTTTTCTCTATGGTTAGCTCCCTCTGAGTCTGACTCCTTTTTAATTAACATTCAACCTTTCTCTTTTGTCTGACCCTCAACAGAAAACCGTGGACTGCATGACAACCATGTCCGTCCCCTCCACACTGGTCAAATGCCTCTACCTGTTCTTTGACCTTCCCCATATGACCGACGCCCCTCCAGGCCCCACCCCTCCACCGCCACCACCCCCACCCAACCAGGAGAAGACTCCAGGCCAGGCCCACACTCAGCCTGAGCTGCCACTGGCGGACCGCCGGGCTCTGCTGCAGAAAGTCTTTGTCCAGGTAGAAAAAAACTAAAACATTTTTTTACAACCACTTTTTTTTTTTTTCTTCAGCAATCAGTTAATCTCTTTCATCATAACCATCAAGGCCCAAAAACGTGCAAGCAGACTTTTAGAACAGAAATTTGTTAGAGCCTAATTGGCCCGGTGTTTGTATTTTTCTCGTTTGTAGAAAATGCTTACGCTCTTTGGTCTAAAGGAAAAAAATCAAAATAAGATCCACTTAAATGTGGCAAATAACTAACCTGAGAAGAAGCAACTTGCAGATCTTTTTAGCTCATGTTATTGCTGATTTAAAGTGTTTTGGAGATCAATGATGCCAGCTGCAGGAGGAAACTTTCCTCATGATGAAAGATGTTCCCACTCTTGGAAAGGGTAGAACATTTCCAATTAGATTCCATTCTGCTTCAACAGATCCTTGTGAAGCTCTGCACCTTTGTGTCTCCGGCGGAGGAGCTGGCCCAGAAGGACGACCTGCAGCTGCTGTTCAGTGCCATCACCTCCTGGTGCCCGCCTCACAACCTGCCCTGGAGGAGGAGTGCAGGCGAGGTGCTAAGCACCATCTCCCGACACGGACTCAGCGTCAATGTGGTCAAATACATACATGGTAGGACATTTATGATGCTCAAATAAAAGCAACCCAGAAATGTTGCTCTGACCCAGCTGCAGCTCATGCTGCTATTTATTGGCTAGGAAAAAAAGCACTGATCGTCATCGGTTCAGCTCATTAGACCAGAATCCTTCCAAACCTGGAGACCTCATCCCTCTTTCAAAGCTGACTCTCTATCTGCTAGCAGGGTTGTAGTGCATGCATTCAGCTACCTGTAACACTCAGGGAGAATGAATGACAGCATCTGAAGGGCGCAGGGTTCATGTTTTCTTAGCGCTTTTCTTGCGTGTTTGCCCTTATAAGGATGTGTTTAAAAAAACAGTGTCAGCAGCTGTTAAGCTTATTTAAAGTCAATGTATCGGCCTAATTTCTGTGCCATTTAAAACATGTCGGTGTAACAAGCATTGAGGGAAGGGAACCTAGATGTCAAAGGGTTGATAAGCTCATAAAGAATGAGTGTAGCAGACTGAATGTCAGCATACTGAGACAAATTTTAACATAGCCTCTCACTACGCTGTAATACAGGGTGACAGAGAACCTTGGCTTGGTGGAAAAGTGACGTATACTCCTACATGTAAACAACAGCATAGCAGCAGAAACCCTTTTATTATTCCTGCTTCTTCTCATCCATCAGTGCATTGCTAGAAGAAGGATTTGTTGCCAGTGCATGATGTTGTTCAGTCCGTTGTAAAAGTCTAGGGGTGAAAGAAAATCGGGCTGAACGTAGGTGGGATTTTTCTCACTTTTACCGACCCCTGGATTGATCCTTGGACTATGAAGGAGCCCAAAACAGGAGGGTAGATGGATTAAATACACTATACACCTTAGAAATAGTAAGTGTGCAAAATGTAATTATTAAGTATAGCTGTAATATAACAACATTAATAGACTGTAAAGAGGAATAAAGATCAATATATTTGCTGAAATCTAAAATATTACAAATTAAAACACATAGTCAGAAAAAAAGTTTTAAAAGTAGAGAAAATAAAATAATTATTTGCAATAAAATAGCAATTGATAATGAATTATTAAAGTTGAGTTTTTCTTTTAAACTCAGCAACACAGCTGTTCTCCTTTAGGCTTTAGGGAGGTTGCTCCAAAGATGGTCATAATGAAAACCGACTCTTCACCCTGTTTCAGCTCAGTTTAAAAACCAACAGGAAACCTGAGGCTTTTGAAAGATAAAAGCAAATCCATGAAAAAGGTAGAAGTAGTAAAAAATACTCATGTGACTTTCTTGAAAAGGAATTTCCAGCTTCTTTTTTCTTACATGAAGGCAGGTAGAAAAAAAAAAAACTTTCTGTGAAATCATGATGAAAGCTAACAGGCAGTATGTTTTTTGTAACTTTCATGTTTTCCTCCCAACTTCTCCACCCTCCATCTCTTTCCAGAGAAGGAATGTCTGTCCACATGTGTCCAAAACATGCAGCAGTCTGACGATCTCTCCCCGCTGGAGATCGTTGAGATGTTTGCCGGCCTGTCATGCTTCCTCAAAGACTCCAGCGACGTATCGCAGACGTTGTTGGATGATTTCAGAATGTGCCAGGGCTACGCCTTCCTCTGCGACCTCATGCTCAGGTACAGCCTCCAAACCCTTGTTTTTTTTGTTTTTTTTTATTAGTTGTTCACACATTTACTCAAATTGCCCAAACCCCAAAACAAACAAAAATTGTTCTCTTTCCAGACTAGAACAGGCTAAAGAGGATGAATCTAAAGATGCACTAAAGGACCTGGTGAACTTGGTCACTTGTCTGTGTACGTATGGTGTGACGGAGCTGAAACCTGCGGGCCTCACAACCGGAGCCCCTTTCCTGCTGCCAGGATTCATTCTGCCTCAGCCGTCTGGGAAAGGTATGCTACCAGAACATACAAGGATTTCTAGACAAAGTTTCTCCGATCCTAGTTTTATGCTTTTATCTCAATGTACAGTAAGGAAAATAAGTATTTGAATACCCAGGTATTTTTCAAGTTCTCCTACTTAGAATTCATGGAGGGGTCTGAAATTGACATTGATGGTGCATGTCCACTGTTACAGACAAAATCTAAAAAAAATTAATTTAAGAAATCACAATGTATGATTTTTTTACTATTTGTTTAATACAGCTGACAAAATCAACATTTATATTTGGTACAGTAGCCTTTGTTGCAATTACAGAGGTCAAACATTTCTTGTAGTTTTTCACCAGGTTTGCACACAGTGCAGGAGGGATTTTGGCCCACTCTTTCACACAGATCTTCTCTAGATCAGTCAGGTTCTGAGTTTGAACTCCCAAAGATTCTCTTTTGGGTTTAGGTCTGCAGACTGGCCACGCCAGAACCTTGATATTCTTCTTCCAGAGCCATTCCTTGGTTATCCTGGCTGTGTGTTTCGGGTCATTGTCATGTTGGAAGACCCAGCCTCAACCCATCTTCAATGCTCTAAGGGAAGGAGGTTGTTCCCCAAAATCTGTCAGGACATGGCCCCATTCATCCTCTCCTTAATACACTGTACTTGCCCTGTCCCATGTGCGGAAAAATACCCCCAAAACACGGTGCAACCACCCCCATGCTTCACAATAGGGACTCATCATTCTTCTTCCTCCAAGCATGGTTTGTGGAATTATGACCAAAAAGTTCTAATTTGGTCTCATTTGACCACATGACTTTCTCCCACGACTCCTCTAGATCATCCAAATGGTCATTGACAAACTTAAGACGGGCCTTGACATGGGCTGGTTTAAGCAGGGGAACCTTCTGTGCCTTAGTGTATTACCAACAGTAACCTTGGAAACAGTGGTCCTAGCTCTTTTCAGGTGTCTGGTCTTGGCCAAATTAGTAGTTGGATTCTCACTGATTGTATGGGGTGGACAGGTGTCTTTATGCAGCTAACAACCTCAAACAGGTGCATCTAATTTAGGATAATAAGTGGAGTGGAGGTGGACATTTTGAAGTCATTTTTTTTTAAGATTATATCTTGTCTGCAGTGAACATACACCTGGAATGACAATTTCAGATACCTCTGTGATTGTGGTAAGTGGGAGAACTTGCGATATAACAGGGTGTTCAAAAATTATTTTCCTGACTGTAGATATACTTGTTCTAACACTTTTAATTTAACTGTTTTTCTTTAGGGTACTGTTATATAAACAAATGTAGGCAATAAAAAAAAGCAGCACAGGCATATAAGTGGTTTTATTGATAGTCACAAGACTGATCTTTGATCAGATGATGGGCATCAGAATGATTCTCTACCTGAGTTAAAGAAACTAAGACTCAATGGAATCATGTAGAGATGGGTACTGCTGCTGTTTATGGATTGAAAATGTCTTAAATTGGAAGGCAAATAAGCCTCTTTTTTTGTTGCCATGACCAGCATGACTGGGAACAAAAACAGTTTCCGAACAGCACACGCCTTAAGTCTACAATCAAAGGGCACAGAGCAGAAAATATCTTTTCGAGAGTGCAAATCCAGCTCATCAGCAAAATATAAGGTGATTTTATTTTATCCTTGATGCACTCACAAAGAGAAGAGGTAAAATCCATGTCCAAATTTCAGAGCATCTCCCAGAAGCGACTCTGCAAGAGGTTATTGGTTTCACTGAAAAGCCACAGCTCACACAAAACTCGAAGAGCAACTAAATACAAATAGCTTAAATTCCAGTCTCTTCTAGTGGAAATGAGGGACACCTCTGTTACCAGCAGATTGCAGACATGAACATGGGGACAATTCACACCAAGTCACCTAAAGCCTGTGGATAAAAAAAAAAAAATCTCTCAAATAGAGAATTTACCCAGTCAGAACTGAATGTTCTTTCAGAGGCTCTCAGTTTTTTGCAGTAACCACTAAGCAACTTCCAGTAACAGAACTGATTACTGCCACTATCAGCCATCAGAAATAACAACATGGCAGAGGGAAAAGTGGAAAAACTTTGGTTGAAAGTTACAGCTGCATACTCTAGTGCAAAATTGCCCATTTCCAACATTATCAAACAGGAAATCCTGGGGCTTACCTCTCAAGGTATAGATAACAATATCAGCATTTTGCCAGCAGACAGAGGTAGATGCACAGGGGTACTCAACACAACTGACTTAAATGAGAAAATAATGACTTACATGACTGACTTACATGAGATAATTTACATATGGATAGTAAAGGCCGATTTATGCTTCTGACGCATAGCCTCTGCTACTGTCAAATCTGTGTCTGTACGCGACCGCGCTCCCCGCGCAGAGGCTCTGCAACAGTCGTTGCGCACCTCAGAATATCCTGACTACGCGTCGGTCGGTCGCAAAGCTGCACAAACCTCAAGCGGAAGTGCGCAGACAAAAATCAGCTGTGATTGGTCCTTGGTATGCCTTTCCAGCTGTCTATGTGGCCTTACATCTCGATTCAGTGTCGGTGCTCGCCATTTTTAAAAACCTAGGAACAACTACAATGGACAACTACGACGAATGGTTAATCAGTCTTTATGCCAATTCCATTAACAGAACCTGTTCCTCTTCAATGTTTAGCAATGCTAGATCCATCTCCGTGACATGTTGCAGACGCGCCATTGTTGTTTTGGAAGATAATTCACTCCTGCCGGCGCCACCAAAGTTCCGGTGACCATCCAATGAAGTTCTCGTGAGTTCTAGAATTGAATCCCCCTTGCGCTTTGGTGGGAAACTGCTGTGCATCCCTAGAAATTCCAGACCGACGGTGCAGAAGCATACCAGCAAAACTGGTTCGTGGTCACATTCAAACGACACTGGATGTGTGCGGTTGCAGAAGTATAATCAGGCCTTAATACTTAAAGAAGCCCTGAAAAGGGACCCAGCTAACATCTATACAAATAAAGTAACAGAATACCTCAAAAAACTGGAACGAGAGAAAGCCACCAGTTTCTCTCTGTACTGTAAACTGTACTCAGGTTCACACCTATATGGTCTCCCAAAAACGCCTAGAAAAGGTCCCACTCATGCTCATTGTCAGCAGTATTAACTCCGTGTCACACAATATCACAAAACACATGGCAGCAAGTTTGGCTCCATTGGTTGGAAACACTTCCACACCACATACAAAACTCCACAGGCTTTATTTCTGAAGTCCAGCATTTGAGACATACTCAATGTGAAACCATGGTTTCTTTGGATGTAATCTCTCTCTTCTCCTGCATTCCCACATCAGAGGCAGTAAACACAGACAGGACACAACTGGAACACAATGAAACCCTAAAAGACAGGACCACTTTAACACCTAACCAGTTTTGTGACCTGTTGGACCTCTGCCAATCAACCCCATACTTCAAATACAGTGATAACTTTTACGACAGAAACATGAGTATATCATGGGCTCCCCAGTTTCACCCATAGTTGCCGATATCTTTGTGGAGGAGGCAGAGAGCAGAGCACTCAGCACATACAAGGGGACACAACCTTCTCACTTGTTCAGATACATGGATGAAACCTGGGTCAAAATCCAAAACCAAGAACTTGAGGCATTTCACAATCACATCAACTCAGTGGATGTAAACATCAAGTACACCAGAGAAAATGCCAAGAACAACATGTTGCCCTTTCTAGACTGTGATGTGCACATTGAGGAAAATGAAAGTCTTAATACTGAGGTTTACACATACCAACCATTACCTTCATTTTGACTTGCATCATCTGCTGGAACATACAATTTCTGTGATCACAACTCTGAGTTACAGGGCTTACAATATTCTCTAAATGACAGATGAGAAACGAAAGGATCAAAAACATGTTAGGAAATCACTTGAAGCATTGTGACATTGCATGAAACCCAGAGGAGAAAACAGAGAGTTGCAAAAACAATGCAGTTCCATATGTCAGAAATTTCTGAGAAACTCAGAAGGATTTTCTCCAAACACAACATACCAGTAAATGTCAACCCAACAACAGACTCAGACAAAAACTGGTTCATCCTCAAGACTGAACACCCAAACCTAAGCTGAGCAGCGTTGTTTTTGTGATCCATTGCAGTGAGGACTGTACAGCCTCCTACATTGGAGAAACCAAACAACAACTTCATAAACGAATGGCACAGCATAGGAGAGCCAGTAGCTCTGGGCAGGATTCAACTATACACTTGCACATCAAGAACAAAGGAAACAACTTTGAAGGCCAAAGTGTTCATATTTTGGACAGGGAGGACAGATGGCTTGAAAGAAGGGTCAAGGAGGCCATCTTTGTGAAAAGAGAAAAGCTTTTACTGAACATAGGAGAAGGATTCTGGTTTCAGCTTTGAAGCATTTACAATTTAGTCATGGAATTCCCAAGAAGTTACATGAGCACTCCCATTAGATTTCAAAAGACCAATAACAGTCCATGCCCAACAAAAGGCTCCAACAATCCAGAAGAACAAAATGTGGCTATTTGATTTGTATCCAACTTGGAATGAGTGCAGGATGAACCTCCATGCTGCTTAAGTACCTCAGCGCTCTTGGCTCTGGTGCGAGCCAACAGAATAGACAAAGACTCCTGGGTAGATGTCGAAACGTCTTCAAAAACTGAGCGAAGGTCCGGTTGCCTTCCAATTTAAGCCTGTTTGTTGTTGCCATGTAGCCTGACGTAGTCCGACTCAATTCTAGTCAGAATATGAGTCTGATACTGCTCCATAGAGCTGTGATTATGGGGCGTGTTTCGAATGAACCAGGAAAAAAAATGCCTCTGCACTCAATTGGATAGACCTACAACCAATAAGAGCAACGGAGTGCGTGACGTATGTTAAGCGAGGCATAGTTGTTGTCCACAAAAATCAAAGCGTGCAATTGCACGCCTATAATAAGAAGATGAGACTTGATCGCGTTTCTCTGTTCCTCTTTTAAAATTAATTTGCTGTCGATATCTTCTAGAACAGACCTAATAGCAGAATCTACTCACCTAAACTCTCCAGCGGCAGCCATTGGTCACGTGGTTGATTACTTGACTGTTGGTCATCTGTCCATCATCGTATAAAGCCCGCCCTGACAATTTGATTGGATCGCCTGACAGTGGGCGATAATACTCGCGCTACTATGGAGCAGAGCCAGACCGAACTTCCCAGACCTCAAAATTTGTGGGCGGGACTAAGTTCGGAATGGCACCCAGGCTAGTTGCCATGACCCTGATGACTGAGAATTTACACAGGCATGTCTGCAAATCGTCTGCTTTCAGGAACTACATAAGTCAGTGTCTGTTTCCCTTAAAAAATGTTTCTGTTTAGAACGGTCATTCATTATTAACTAGCAGAGACCGTATTGCATAGAGTAGGCTTGAGACAATAAGAGCCAAATGGCTCAATAAAAGCAAAGTTTGTAACTTTAATTTAATCAAATAAAAAACAAACAGCGCTCCTTTTTATTTACCATTTTAAATTTTTTTTAATCATTGGAAAAAAGCTTCAGTTCATCTTCCAGCAGGCTGCCAACTTCTCTTAACCCTAGACGTCCAAGTTCAGATAAAGGTTTAAAAAGGATAAATCCACGAGCTTTTATGGGCCATTTTTCAGGTTAATTAAAGTGTTTACTGTCAGATGTTCAAGTTACCTGTACACTGCAATTCTTACCTTGTTGTCCACATCAAATGCTGTAATGAAAGTCTAAATCAAATACATGTAGATATTAAAAAAAAAGGTACAAGCAAGCAATATGATAGAGATAAAAAGCTTCAGATCTACATAAACTTGAACATTGTGCAGGCAGAGGAGTTAACATTTGTGCAACTGATGTATTATATACATGCGGAAATTGTGCCTGGAGTAATGCAGATGTGCGAACATAGGGGTGTGGTTATGGAAGCCAATGCCCATCATGGCAGTAGCTCAGCAGCAGAGTTTGTCTTCTCAGCTCTTATTACTGTAACCATATGGAATCATTTTCTCTGCTCTAAATGTTTTTCACACTTATAACTCTCTGATAAACCCATACTCTCCCTGGCGACAATCTTCAGAGACAGCGCTGCTGAGCTGCAGAGCGATTATTGTGCAGCAGGCTTTGTTCACCAATGTTAAAGCTTTACCTGATCTGACATGATGGATTTGACATCTGTTGACATCTCTCCATGTGGAAGAGAGACACGTATTCTCTATTGTTTGTCAGTTGGATCTTTTACCCTTCTGGAAAGAAATCTGTCAAAGTGTGACCTGTAGCAGTGGGGGACCATGGAGTCTGATTGTTGGGTTGATCCGTGGCCTCTTCCCCATACATATGTAATCCTGGAAAGATGATGATGAAGATAGAAGCATCAGGTCCAGTACTAAGATATTTGCTGTTACTCAGCAGTTTGGTTTCTCCCAATAGTGAACAAGTTTTTCATCAGGGTTGAGTTGTATTAAGCTAAATATTCCCCTGAGAGTTAAACATTGTTTTTATGTTGTATGTACATGCGTCAATGAATTGATCTGGGTTTGTTTTTGGGTTGTAGTTGAAGAGCCTGTGGGCAAGAAATATGCTTTTATTTCTGCAAAGTCCAAAGTGAAGACATTCATGTCCCTTTTCCATCCATCCTAATTAGATATTCCCTTTTTTTCAGGGTTTTAGACTTATTAGTTAAAGCGCCAACTTACAGAAAATTCTTCTTGCATTTCCCTCCTGCTTTTATCTCCCTGCCTGATCTTAATCTGGAAATGACTTTGATGCTTGGCTGATCCCAGTAAGCTCAACCTGTTCGGCAGACACCATGCTGCTCGTCACACTGCTGAGCCCCTCTGAATGCAAATAAGAACTCCTGAACATAAACTTCTTAACCTTTTGTGTGGTCTGCTCTTGGTTGGTTTTACAGAAAAGGCTTCTTTATAGCTTTAAGATAAGATAATTCTATGTTACCATAAAGGCAGTAGTTCTACTAATTTACACTGAGGTGTCAGATTTTTGCTTTGTGTTGTCTTTGAGGACTTTTCCACTAACTGGTGATGACACAGTCAAACACCGATCCTCTGTCTGCAGAGGATGCTTCAATTGACCTGGCCGAAAAAAAATTTTGATTTAAAGATTTAGCTTTTTTTTTATGTTTCTTTGGCCTCTCTGACCAAATGTAGGCATAAAGAGACTTTAAAGATGGGTTCTAGAGCTCATGATTAGTTGTTTTATCCTTGACATAGATATGATTGTTTATTATGATTGTTCATTATTATGGTGCAGAACATCAGTTTTCCTCATGCAAAAGAAAAAAATAGTTATCCAGAAAAAGTGGTGAGAGTGTTTAAGATAAATTCCAAAACCTGAATGTTTATCCTCACAGTGTGGTTTTTGTGCTGTGTCTGATGATAGCCACTACAGGAGGTCTTATAAATTTCCTCCAGCCTGTAGCGCTCTGTGCAAATGATTTGAAAGGTCTCAAATATCCTGCTTAGGTCTTTGTTTCTCTAAGGCAATTGTGTTTTTTGTTGCAGAGGTTGCTGGTTTCTGATATTTTTCCTCGAATAAACTTTTTTCCCAACTAAATAGTTGCCCTTGTTGTCCGCAGGTCACACAGTTCGAAATATCCAGGCCTTTTCCGTGCTCCAGAACGCCTTCCTCAGGGCCAAAACAAGCCGTCTGGCCTGCATGTTACTGGACGCCATCGGGAACATTTATGCGGCCGAGCCGGCCAACTACTTCATCCTGGAGTCCCAGCACACCCTGTCACAGTTCGCGGAGCGTGTGGCCAAGCTCCCAGAGGCACAGGCCAAGTACTTTGAACTCCTGGAGTTTGTTGTCTTCAGCCTGAACTACGTGCCGTGTAAGGAGCTCTTCAGCGTTTGCGTGCTGCTGAAATCGAGCACGTCGCTCCCCTGCAGCATCACCGCCGTGAGAACGCTGCTGAAGCTGGCCAGGCATGACCCTGTGTTCAGCGACGTGCTGCGGGAGGTCGGCCTGCTGGAGGTAATGGTCAACCTGCTACACAAGTACGCTGCCTTGCTCAAGGACCCAGCTTCTGAACACCAGCCCCAAAACAATGACCAAGGTGAGAAGAATCGGTTCACAGAGATCATAAGGTTTTTGATTTATTGTTTGAATGAACCCAGAAAACTCAGCAGCATTTCATAACACAACAAAAAACAAAAAAACTTTTGCAAAAACATTGCAATTCCATATTTCTCAGGAATTTCTGAGAAACTCAGAAGGATTTTCTCCAAACAAAAAACATATTGGTGAATTTCAGATCTAACAACACACACAGACAAAAACTAGTTCATCCTAAAGACAGTTTTTGATTAATTCTGTTTGATTAATTCTGTTTGAATGAACCAAGAAAATTCAGCAGCATTTCGTAAAACAACAAAAAACAAAAATACATTTCATTTAAATGTGTTTATTACTTTTTCAGTCTAGACCAAGGATTTATTTCCTGTTTCTTTATTTGCAACAGTTCAGATTAATTTGAAGCTTAAGTTTGAATGAAAAGTGGAAAAGATTGTAATAAAACAACACGCCAAAAAGTACAAACTCCTATTTTCATATACATTAAAAAAGGAGAGTTTTGATCATAGACTTGCTTTTTAAAAAGATCTGAAACTGTATCAGCTGTGAAAGTTTTTATCCAACTGTTTGTTTTTTTGGCCCATTTTCAAGCTTCCAATAAGAAAATAACCCAATGAGAAAATCAGAACCAACATCTTCTCTTATTTCTCTTGGATTCCGTTTTTTTTCCCTTCTTCTTATCACTTGATCTGTTACTATTTCTTTTCACTGCTATGCTGGAAAACGCTACCTTCTTTCATCCCATTACTTCATTGGTGATCTTGCGATCTTTTCAATGCTGAAGTTTACTTACAAATAAAGCAACTACTTTATTCCTGTGTGAACTGCAGAAGTAAAATATAATAAGCACCATAATAAGCACCATATCTATTGGTGATGCTCTACGTATCAAAATACCATTCAAAATGTATTGCGATATATTAACAAAGATGATATATTTTGATTTTTTTTTTTTTTTATAGTAACATAGTTTTGGAAAACCTCACAAGATCTTTTTTATATCTTGCTGCAGAGAGTGCAGTGCAGCTAAATAATAGACTTTTGGATGATGTGCTGCCAACTAGTGGCTGGAGGGTAAGGAGTTATATAAAAGTAAGACCATGAAATGGATGATTGCCTATAAATGTTATTTTTTTATGTGTAAGATCCATTTGGATAAGGGGTGCTAATATTGATTATTTTGCAAATCGATAAATCTGTTGATGATTTTTATTTTGTTTAATCGATTAATAATCGAATAAGAAAAGGTTCCTTAAAGAAGCCTTTTTCTGAAATTAAACCAGGTGGAAATAAAACTTTTCAACTTTATCAGTTCTGGGTAGAGCATATTGATGGACGAAAATGTTTTTTTCTTTTAACCTCTTACACCCTAAGGGGGTATAAATAAATTTCTGCCTGACAAAAACACACAAAAGTAAATCACTTATAGCCTCACAGCTATTAGATTTAAGAAGAAACTTTTGGTACGTCTGTAAAGGTAAGATGTCATAGAATGGTTTTCTGGTGTCAGCACCATTGTAGCTTTGACCCTGCCTGAAATATTAGGGACAAAATACAAAATATTTTGCACTTTTTGAACCTCGCCAAAATTTTCTTTGAAATAAACATTACAAAACGCTACCAAAATATTATTTATAGCACGAAAAAGTAGTACAGACTTTTAAATCTAAATGTTGTGTAAAAATATACCAAATTTGGACTCAATCAGATGAATCATATTTATTTTAGAATGGTATTAGTGAGAAATTTCTTAGGCGGAGAGGCCATTTTGGCACATTTATTCATAAATGTCACCAAACTGTGCCAAATGTTGTTTTTTACATCAATACTGGGGGTTTGTTAAAATTACGAGGTCATGTAGCAGCTGGACCCACCGGTGGGTCCGCAGGGTTCTAGGGGTTAAATGCAAAATGTTTACATTTTTTTTTTTACGATTTTGGCATTATTACTGCTCTAAGTGGCTTGCTCTGTCAGCTAAAGACACGATTAGAGTCTCTATACTCGAGTTAATAATTAAATAATGACTAAATTAGTTGATGATTATTTCATTAATCGATTAATCCCATTAATTGTTTCAGCCCTAATTTGGATCTTAATACAAAAGTCAACTTATGAAATATCGCAGTATTTTAATGAATAAATTTTTTTTTCTTACACAACTAAACTTTAGGACTCTGCAAATGTAAATCTGAAATGACCAACCTCTCTGAACACAATCCCCATGGTGAAACATGGTGTCGGTGGCATCATGATGTGGGGGTGCTTTCCTCCAGGGACAGAGAAGCTAGGAACATTGCCCTTTCTCTTTGTTTATCAAAGTCTTAAAGCGTTGCTTCCTATTTTTAGATTAGCGGGTTTATAAACAGGAATTAGCAGAAAAAAAGAGTCTTAGTAGCGAAATAAAACATCTCTATCAAACAGATTTATGCCAATTATGTAAAAATTATGTAAAAAATTATGTTCTAGATTTAAAAAAATCCAAACAGATTGTTTGGAATTGGCTGAATTACACTAAAAGTGCAGTTAACTTTGTGCCTTTGTCAGACAGAACTTAATTTTATTAGACTGTATCTTCAGGGAAAACCACAGAATTTTTAATGTGTGGGTTATTTCCATCTGTTTATGGTGTTTGGCTGTTTTCTTTCTCCACTTAGCTGATAGTAAAAACCACCCCATAGCGGAGGAGCAGAAGCAGTTGGCCTGGCTGGTGATGGAAACTCTGACTGTGCTCCTGCAGGGCTCCAACACCACCAACACTAATGCAGGTAAACACACTAACACCCTGCAAACACACATGCAGAATCTTTCTCAGTGGTCATAGAAAAAAAGGATTTAGACTCCAGGCAGAGGGTGTATATTCAAATCTCCGGAACTAGCATGTCATGTTCACAATCCCCCTGAAAAGACCCTAAAAACAGGGATGCAGAAAATCTACAAAATGTTAATCTGAAAAGCTAGTATCATTCAGACCTCCTGTGTTTGCTTGTGTGTGGGACTCGGTGAGTCACAGAAATAACCATCCAGCAGCTCGGCTCTCTGCGACCCTCTTAATGAATGTTTGTCATCATTGACGTGGGAGATATTTGCAGCTTCTTCACTCTGATTACATTTGCATCACGCAGCTGCAGCTTTTAGCTGGCGCTCTGACGAGGACAAATGTTTGACAGTTCAAGAATTTCATTCCTCATCCTGCATTTAAAAAAATCTAAGGTCATGCCTGTAGGAAACAATCTGATTTACAGCCATAGAAATGGAAGCAGCTTTATAGACTAACCTCGAGAATGGAAGGCTGCTTTTATCAGTAAATCTAATCAAACATTAACTGCAGAAAAAATTGTTTGTGAACAGCTAAAAATGAAAATAGGATTCTGGCTGATTTGATTTAATAAACATTAATTCTACTGCTGTTTGTTTCAACTCTTGGCATATTTCTGTAACTCAGCCGTTTTGCCTTTTTGCTAAAACTCGACATCCTGGTTCACACGTTTTGCTTTGAATTTATTCAGAAGCAGCCACATTGTGCCAAAAGCACTGACTTTTAAATCCTGACTGTTTTTTAAACTAAACAATAATTTGGACTAAAAAAGTGTAGCTGTGCTCTAAAGCCAGTGTTAGCCTCACAGAGAGCTTCAATCAGTTAAGCTAACTTATCTATATCTCGATTATGTAATTTCACATAATGTGGCGAAAACTACAGAAAGCAGGTTGTTGCATTATGTTGACCTCTTTTTTTTTTTTTTCCTCCTTCTCTCTCTCACTCCCTTACAGCGCTGTTCAGAGAGTTCGGTGGCGCCCGCTGCGTCCACAACATCGTGAAGTACCGTCAATGTCGGGAACACGCCTTGCTCATCATCCAGCAGCTGGTGTTGTCCCCCAGTGGTGATGATGACATGGGAACGCTGCTAGGCCTCATGCACTCGGCGCCACCCAGCGAGCTGCAGCTCAAGACCGATATACTGAGGGTAACGACACAAACCTACCTTCTCTGTAGACCATTTACAGGAATGTTTGTTAGGATGCATTGACACTATTTAAATGGACAGCTACTAAATTATTTCTAATGCTCAATGCAAAAATTACAACTTTCTTAAAAGTTCCTTAAAAGGTACCTATATTGCTATACATAAAAAAAATTATGCCCTGATGATGATTTCAAGGCTTTGTAAGTTTCTGATTCTCTGATTCCCAACAATTAGCTGTATTTCCATTGCAAATGTGCGCAAAAGAATGTTAATATTTTGCTGAATTTGAAAATGCTAAATTTTGCAGTTGCAGATTTCCAATTATAACAAATACAGTTAGAATTGCCTGTTCAATACATTTGATAATGCAGTAACTCTGAAAGCAACATGGCAGCGGTGGATGTAAACACACATGTATCTACATGTATAGTGGGCACCAACATTCTCCAAATTGTTCTGGTCATCTTTTAAAAGAAGCTTTTAAAAAAAGCTTTTCTATTGCAGATATGTAAAAAATATGACAACTTCAATATGACTGAAAAACCGCCTAACCGAACCATAAAACCTTTTTGTCGAGAAACGTGAGTTTCTTTTTCTTCTGAAATTGCAGTATTTCCATTTAGCACATTTATTTTTGCAATGACAATTTACACAATTTCATAATTTATGGAGATGCACCTAACTGGATTAACTGAAGAGACACCTGTTATTGTTTGTGTATAATCAAAATATGTGATAAAACATCAAGAAGAGAAATCTGGACCTCAACTGGTCAGGATTAACTTGGGTACCAGTTGCTTGATCCATATATAAACATCACAGAAATTTCCTTCATGCCTTTCAGGAAAGAGAACAAGGTTTGCTGTCACACAGTTGAAGTGTGTTTTGTTGCAAAACATGTAAATCTACTGCAGAAGAAAAGGAAATGACCCTGCAAAGAAACTGTTAGAAGCTGTGAAGACATTATCAGAACACACCCTGAAATGTGACCTCCTTCGACTTGGGCTGAAAGGCCACTCAGCAAGAAGAAGCCATTGCTCCCAAACACACAAATCCAGATTAAAGTTTTCAAATATACTTAAAGGGACAAAGAGACACACATTTGGAGCTGATTCTTTGTTCTGCTGAAACTAAAATTGAAGCATTTCAATGTAAAATATTAGTTAGGATTAAAGGGTCTTCCGAATGGACAGCTAATTTTAGCATATTACCAAGTTATTTACCAAGTGACTTAAGGACATCAATGTTCTGGAATGGTCATCAAAAAAGGCCTGATGTCTCATAGAAAATCTGAAATTAAGTTGAAATTAGAGCAAACATATGAGAACCCCTCAAAACACGCAACTGAAGGCATACAGTTTAAAGAGCAGGACTACATGAACACTGAAGTAATGCATTTGTACCTTGGACTTTCTCTTGCTGGCTTTTAGCTAATAGTAATTGTTTAGATAGGGGCATTTAAATCTGGAAAGGTTTTTATTCTTATTTAATATCAGATAATAGGGGGAAAAAATAATTTCTGTTTATTATTTAAATGCATTTTGGTAGTTTTATACTTTTGCTTGTTTTACCTTTAATTGTTTGACTGTTTTACATATTTAATTACCATGCAGCCACAGGGAATAGAGCAAACTAAAGTCTACATCTACACAAACTCGTCAGTAATTCTAGCAGGAACCTTGAAACAAGAAAGCGAGTGATTTCAAAAATCAATATGCATTTGTAGCACAGTACACAGTAATTGCTTCAAAGCAGGATCTCTCAGAGTTAGGTGCACATAAAAGCTGAAACAGTACACACTCTTCCGCACACTCCCAGCCAGGATGAGAGGCCAGCTCATTTTCTCAGGCATAATTGCATTTTTAAACTCCTTCCCCCCAGATGAAGTGAATCTCATGCCTTCTGAGGGCTTCGCTCGGATTAGCTCGTCAGCATTTTTTTTTTCTTTTTTCATTTCACTAATCACTGATTTTAATTATCAGCATAAAGCTCCTATCCTGTTTAAGTCCATGAAAATATGCTCTTTTCTGTAACACTAAAATAATTCAGATAAATCTTTGGCTTAGCCTTGTGAAAGTCATCATTTCACTTTTTACATGTGAGGGAAAATCTATCAAGGATGCGTTGCATTAATCTGTCCACGCTTCCTCGGTGCTTGTGGAAATCGAAGCCTCACTCAGTGGCTTTATCAGTGCAGCCTGGTGGTGATTTACCAGCATGGAGTTGGGAGGAAGCGAACCTCTGCGACATCCTATGATTGGTTTCATAAAACTTTTTGCTGACTCTGGCTGTATTTTTTAATGTAGCGGGAAACAGCTGGCTCAGTGACGCAACACATCACCATTTTACTTCTTCTTTGCTCTTATGGGTCTCTGCTATCCCATTTATATTATTAGGAGGAATAAAGCTGTAGCAGGCATTCATTGTGGGCCACTTAGGCCACATTGAGGCTGTTGGTTGATAAGAACTTATTTGACTATGTATTAAATATTAACAAATGCAAAAATTATTGCTTATTTAAAATCAGAATATATTAAACAGTAGACATTTTATCCTAAAGGAAGTTTTTACAATGTGACCACCAAACGTGATCTTTCCTGTCTTTAGGCTTTGTTGGCCGTGTTGCGTGAGAGTCACCGCACTCGGACGGTGTTCCGCAAAGTGGGCGGCTTCGTCTACGTCACCTCCCTCCTGGTGGCCATGGAGCGCTCGCTCTGCCAGCCTCCTCGTCACGGCTGGGAACGTGTCAACCAGAACCAAGTTTTCGAGCTCCTGCTCACGGTTTTCTGCACGCTCACGGCGGCCATGCGCTACGAGCCGGCCAACTCCAACTTCTTCCGCACGGAGATCCAGTACGAGAAGCTGGCCGATGCTGTGAGGTAATCCTGACCAGTCTGCCTTCATGTATGAGTTATACTTGCACATTTATCAGGGTTCGTACGGGTGCTGGAAATCCTTGAAAATGCTTGAATTTTGACGTTGTGTTTTCGAGGTTTGAAAAGTGCTTATATTTTGGTTGAAATGCTTGAAAATGCTTGAAATTGTAACCATTTCTTTCGCAACAAATACCTATCTAACTGAATCGTGTGTTTATTAAATGGAGAAATAAAATGTTGGAGAGCCCGAAAATGAAACCTGCTCGCTTATGTGTGACTGGGATATGTCTATTTCAATATGAGACTCCGCCCCCTTGAAACAACTACGGCACCATGCCGGGAGGTTGTTGTTTCAATGAACGTTGGCTGGAAGATGAAATATACAAATTATGGATTAAACGGGGACAAACCCCACGAGTTGCCTCTTGTAAAGTCTGCAAAAAAGATGTGCAGCACACAGAAGCAAACGTGTGGCCAATCAGAAAGCCTTGCTGAGGAAAAAAAAAAACCCCACACACAACAGTTTAGCAAGTACAGTCTCAATCCTTTAACAAATACCTTTTATTATGCTAGTTTTTTCATTCTGCATCCCCATTGCTTCTTCCTTGTTGGCCATGTCTGTTTACTCTGATATATCCGTAACTTTATTTTATCACTATAAGTGGGGTCTTTTTATATTTTTTTTAAATGCTCAACACTATGGATATAAAAAAACATGGTGGCTAATTAAAATAAAAAGTAATTTTGTCAACATTAAAACTCCCCATTTTCATTCTCAACACAGATGTCCTTTCTCAACAGAATCCCAGATACTAAGTGTGTAAATAGATAATGTATAGAATATAACACAATTAGAAAATATCTGAAGCTTATCTGACGTTTTATGTGCAAATAATCCAGAAATCTGAAACTAACAATAGCAAAAATATTTAAGTGCTGGTGTTTAGTAGCGAGTATCATTTGTATAATTTGATCAATATATTTATGTAACTGTATATAAATAGCTGAACTATTTCTGAGAAATAATTTAAATCCGATAAATGGTATCTTCTCAGCAGTATTCCTCTTTTCTTGGCACAAATGAAACTCTCTTTCTGCGGAAATTGTTAGTCTGATTATGCTTTTAAATCAGGGGGCTAAGAAAATGCTAACACTCATAGTTATGTTTATTGTTTTTAGAAAGTTTTAGAAGTGTTTTTTTCCAAAAAGCTTTTTTCCCCTCATAAATATAGCTAGACTTTGCTTAATTTCTAACATACAAAGATCCATCTTAGATGATTAGTAAAGTAGGGCAGACTCCAATGGCTCCTTTTTTTATTTAACACCTAAATCTTTCCTTTGAGCCCTCTAAAATGATTAATCATAAACTTTTTTTTCTCTTTTCGTTTTATCCTCCAGGCTGCTGGGTTGCTTTTCTGACACGAAGAAGCTGGGCCCCACAGGAGTGTTCCCGTCCAACGCTCAGCCATTCCAGAGGCTGCTGGAGGACGAGGCTTCCTCAGGAAGCTGCTCCGGAGACAGCGTCTGTCCAACCCTGAAACACTGCAGCAAGCTTTTCATATACCTGTACAAGATGGCCACCGACTCTTTCGACAGGTGGGTGACATATGAAAGCCCTCATACTGCACCCTGAGAGGTTCAAATTGGAATGATCCAACATTAAGTTCAGATATTCTGTTTGTTAGACTTGGAGACCAGCTTGGATGTTGCTTGTTGTGAAGCCATTTGGTTGTGTAGAGAAAATGTTCTCAAAGTCTGTTGAGCTTACTGTTGATTTTTATTCATTTGGTCTGCTGAGTTCCTCTGGGTCAGAGACGGCTCATACCACACAACTGCCTGCCTCTCATGCAAATAAAGGAGAGGCCATGTGACAGAGGGCGGTTAGCTGAGCAATGAACAGGACTGCTGATGTTTCTGATGCATTAGATCACAGGGTTTATCTGATTATTCAACATGGCCGGTGATTTATCTGTTCTGCTGCCAGCTTTGTGCTTCGACAGATGCTATTACAGTTCATAGCAATTCTACTGAGAAATGATAATGTTATTTAATTTGGCTCAAATAGTATTGTTCCAATTTGAAATGTTAGCAATCTCAGAGTGCTAAAGGAGAGAATATATCTATTTACTTACAGTTTAATTGAATAACATTCAATCTAATGCTAATAATGAGTCCTATAATTAGCTGTGTTGAGTCTGCAGAGCTTTTGGTTGACTTTTTTAATTAATTGTTGCCTCAACCAATGTCATTTGATGCACATTAAAGTTCCTATCAGTAATGGGAAAACAGAGGAAGGCTTTGAAGTGGAAATCATCTGAACAGCTCAGGGTATCTGCTGTAAAAGGGATCTTTAGGTTCACATTCTCCAGTTTCTTTACAGGTTTTTCTGCTGTTTTTCCCCCCTCCATTCTCCACAGAGATCTTTATCTGAACTCTGTCAGTCATGAAGCTCCTAGTAGTTTAGAGTGAAGCGTACTCTGGACAGGGATGCCAAAAGGGTCACTGCTTTGAACCTTTTCGTTTTGGTGCGAGATAAGCTGGCAAGCTAGACAATTTAAAAAGGGTAAACAAAACGAAGCTCATGTGTTTATTCTGACAAATGGAGGAGAAGCTGTTGAACTGAAATGCTTTCTCTCCACTGGAACCTCTTCCCTGTCATTTCAACAATCGTTACATAAAAAGCCATGAGCAGATCTAAGTGCATGTTCTCCGAACCGGAACTTTGATCTAGTTTTCTCTGTAGTCTTTCCACTAACAACTTCTTTCCTTTTTTTCCTCTCTTTCTCTTTTCTCCTCCTAACATCTGGTGCTGACCGGCTGATCATCCTCGGTCTGGGCTACCTGCACGGCTGCACATAAATATGTGTGTGTGGGCTATGAATGAACCCTATGCTCTGTGTATGTGTGTGTGTCACCTGTTTCATTGTTTGCGGGCATGTGCTGTCATGCAGTCGTGCAGAGCAGGTGCCTCCCTGCCTGACTCATGAAACCTCGCTGCCCTCCCCGTGGGGCACGCCTGCGCTCGCCAGAAAGAGGTAGCTACAGCTTTCTGCCTTCTTTCCTCACCCTCATCCCTTCCTCTCCATTTTCTTTCTGTCGACGCTCAGAGCACACCGTTGTCCCTCTGGGCTTTGAGAATTTAATGAATCCTCTCTCTTCAATAGTTATACAGATAACGATCTGTTACTGCATTAGAGTAGAATAATTTGTTTAGTATTTATTCTATGTTATATACCCTCTTGACATTTATTGAAACCTCATCTTAAAATGTTTCTTGTTAAGTCTAAACTAATGATATACCATTTATTTAATAACAGTATCAATATAACAACATAAATAATTTGACCAACATGGTTGATGCTGCTGCCTTTGGCTTTTCTTATAACATTAATTAAATTTACTTTTACTATTTTAATTAGATTTTTTGTCTTCAAAACCTTTTTTTTTTTAAGTAAACATCACAATCTGTATCTTTGTGACTTTTTATTTTCCATAGACTGCTATGCTATTTGATTTATTATATGTTTTTGTGTATTTTCACTCAATGTGTGCTAACCATTAACCCTAACCTCACGGCACTCATTAGGAAGTCTGTTAAAACACTTTGAAATAAATATGGCGGCTCCTTAAGTCACAATATACGACGGTCATAGAATATGGTGTAACATCGTGCTAAGGTTAGCTCAGTGTTATACTAGCGTCATCTTAGCATACGCTAGATACATCGGGAATTTTTTGTATATGTATAACAGGAAGTGTCATGAGCAAATATAGTAAAAACAAGTAATTAAAAACAAAACAAAATCAATACAGTAAATAGAAAATCTGTACAAACAGCCAGGGGTCACTTACATCCTTGTATTCTGGACATACATTATGTTCCTATATTATATATTAACATAATATGGGACCTTTGAGGCCTGGTCTTAGCCGATTGTTTGAATGTTCAATCCCTTTATGATGTCATAAGGGGAAACAGGCTGTCTGTAGCAGCCCATCTTTCAAGTTACAGCCTTCCGAGCTCCTAGTTGTTATCTTTGCAAACTCTGACTGGTTGTCATGATTGCTTGTTGCAGGGACTTGGCCTTTGTGAGAACAGGGGTATGGAAAGCCAAAACAGCTCATCCAGAGAGCAAAAAAAAGCTCTGTGGGTGTCATTGATAATATTTTTTACTTTCAAATGTAGCAAAATACGGGACCTTAACTGATCCTGTACATCTTTTTTTTCGGTCCCAAATGTTTAAAACATACAAAACACTTTGGCTTGATCAAGATGAAAACCTGCTTTGTGGTATAACTATATTTTAAATGAAATTCAGAAGCTAAGGAAATATTTTTATTAGGGATACAATATCTGTTTATTGCAATTTCATTTATTACAATTTAATTTATTACTAAACAGCTAGGAGCAAAATGGAATAATTTTTTCTGGCAGCGTTAACTGAGGTTTGACAAAAATGACATATCTTAGAAATAAAATATAAAAATCATATTTTAACAGCATTTTAGCAACATTAGAGTATTCCGCAGCCTTGCGGTTTCCATCACAGTCCTCTGCATGACTCTTCCCTGCTACTTTTCAGCTGGAGTGGCATCCTGAGAGGCATTACATTACTAAAGCTCTACTCTATAGATGGCTATGTGGATGCTAAAAGGAAATGATGTTTCTTTCAGTCTCAGAAGGTGTGGAAAATATATCCAAATATATATATCAGCCTATTTTAACTAGTGACTTTTAAAAACAAAACAAATAAAAACCCTAGTTTGTTTCATCAGCTGCTTTAAGAAGCTCTTATTACCTTTAAAGTTCTCTGCTGCTCAGCCAGCTCCCCCCGGAACTTTCTGCTGACTGTTTCTGTATCTCCTCAGGCAGGAATCTGCTGCTCTGTAATTTGCAGATTCTTTTCTAAATGTGTGACATTAAAGCGCTGCAGATCTTCTCTCCGACCCATCGTGGTGTGAGGAATGCTGACTCATGGTTTAAAAAGTTACATTTCACTAGTTACAAAGAAATGTATGTGGATATTTTCATATGGTGCCTGGAGAGACCTGAACCGTTCAAACCTAAATGTAGAACGCATTAAACCGTTACTGAGTCTGTACCTCTGATTTTTTTTCTTCTCTAATTTTTGTGCTGTTAACAACTACAAACACAATATTTGTAATGGGTTTTTATATAAACGTGCACAAACTCAGTCAGACTGGAGGAGGCCATTTTCAATGTTTCTGATATTTGCAGTCTTAAAAAAATTCAGCTGTATTAAAGTCTGGACTTGGACTAGGCCATTCCATGCGCTCATTATGTTGCTCTGAGTACGTTGATGTTGTCTTGATTCAATGGGAACATGTCTCATTCTTCTGTTGGTTTTCTTCCTGGTAGGGCTGGGGGATATGGTCTTATTTTTAATTCGATTAAGGATTTTTCTTTTTAATTTTCTCCCCTAATTATTAAGGAAAGCAATAAGTACAAACAGGGAATTTTTTCTTGGCTATGTGCAAAGCAACCCTGTTCCTTTCCTGTCATATGCGGTGCTTTGCGCAAAAGATGCTTCTACAGTTAACTGTTTCTTAGCTGAGGTTTGCTGGTCAGTTCAGGTTCGTTTGTCCCGGAGAGACTGGCGTTTTAGATGTTGGCAAAAGGTTAGTGATGCTGCTGCCTTTAAATGAGATGGTCAGAGGCAAATGTTGCAGCGTGGGTCTCTTGCTCCACGACTGTCGCAGCAAACCCAGACCAGCGTCCTCACTGAACGATTCTGCCATTGCCACGTTTTTCTTTTTGTATTGCTTTTTTATCTATTAACTGATTGTCGCTCTTGAACTGCGGACCTTTGCAGCTCGTTCAGATTTTTCTCGAGGCCTTTCTGTTTTTGTTTTTCAAAACATTTAGAAAACTGTGGATCGGGTTCATTCCACTATAGATTCACTTATTTCTTAAATCTTATTAAATCTGTACACGTTTGCAAATTTAGTGTTAAAATAAGTGGGGAAAAAACATCTAGAAGTATAAATATGTAGTTAGGGAGTGTAACTTAATCCAAAAGATTGAGTTTTTGCATCTTTTTGGATGAACTTTAGCTAAAATGTGACTCCTGTTTCATTCTGGGCTCTACAGGTTGTTTCAGGGGGTTTTACCAGTCCGTCTGGGGCTGAAGAGCTTTGAAATGTGGGGCTCTGATTTTGGATTTATGCTGGATGCATTGAGTTAAACAGCAGAGGAGTGACATTCTGAGGCAGGGGAACGTTTTTCCTTTTAAATCACTGAACTTCTTGGTTTGTTTTTTGCTCTTAGGCATGGTTACTATGGCACATCGGGCCCCTCTGCCCCAGTCAAAGCCCTGACGGACCTCAAACTCCACTTGGTGAACCCTTCCCACCCTGCTTCTTTCCCATCCTCATCCGATTTGGTAGTCATCCACCCAGGGGCCGTTTTAGCCATGTTGGATCTCCTCCCCTCTGTCTCCTCTGAGAGTCAGCCGGAGGTGAGAAAGCAGACTTCAGAATAAAAGAAAATTCAAACATACGACAGAGTTTTTCTCAGTTTCTAAGTCTTCTTTTCTCCTCCAGCATGCCCTCGACCTCCAGCTCGCTGTTGCCAACATCCTCCAGCTCCTGGTGAACAGCGAGAGGAACCAGCAGGTGTTGTGTGAAGCCTGCCTCCACCAGCGGCTGCTGCAGCGTTGTAGTCAGGCCCTCGGGGATGAAGACCACCCGCTGCACCCTCCACTGCAGAGGATGTTCGAGAGGCTGGCCTCGCAGGCCCTGCAGCCGATCGCACTCAGGTACCGCCACCAGTTTCTGGTGTTTTAATTACTCCTCCGCTTCTTTCCAACTCAAGTATGAAACACATTGATGATGAACTGATAAAGCAGCTTAGGAGCAGTGAGATATGCTAGATTTCTCTGGAAATGTTTAAGGTAGGCATCTCTGGCTTGAATTGTGCTGGATGGGAATAAGCATCTTTTCTTTCATTTTTTTTTTTTACTTAATCTTGTGTGTGCTTTGCTATTGTTGCGACAAACCTCTCATCTTTCTCAGTGATCTTATCTCAGTTTGTTATTTTTCTGCAAAGCTATTAAATCAGCAGAGTGGATGCTTTTCTAGTTGACAGTTTTTCTTGTTTCTTCTGATGTTCTGGTAAATTTCTCCTGCAGGGAATTTTTACGTCTCGGAAACCCTCTGAACTGCGGTGCCTGGGACAAGAAGCTCCTGAAGCAGTACCGGGTCCACAAACCAAGCTCCCTTGGCTATGATGCGGAAATGAGAAGTAGGTTTCTCCTCTACGTCCTCCCAATCTGTTCCAGTGTTCCTAATTGGATGCATATGCAAAGAGCAGGAGAGCAGAAAGTTATAAAGACTTCACAGTAGAATGCAGCTTTAAAAAAGTTGTTGCCCTCAGTTTATCATCCTTAAAAACAATCTAGTTAGATTTAAGGGAATATTATTAAGCCCTTTATTAATTAAAAAAAAGTGTTTTAATGTTTTAATTAATGCATTTCCTAAAAGGATAGGTTAATTATGAACGACGTCTACACTGTTGGATAGAATTAAGTAGAAATAATGTTTCTGTCTTAACACTACTCAGCCTTTTAGGTGCATTATCAATCCTGAATAATCATTAGAATTTAGAGGAACCTTTTTTGTCTTGCTATATTCTAATTTAATAAGATGCAATTGGTAATTTTCACAGCTGAAGCACACGATTTGTGAAATCATCACTTGACTTAGTAGCTAAACATTTATCTCCAAAACATGTTGGATGGACTTAAAGAGAGGTGGATTTTTCCAGAAGATTTTTCAGCCTGGTAGAAAGCCAGATGAACCTTCTTAGGATAAGAGAAAGCCAATCAGAGATCTGCCTGTTAAAATAAAGATCTGCCTGGATCTGATCTGAATACTTTGGTTCGTTTCCTGCTAACAGCTGGTAGCGTTTGTAATTTCCTGGGCTCCTCAGCAGGTCTTAATTGCTTATTGTGTCTCCTCCCGGTTCATAATGGATAATAAGTCCCCTCTAATTACTGCTGTATGCAAACAGCCTCTGGTTGGGCGCATTCTGTTGTTGTTTGGGTTATTAGCTCCTATAAGTCTTCCCTAGCTTTAATCTGTGCTTGTCGCTACTGCTAATCCTTGATAAATAATGGATTTTGTTTTCAGAGGAAGGTGAAATATTAAACCTTTGTCCAGGAGTTTGTTCTGGAACTTTGGGAAAATAAACAGATGATTTAGAGCTGCTTGCTAACAGAGGTGCTTACAGCTCCCTGTGGAGCCATTCAGACCTGACATTCACATGGATCCTGGCTGATTTAGTTACAAGAGGCAGCTTTAAGTCGGATTCTTCACACCTGCCAGGAAAATCTTTTCTGTGTTTATTGAATGTTGAAAATTTAGTTTAGTGTTTGATGATTGTTAAATACCTCTGGCCTGTGCTGCTTCCTGGTAGCCTTGAGCTTTGTTTCTTCACACTCTTCATAGTGCGTGAAGGTGAAGCATGCGGCCGTTCAGCTCATGGATTGATCCTCCATATTTTCAGCAAAATGGCTTCACCTAGGTCAGGGTTCTGCAACCTTTAAAACGCAAAGAGCCATTTTCGTTTATATTCGTTTATAGGAAATCTGTTGACATTAAACATTTTATTTGCATTTTTAGTTTTTAACTCTTTAGCACCAAACGTGTCATATTTGAGTTTTTGCGACCTTTAAATCATGAGTGTGTTTTGTTCTAGAAAAAACGGATTTACACAATCAGACACATGTAGTAAACATAAAATCCATAATAAGTTGTTAGAAAGGCCTAATGTATCACAAATGACACAAATAATTTCTCACTTATATTATTCATTTTTTTGTTTGAATGTTTGATGACATTAGTTTTTTTGTGTTCCATGGTTTATTGGGGTTAAAATAAGGAAAAACATAAATGTTTCACAAAGAGGAAGCATGGATTTTTATTTTTAAGTTACTATTTTATGTAAAAAAAAAAAAAAGAAAAAAAAAGAAGAAAAAAATGTTTTTAAACTAATGACCAATGATCTAAAACACATTTCTGGTTCTTTGAAGTCATTATCTTGTCTTTCTAAAGTGTATAAGATCGTTTTCTTCAATATACTAAACAATTAGTTGGTGGTTTAATGATTTTAGTCCATATAAAGAGCCATTGTAGAGGGTCAAAAGGATCAAAAGACTGAACTGCAGTTCGTAGACATAGGGAGCTCCCCATATGTTACTATTATATAGTTATGACAGAGTTAGCAATTAGTAGGTGTTGCAACTTAACCATTAAAAGTTAAGCCGGGCGAGCCCATCCTGCACCTGCTCATGTTAGAAATGGCCAAAACATGGTCACATGGTGTTTCATCCACAAGACAAAAAACATTTTATTGTAAACAAATAAAATGAGATTTAAAATTCCACCTGACATGCTTCACTCTGCGGGAGTAGTGCAACAACAGGTATTCATTTTTAGCCGCACCCCCTAACAGCCGGAATCATGGGAAACTTGAGGCTCAGACCTGTCCAAGAACGGGTTGAGGGAATTGTGTGAATATTTCAAATGACGTAACAGGCATGCGTTACATAAGCTTGCTCTGTTATTCTTATTTTCTTTTCAGTTTGTTGATATTATTGGTAAATTTCAATGAAACAACGGCTAAATCTTAGGAGAAAAGGCTTTGTCTTATGCCGAAGGTCTCCAGTAATGTAAATCAGCATATTTGTCTGGCCAGATTCCCTTTTATGAGTGAAAAAAAATGTATTGTGCACAATTTTGCCACTTTTGGCACCACTGTGCCAAAATCAATTATTCAGTCAATATTAGCTTTATATTCAAGAGGCGATATATTTAAAACGTCTATATATTTTCAATTCTGAGGGTTCATGCCAAGTTTCAAATGGTTCTTCATGGTGTTTTGCAGTGTTTATTTTGGAAATTTTTTTTGAGGATACTTTTTTTTTCCCTTTCTTGGTTTAATCACCTTAAATCAAATATGGTGACATTTAAAATAGTGGTTCCACCAGAAAAATTTTCCTCAATGCCTTTCTGTCATACAAATGCAAACAATTGTATTTCCAATTGATAGTTTTGGAGCTGTACTTGCTTTAACTCATTAATGTAATTTCAGGCAGAATTTGCTCTTAAGACCCTCTGGGCTTAAGGGGTTAATAATATTTTATTTTACCAGAAATTATCCAGGTAATGATTCTGTTGTTTTATTTTAGTGATTTTATGTGGTCCTTTATTATGGCTCCTACTGTAATGCGTTGTGCTTAGATTGCTGACATAAAGCTAATGAAAATGTCAATAATCTTCACAAGGGTAAGTGAGGCAGTCATGAGGTGTGTGTTAGGAGTAGTGGATGGTAGGAGTGATCACCTTTGAGTCACTTTTTTTGCAAAGGTGATGGGCATTTTAAGAGAAAAGGCTCAACAAAAGCCTTCAGGACTAGGATAGATGGTGGAGCCGGACAGTTGGAGACTAGGAGGAAGAGCTTAAGTTTGAATAATAAGAAGACATCTTGGGCAGTCAAAATGGAAAGTGTCTGGAAACTAAAGCAAAAGAATTGTTTCAGCTTTAATCATGGATGTTTTTTTTGATTTTAAGAATCAATGTAGACTACTAAATAATCAGTTTTTACTATCTATTCTTAAGTCGTTCAGTCGTCCCTTATACGCTGCTGATTGTCCCGTTGTTCTCTCTGGCTTTTCAGACAGCATGACTCTATCCATGGAGGGCTTCGGCCCCGACAGCGTCTTCACCACACCGGCGGAGGACAACGGTCAATACCGCATCAGCCGTAGCCTGGTGCGCTCCGCCGAGGACAGCACCGTGCCCCTCACCCGAGTCAAGTGCCTGGTTTCCATGACTACGCCCCACGATATCCGGCTGCATGGATCAGCCGTCACTCCGGCGTTTGTAGAGTTCGACAGCTCGCTGGAAGGTTTTGGGTAAGTCAACATTATCGTCCCTCATTTTTTAAATTTTTTTTATTGCAGAATAATACATAAAATAAAGCAGTTGGTGCAAAACAATTATGTTGAAGCTAGGGCTCTGTGATATGGGTTTAAGGTCTAATCTCAAACCAAATCCAGTGAATCCATTTTTTCTCTCAATATTTACCTTAATTTAAAGGGTAATGAAATTGAAGCTGTAAAAGATCCTTGTTAAATAATAATGCTTACAATAATCAACAAAATTGTAACACTTAAAATGAGCTAGTTAAGCAGTTATATCAGGAACGCTTAGTGACCTTTTATTTTGGAAATCGAAATGACATTGAACAGCTTTAAAAAGGCCAGGTAATGAATGACTGAAAAGTCCCCACTTTTGGACACCAGAAATCAAGTTGGCTGATGAAAACTTTTGAGTCCTTCCTATTAACTTCAGATTTACTTTTTGAAAATAGAATTGGTGCAGCAGATGTTGTCCATTCATTCTTGGAATTTCCAAACAGATAGTTTTTTTTTGTTACCGGTGACACACGCCTCAGGGCGCCTCGTTATTTCTTCCTACGATGAAACATGTTTTTTTTCTTCTTTTACTTCACAGCAGCTTCAACTGTCTCATCAGGAGACTGTTATTGGCCTGCAGTGGTGCAGCTCCGCATACAAATAGGCTTATTTTCTGCTTTTTATGTCACGCCGACTCCCTTTTGCCGCTCCGCGTGTGCTGCTGACAGACCCCACTCCCCCACCTCCATACCCCCCACAGTTAACAGTGTGTTTGGTGCCAGTGGATGTTAGTGCATAAAATATGTTCCTATGAATATGACCTTGGCGATTTGCTTCCACATTACGGTAGACATGCCTCACAAATTGGCTTCTTATTATTGAATCTACAAAGTGGTAACACACAGTTAAGGCTGAAAATTATATATATTTATATGTATGTTTATATGTATGTATATAAAATTAGAAAAATTTCTTGTTTAATCAGCACTTTTTAATAAAGATATTACAATACATTATATAGAAGCACATACCTGGCCATAAATTTAATTTTATTCCTTTTTTTTTTTTTTTTTTTAACTTCCATTTCCTTTTGTTAAACATAGACATGTGTAGTGTCTACTGAAACATGGCTAACGGCTAAACCATTTCTGCAAAAACGCCATTAATAGAAATAAATTGTATCACCACAAAACCTTAAAGAAACCACTCAGGATTCAAACAGCAAAATTGAGCAACCCCAATTATCTCTCATGATCGGAAAGCTTTATTTATAAACCGTGTTACTCTAGCCATTATTTCTTTTCTCCAAATTCTGTGCTATTGATACCATATTTGCTGAACAACTGTGTCCCAAGGTGCTTTGTAAGCTTTTTCCCAGTTTACAGATTTTTGATCAGGAGTTGATCAGTGTGTGATTGGTAGTTGGGTTGTTTTATTGTGAAACCTAACTAGATTCTGGTGGCTCTGAGGATGTAAGTGAGATTGTTTCTGCCAATCCAACTGTAGTTATTGATCGATGAACGGATGAGACACCTGTTAGTTGATGTCCGGGGGGGGGGGGGTATTCTCTTTGCTTAGATTACCGTAAGGCACTTACGGTAATGTGCCGCGCGCCCCTATAGCGCGGTGCGCCCTATGTGTGTTGTTACTGCGGACCTTGTTGAGACCACCATGAGAACGTTAAAGGGGGAAGTGTGGGCGTGGATTGTGTATAAAAGAACAGGTATGTGCTTTATGCAGAACGCCTCATCTCCTCATTGAGGAGATGATGAAAGAGTGGCTGAGGGAGGTGAATGTAAGGAGACCAGGTGGTTTTTTCCACGCATCACCATCGCTGTTAATCTGTGACTCCTAGCGTGCCCATCTCACAGCTGATGTGAAAAACATGGTGAATCAAATGAACGCTGTGCTCGCTGTTATTCCGGGAGGTCAGACAAAGGAACTTCAACCGCTCGACAACGGTGTGAACCGGCCGTTCAAAGTAATGCTACGTTCACGCTTCTGCTGCTTCCTTTTTGCTGCTTGTACCAGTTAGTTCTGACGCGCGGCTGAAGCAGCTTTGCTGCTCTTTGTCTGTCTGGGTAAAGGATAGCGTGGATAGCGTGAAAAGTTATGGATGGTGTCCCCTGATGCCAAGGAACAATCCATTAGATTTTGGTGATGATCCAGATCATAATGTGGATACAGAATTGTTTTTTAAGATTTTCCAACATTGTGAGATATATGGCGGAAAAAGCAGTTCCCCACTGAACCAGAGGTTGGCAGCAGTGACTGTAAACGGCCTCAGCGTCAGACTCAAGAAGTCCAGAGGTATTTTACTGAAGACAAAAACAAGAGAAAAGGGAACATTGTTGGTTTGTTAGGATCAATTAAAAACTTCTGAACGGATTTTAATGAAAATGTTTTACCAGAGGTGTACTTCATGCCAAGGAACATTTCATTTAAATTTGGTAATGATCCAGATCAAGTGTAGGTTTTAGCTGTAGGTGTGAGTCAGTGTTAGAGTAGTTCCAGTTGTTTTTAGGGTTTCCCTCAGTTTTAAATTCATTTTTTTTTAGATACTTGTACCCATTTAAAATTTGGTATTGTGCCACTTAAAAAAACCAAGAGAACTTTATACATTTAAGCTAAATATATAAAGGTCTGAAACTTCTACCTTTTGTGCATTATATACAAAGTTTCTCTTGTTTCACAGGTACAGTTTACTGTTTATCATTTAAATAAGATTGCAAAACTGAAGTTGAATTTTGACCGTATATAATCATGCATTGGTTGCCCGTCCATTACAAATGTGCACAAAGCTATGTCAGTATTCTGCTAATTATGTGAAATAAGAAAAATAATTAAAATTGCACATGAATATTTTTGTCCAGTGTAATAACTCTTGAAAATAACATGGCAGCGGTGAATTGAACACATGAGATATACATATTTAAACCACAGCACATGATGGCATCTGTAGTGCTAATGCTTGGTATCCTATTTAGAGCAGAAACTTCATTGAAACCTCTAAACCCTGGTTAGCATAAACACATCAGTCATATGTTAGTTCATAAATTTGAGTCTTGTAATGTTTGTCATTTTGATATGAAAAAGTAAAAGATCTTGCTTTGTATTGGGTTGTTTTTTTCTGTATTTATTCAAAACGGTAATAAAAATTAATTAATGGCGTTCTGGAAAACAAACAGGGAAGAGCAGTGAGTCATTTTGTTTCTCAGCAATCTTTGCTTTGCAGTGAGCAACCATTAAATTGTTCGTTACAATTCTGACATCACAAATGCTGATTGGTCTTAATTATTTTGTGTTTGATAAAAAAATTCCTCTGTGAGTTTTTGATCTTTTAAATATTTATTGTTTTAAAGTGTCACACCATTGCAGCAGAGCTCAACAGGAAATAAAAAATCCCCTTACATAGCTGTGACTTCATAAAAAAGCCTTGTCATGTTCTTACACTTCCTTTGTTTTTGTGTTGATGCTCCTTTAGATAATCCAGATCAAACAGGAACTTGGGCTTTTGTTTGTCGCCATTTTGGGAAATCCTTTAGTGATCAAACACCTAGATCTGCTTTCCTTAGCATTGCTGCTTCCTTTCTACTCCCGAGGACTCGTCGCAAGAACCTCAGAATAGAGCCTGGAGTTTCTCCTTAACACAGAGTGAAGAATCACTCTGGCAACAAGGCAGTGGCCCACTTTCAGCGCAGTGAAAACACAGGAGGAAACCCACTCAGACTCACACAGCCCCTCCTTTCGCTCCCATCTGTCAGCATGAAATATTGATGCTCCTGTCGCTGTTAGAAATCAAACGCACTCCCTTTACGAACACACACACACAGATCCACCAAATATCGTGTTCTATCAGGCAAAACGCACTCACACACGGTACAACACATGAATGCACACACCTCCAGCCAGGCATCTCACGAGGGGCGAGAAAGATGCTATTAGTGGGAAGAGACGGGGGTGGAGGGTGGAAGACTTTTCTTTTTGAAGATATTTCTCTTGGCATAATCTCAGCGAGGTGATGAGCAACATGGGAGAAAATGTTCCTGAAACAGCAGGAGGGTGCGCTCGTTAGTTTGACAGGCTGGTTTTTAAACATCAGCAAAGTCAATGTGACCTTGGAGGAAAAAATTTGGTTTAATAAAACTCTGGCAGCTTTAAGATGCGGTGCTGCAGCTGACCCTGACCCCTGAACCTCCTGGCTAAGAGGGAACAAGAGCTCAGAAAGCAGTCATTAATGGGCTCAGTGAGCCTCTGATTGCAGAACAGTTCAATTTAAAACAGAATATGTGGATCATTGAACCTTGAAACATTTTGAAAAACTGCACATCCATCCATCCATCCATCCATCCATCCATCCATCCATCCATCCATCCATCCATCCATCCATCCATCCATCCATCCATCCATCCATCCATCCATCCATCCATCCATCCATCCATCCATCCCTTTTCTCAATACTCTTTCATTGTCCCTCAGTGGGGCAATTTGTCCTCTGCCTTTAACCCAGTGTATATTTGCGCCTCCCATAGGGGGCGCCATATCTTTTTGCAGATATTTTCTTTCAAAACTCAGGATATGTTCTCTACTCCACAGCTACAGACAAAACAGTGAAAGCTTTGTTTCTCTTCCATAATTTGTTTTGTAATGAACGTTCATACGGGTGCATGTAGGACCAAATAAAAGTGGGTAAATTAACATCGGGTGTTGATAGGGCGCACGATTTGTTTATCTGTGTGATTTTTGCTGGGTTCAGAGAATTGAGAGTAATTCTAGAAAGCTTTTTTTTCCATTTAAGCAGGCAGATTTACAGGGTGAGGGACATAAATCACTTTTAAACAATTTAAATGCACCAAGTGTAAGGTTAAAAACAGAAAAAAAGAAAAATTTGGCTCCCATACTTTGAAAAGTGCTGGCTGTTAATAATGAGTGGCACCTGGAAACCATTCTAGGGTTCGAACTGGGACTCTAATGGCTTGCTTCTTTTGGTTACCACTCCCTAATAACTAAAACTAAGACTACAGAAAGTTTATCAAAATGTTGTGGATATTTTTTAATTAGTACCCTTAATTAGCAAACCCTGACTAACTGACTACCAAGTATGCCTCAAATGACGAGACATTTCTTACTGAAACAGCCTGTAACAGCATGATTTTTTGTATTTTTTTAATCGTTTTTTTTATCAATGCATTTTAAATTTGTTAAATTGGTCTTAGGTGGCAGAAGTAGTAATGATCTTTAGCAGGTTTTTATCTGATTAAAGAATAACAGTCAAATCTATCTTTTCTATCCAGACGTTTTCCAGGAGTCAGAATGTTCGGAAATAAAACTTTTTTCACAAGGGAGGAAAACATGAAATAAGACCAACATAAAAAAGACGGTTTTCTTTGCTTACTCGTTGCTCTGATTTATGTGTTAAACTAATATAAAGGCAGTTTTTCCCAGATGTTTGTTCTCCTTACTGAGGAGTCGCAAAGCTTTGATGCCCTCAGAAGCACAGGATTTATTTAGTTCTTCTTTTTGGACATATGCAGTCTGTTGTTATGTTGTTTTATAGTTATGGCGGAGAGGAATGTAAGAGACATTTTACTGTCAACAGCAACCATCAATAAGGCTGTCCTGTAATCTGCCTCTTGGATGTTTTATTTGTTTAAATGGATGAAGCTGCTTCAAAACCTTTTTTTTTTTTTTTAGAAAATAAAAACTTTATATATTTACAGATGTTACCCTTACAAAGTAATAGCATATATGCAGAACACAAGTGAGCCACAAGTATAATTTTTTTGTTTATTTTTCTGAAATTTCTTTCTCCTTTTTAAGTTCTGCAGAGGTCATGGTTGGCTTGCTTATGTCTTCAGTGATCGTCCTAATTTCTGCAAATCTTTGGAAAAGTTCCACATTATCTTCACTTTCAGGGGAAGCTAATGCATTAGAGAGAACAGTGTTTATTTTGAAACTTCATCATTAAAAAAAAAAGGTATTCTTTCCCTCTCAAGGCCTTAAATAATCCATTTTAGTTGTTGTTTAGGACTGAGATTCCTCTATCGTACCTCAAAGCTTATATGCTTCATTGCTTATAGATTATCCTCATGTCTAAGTTTATTTAATGCAGGTTTATCTTGAGCAATCATCTATAGACATGCATTAAATTATGTAACAATAGCTCCATATTTCAGAAAATGCAGCAGTTCAGATAAATGAGATGGGGCATTCATCTGTCTCTTGTTTTTCTGTGCAGGTGCCTGTTTTTGCCCAGCCTGGCGCCCCATAACGCTCCCACCAACAACACCAACGCTTCCGGGGTCAGCGACGGAGCAGTGCTTAGTGGGATGGGAACAGGTAAAATGGATTCTCTGTGGTGGCTCATCGTTTATCTCTGTTTTTTTTCTGTTTATGGTCCAAATCTATGAGGATGTGACATGCAGGTGCTGCAGCAGCGAGCCACAGATAGGAGCAATGCGCTACGTTTCTTTATTGTTTCCGTTTTTTCTGAGGGATCCGACATGCAGAACTGGGCTTCTGTTTGACTAACGTGAAATAATATGTTGGGTGTTAACTTCGCCAAGAACGTTATGTTTTTAGGGGTGTTGGTTTGTCTGTCTGTGTAAAGGATAACGTGAAAAGTTATGGATGGATTTTAAGTAGTGCTGTCAAACTATTAAAAATTTTAATCGCAATTAATCGCCAGTTTAAGCGCCCGCGGATCAGGTCGCCGAGGTCTCCGCCTCTGACTGCCACCCAATCCTCTATGCACCGGTCCCTCATGGTTCCCCCTGCAGATGGTGGGCCCACTGGGGGATGGCCTCGCGTCGCTCCTTCGGGCTGGGCCCGGCCGGGTCCCGCGAGGAAGAGCCCGACCACCAGGCGCTCGCCGACGAACCCCAACCCCAGGCCTGGCTCCAGGGTGGGGTCCCGGCTCCGCCGTACCGGGCGACGTCACGTGCCTCGCTGTAGTCCTCGTCATAAGGGTTTTTGAACCGCTCTTCGTCTGACCTGTCCCCCAGAGCCTGTTTGCCTTGGGAGACCCTACCAGGGGCAACATAGCCTCTGGGATCACTCAGGCGCTGAAACCCCTCCACCACGTTAAGGTGTCGGTTCAAGGAGAGGCTCAGTGTAGAGCCGGTTCTCCTCCACATTGAGAGGAGTCAGTTGAGGTGGCTCGGACATCTTCTTCGGATGCCCCCTGGACGCCTCCCTCGGGAGGTGTTCCAGGCACGTCCCACTGGGAGGAGGCCCAGGGGACGACCCAGGACACGCTGGAGAGACTACATCTCTCGGCTGGCCTGGGAGCGCCTAGGGCTTCCCCCAGCAGAGCTGGAGGAGGTGTCTGCGGAGAGGGAAGTCTGGGAGTCTCTGCTTAGTCTGCTGCCCCCGCGACCCGGTTCCGGATAAAGCGGGAGACGACGACGACAACGGCAATTAATCGCATATTATCAACAGTTAACTTGAGATTAATCGCATATTTTATCTTTTTATTTTATTTGGCCATTTAAAAATGCAATTGTGCAATAATGTAAAAAACACATGCTTATACAAACATTTTTTATTAGCATAATTTTTCAAGCACTTTTAAGAAACTAGAATAAAAATATCCTGGTTTAAATTCTAAATTTTAAATTAGGCGTTATGCTTCCATCAAAACTTTACAAAACTACAGAACAGTAAACAGTACTTCAAAGTACTCCGTAAGCTTAAGTTTTTTCTCAAACATAGGACAAAAATAAAAATGTTAAAATAAAGTGCACATTCCGTTATGAAATACAGACTTAATTAAAATGAAATGAATTTACTCACAAAAATAATAAATAAATCTGACGAAATTACAATAACTGGGCTTTGCAGTCATCTCAGCAACATAATATTTTACATGTAGAACATTTTCAAAATGCTTTAATATTCCTTTGGTCTGAACAGGAAGTGCAGCAGCAGTGCAGTCCACATGACTTAGTTCATTTCTTTGTCTTTTTGGCACTAAGCCAGTGAGACGCTCGTTTCTTCTGGACAACATAGATAGACGACTTGGGTTTTGTCAAGAGAAACTTCTGGCATAACTTAAAAAAGAAACGTATCATTCAGGATACCTTGTCTGCTGGCCATTTTTGCCCATTCAAAGCACGGGTCTGTTATGCTGCGTTCTCTCCCGCAAACTTAGCATTCCTGAAGCTACGGAAAGCGCCGAGGGTAAAACAAACAGTACAGAGAGCGCTGCGGAAAAATAAAGAACACAAGCGAACGGTGCGTTTGTTTTGATGCGCGATTAACGTGCGTTAATAAAAATTTTGGCGTTATAGTCTAAAGCAGTTAACGCGTTAATAACGCTTTAAAACTGACAGCCCTAATTTTAAGTTTTATCAGAGGTGTCATCTCATGCCAAGGAACAATCCATTAGATTTTGGTGATGATCCAGATCATAATGTGGATACAGAATTGTTTTTTAAGATTTTCTAACATTGTGAGATATATGGCGGAAAAAGCAGTTCCCCACTAAACCAGAGGTTGGCAGCAGTGACTGTAAACGGCCTCAGTGTCGGACTCAAGAAGTCCAGAGGTATTTTACTGAAGAAGAAAACAAGAGAAAAGGGAACATTGTTGGTTTGTTAGGATCAATTAAAAACTTCTGAACGGATTTTAATGAAAATGTTTTACCAGAGGTGTACTACATGCCAAGGAACAATTCATTTAAATTTGGTCATGATCCAGATTATGTTTTAGCTGTAGGTGTGGGTCAGTGTTTAGGGCTAAATTTACTGCTTGGTGGAGGTCTGCTCTGAGTTCTCTCTTAGTTCCAGTTGTTTTTGGGGTTTCCCTCGGTTTTAAATTCATTTTTTTGAGATACTTATACCCATTTAAAATTTGGTATTGTGCCACTTAAAAAAACCAAGAGAACTTTATACATTTAAGCTAAATATATAAAGGTCTGAAACTCCTACCTTTTGTGCATTATATGCATTATATTATTATATATATTATATTATGCATATTATAAGTTTCTCTTGTTTCACAGGTACAGTTTACTGTTCATCATTTAAATAAGATTGCAAAACTGAAGTTGAATTTTAACCTTTGATAATCATGCATTGGTTGCCCGTCTATTACAGATGTGTACAAAGCTATGTCAGTATTCTGCTTATTATGAAAATGCAAATTTTCACAACTGTGAAATAAGAAAAATAATTAAAATTGCATAAGAATGTTTTTGTCCAATGTAATAACTCTTGAAAATAACATAGCAGCGGTGGATTGAACACATGAGATATACATATTTAAACCACAGCTCTTAAGGCTTATTGTCGCAAACTAAATGTCAAAAAGTACTTTGTCTCCTCATGAATCCAAATATGGTACACCATCATCCTCCGTCTACTTCCAGTCTTCTTCTTCTTCTTTTTTAAATTCTTGCTTTAGGTTTCAGATCATGAGTGTTATAAAAAAATAAAAAATAAAAATGCAGTTTTGCAAAATATAAAATGTTTGATGCGACCGAAGGATTTTTTATTTTTTTATGGGGGGTGGATTTTACAGCACTAGTGGCTCGCAGCAGGCTTTTAAAAGGTTGGTGATCGTCTGAAAAATCAGTGCAAGTAAAGGTATGAAAGTCAAGCAGAACAATAAATAAAGAGTGAAATTATACCTCCTTTTAAAACTTTGTTTTTACTCAGCACCTTTTAATTTGAATTCCCTAAATAAAGACAGGTTTAAAATCGGATCTACATGAAGATGAAGGAACACAGAAGAGGAAGGGTCACAAGTACAGATTTAATCTTTTACAGGTCACTCAGTGAAACACATTGAAAATCAAACTTTCAAGCCAAAAGAGTCATTGGAGGAAAGGACAAGATAGTATTATTTTGGAACCTTCTAAAAAATATGGATATTTTGATGGCAAAAATTAAGGTCAATGTAACAATAAGAAACGGCCACTTGTTCTACTATATTTTAAAAAAAATGACAAAAGTGCTTCCATAACAATTTCATGACAAACACAGAGTGAAATAAACAAATTTGTTCTGTTACCGCATAACCTTAGAGCAGGGGTCTCACATTTTCCAGGCCAAGGATCCCCAAACTGATGGTGAGATGGAGCGGGGACCCCTAATTATGTATGAACTCGTGTTATATCAAACTGGTCCTATAGTCACTAATCTATTCTAACGAAAGTAATTTCTCCCTGGGATTACTAACGTATTTCTGAATCTGATTCCTGGTTGATGGGACAGGTGTTGGTGACACGGTGCCCAGCTTGAAAGAGCTCCTGTGTGTCACTGAATGTGTGCATTGATGACTGAAAGACATCTACTGCCTCCATTTATCTGTTTACTACAGTGTGTTAAATTCATGTTAATGTGGATTTAAAGACATTTCAATTAATGGAAAAAATTGCAGGGGGGAATATAAAAAAAAAAAGTTTAATTAACCAAAACATTTGCGACCCCCATGCAGTACCTCCTAGGGCAGGCATCCCCAAACTCGGTCCTCAAGGACCGCTGTCCTGCAGGTTTTAGAGGTTTCCCTGATTTAGCACAGCTGATTATGATGATTGCAGTAGAGCAAAAGCCTGTTAATCAACTATCAATTAAAATCAGCTGTGCTGGAGCAGAGAAACATCTAAAACCTGCAGGACAGGGGGCCTTGAGGACCGAGTTTGGGGATGCCTGTCCTAGGGGATCCCCTAGGGGTCGCAGACCCCCGGTTGAAGACCTCCGCCTTAGAGAATTAGTGCTGTTACAGGCACATAATTTTTTTTTTTACTTTTTTAACTTAATAACATTTTAACTCTTTCCCTTACCTCTTTACCTTTTTAGTTTTTTTTTTTCATAAAAACTTTATTTGTACTAGCTGATATACAATTCAAGAGCTCATCTAATGGGTCAAATGCCAAAATAACATGTACAGCCATGTAGCAGTATTTGCTCAATGGCAGGATATAGATCTTGTGCTTCTAGACCTCACTGAGGGGGGGGGGGGGGGGGCTCCAATTGTAAGGGTTATGCAGGTGATTAAAAATGGTAATTTACCCTATAAAGGGTTAAAGCTGGTTCAGGTCAAAGAAACTGTAAAAATCTGACCCAGCATTTAATTCCATGTTTTTCCTGATTCCTCATATTTACTTGCACCAGTGCTCACACATTCACTCCATGTACTTAATAATCAGCCCTTTTTTATTTTAATAACTTTCAGTTCTCGTCTGCTGGTAGTGTTGGAAAACCCAGAGAAAAGCAAGCATTTAAAAAAATGTCGTTTCAGCAAGAATATTACCCTACTTCCATTTATTAGCACTACATTGTATCCGTAAAAAAGTTAGATTTGACCTGAACAGATGACCTCATCCCTCGTACAATTTTTTTATACGATTGCATTGTTTTTTTGTTTTTGTTTTTTTTATAGCGTGATGATCTCAAACTCCAGAGTTAAGCCTGTAAAAAGTACAGAAATTATTAATATTTAATGATGCTCTCATAAAACCAACAATGGAGAAGATGGTAAAAAAAAACATTAGTTAGGATTTATCATCGTTACAATGAATCAAAATTAAATACACAATAACTGTAACTGGTAAGATAGATGAACATCTTTACAGCAGGTAAATGCAGACTTATATGTTGACTTTAGTTTTTTTTTTTGTCAAATCCAACTAGAATATTATTTGTTCTTTGCTAAACTCTAATCCACCCTCACTGTATCCAGTTTGGAAGTGAAAAAAGGAAGTGAGGAGTTTCCTGAAGCTGCTCTGTCTCCTGCATGCGATGCTGGAGGACATAGAAATGAGCCTCTGTGGCCAACAGGAGGTTTTTAAATTCACAGCCAGGAATCATTCTTTCTGATGTGACTTAGTTTTAACAGAATGATTGTTTTGGACTTAGATCGGCTTGGGCCGAGTGCTGTCCCTCTGTTTTTCACAAAAGTTGCAGCAATCACTCCAGCAACCAGTGACTCAGCATGTTCTCAGTTCTTGCATTAATCAGCGGGTTCCTCTTTCCTACGTTAATGTTAAGGCCAATAAAGGGAAGTCGGTGAGTGCTGGGTTTTAAGGTTGCTGCGTTTGCAGCCTTTATAAATTGACTTAAAAATGTAAAAGTTTTCAAATCTAAAATATTTGAATTCCGTACAAATAAAAATGTTTACAGTTTTAACTCAAATGGAGTTGCTTTGCTTTATCTGTTTAGTTCTTGGGGGAATTTTGTGAAATTTTTCGCTTTACCTTTTGATATGAATTTTTTTTAAACTTTTTTTAACTTTTTTTAAGATGTAATTTTCTCACGTGTCATCATGTTTTTCCTTCCCTGCAAACAGGAGAAGCTAGCAGCTAAAAGCAACATGTGATCAGCAACCTTCAGATCATCCAAATTGAACCAGCTATCAGTGAATTTGCTCTCCAGGTTTTTAGCAAAGAATCTTTTAAGTTGACAATGTATTTTCTAAAACAAAAGCAGATTGAAGCGATCATTTAATGCTCCTTTTTTTGAGATAATATTAAATCTAATCTATGACTTTATAGATGGAGCTCTATTATGTGTCCTCATTTAATATTTATGACGCACAGAGAGACTCTCCGTCTTCTCTTACATTACATTCTCCTGCTCCACCGGGCTCTAATCTTTCTGAGCTCTCATCCAGTGCTGATCCTCTCCTTGTCCTTTCCAGCCTGTTGTCTAGCTCTATTTATAGACTTTGCTCTGTTTCTCTGTAACTCATATTTTCCCTCTTTGTGTCCCTCTCATTTTTTATCTAGATATCTAATCTCCTCTCCTCCTTGTCGCTGCCTTGAATCCATCTATTCTCATTGTTAGCTTTCTGCCCCTTTTCTCACCTCATTCATCCAAAATGTCTCCTTGCTCCTCACATTTCAAGATGTTTTTACCAACTGACAGAATTTTAAATCATCAAAATAATTTTCCTCAAAAAGGAATAGATTTATGTTGATTAGCTTAAATGACTGATCCATGGAAGGTTGTATTGTTTACTAATGTTAACAACCTGAGTAAATGATTTTTTTGCACCAGAAATAGAAATCCTCTTTTCCACTGGCTCTACTTGACCTGGCTCTACTCAACCAGACGTGCTTTGCCAGGGTTTCTATACCTTTTTTATTTTTTATTTTTTAGTACCGGTACCATCTTTTTTTGGTCCGTGTTCAGCAGTATGTGAATTCAGAACTGAGTGAGGCCCATTTGTGATGTAAAAGCATGTTTTCAACATCTACGCTACTTTACACTTATGTAAAGATAAAGCCTCATGCTTACAGGAGATGTGGTTTTTAGATTAAAGCCTTTTTAATAACAAATAATTGAATTAATATTGACAATATCAAGAGTTATAAGGAGTTAGAAAAAGGTTCTAAGTGTGGTATAAACTTTAATCTGGACTTAAGGAGGGGTAGTCACTGGTTCTATGATTCTTGGAGGAGATATTGCTTTATCTTTTACATGATAAAATTGACATGATGATTAAAAAAAATGTTAACCAGGTCTCAGTTTAAAAAAAAAAAAACTATTTATTAACAAATTTATTAAAGCATTAAGAATATTTATTATAGCACATGGAGGGAGCAGCAATGCATGCACTCCACATGATCTTAAGGCGGGGCTGCTGAATGCACTAATGAATCGGTCAATGCGTGCACATATCAGTTGTTACCATACAAGAAAAAAATACTGGCCGATTTATAGTTATGTCTCTACATTGCATTATTAATCCCATCAGACATAAATATCAGAAAATGTTATTGGTTTTTAAATTGTCCAACTTTAAATGGCCCAGCTGAAAGCAGGCTGTCTTTTGAAGTTACTCCCAGCACCAGGATTGTTTCTTTTAAGTGGTGTTTTCAACATTGTCATGGATACCACCAAGTAATGAAAGATAAGGAGGCTTAAACAACAAAACTAATTAGAAAACGTTTAATTGTTTAGATTTAGAGCTTTTTTTTTGGCTCCGATGGCCATATGTTAGGGGAGAAAATGGCTTCAGTAGCTTTTCTGGGTTTTGCTTTGTTCCGTTTCCCCTCTTGAGCGGCCGACAGGATGTTAGCCGACACCCTTTGACCAAACCTTATGTGTGCTCTGCTAACATATGATATAGAACAGTAGGGGTACTGATCAGAGATTCATCATCCGGTCATACCCTAAAAACAGTCCTCTCTTCTCTCCTCCAGGTGAGCGCCCGTTTCCTCCTCCCTCTGGTCTCAGCTTCTCCACCTGGTTCTGCGTGGAGCGATTCAGCGCGGCCCCTCAGGCCCACCCGGTGCGTCTGCTGACCCTCGTCCGACGGGCCACCTCCTCAGAGCAACACTACGTCTGCCTGGCCGTAGTTCTCTCCACCAAAGACCGCTCACTCACCGTCTCCACCAAGGAGGAGCTGCTGCAGACATACAGTGAGAGCAGAAGTCTTTTCCATGTTGTAAACACAAGCAGTATAGATGCTGTTTAGTAAATAAACCTTCTAGCTGAGCTCTGTGGCTCATTGATTCTGCTTCCACCCCTGCCCTCCAAGCAGCGGATGAGTCAAGTGAAGACGCCTCCTTCTACGAGATCCTGCCATGCTGCGCCCGTTTCCGCTGTGGAGAGTTGATCGCCGAGGGCCAGTGGCATCACCTGGTGCTCGTCATGAGCAAAGGCATGCTGAAAAACAGCATGGCAACGCTGTACCTGGACGGCCAGCTCGTCAGCACTGTCAAGGTAACATTATAGACGGAATGGCATTCACAGGGCGGGCAGTCGGCCATCGGTACTCAGGACTTCCTTTGCTTGAAAAGTTTCAAAGGTTTTATTAGTTTTTTTTTTTTTTTAGGTTTTTGAGACACTAGTGGCTCATTTTGTATAGTAGTCTGACAGGAAAGGGGGTACAAAAAAAAGGCGAGACATGCGGCCAAAGACCGCAGGCTGGATTCAAACCTGTGTCGGCCATGTCGAGGACTAAGGCCTTTGTACCATGGTCATGCACGCTTACCACTGTGCCACCGAAGCATGCCCCAAAACTTTTAGTTTTATATGTTCAAAAATGTGTTTCTCTGGTTTCTAACTCGATAGTTTTAAAATATTAGATTTTCCCCCCAAAATAAACTAGTTCTCTATTGGCTGCATATAGCACATGGTTATACTACTGTACATCCATCCATCCATTATCTGACACGCTTGTCCCGAGTGAGGTCTTGAGGGTTGCTGGTGCCTATCTCTAGCAGTCAACGGGCGAGAGGCGGGGTACAACCTGGACAGGTCGCCAGTCCAACTATTGTACATGAATACATAGAAAAGATATTCGAAAAGCTGAAATGCAGCTCCGGCTTTCAGTGTTGTGCCCTTGGGCAAGACACTTCACCCGCATTGCCTACTGATGGTGGTCAGAGGGCCCGGTGGTGCCTGTGTATGGCAGCCTTGCTTCTATCATCGAGCCCCAAGGTAGCTGTGGCTACCATGTAGCTTGCCACCATCAGTGTGTGCGTGTGTGCGTGAATGGGGAAATGCAGAGTAAAGCACTTTGGTCAAATCGCCTCCATTTACCATTCTAGTATGTGCAGCTGCACTCGCAGCCACAGGCTGACAATGCGTCCAAAGCTCTGCAGTGGTGGCGACACTGTCAGCCGTACAGTCCTCAAGAGGAGAAAGGTCTAGATGCTGTTAGACATCCTTTAACCTTTATTTTCTGCAGCTACACCTCTTTTGAAGTCCTCTATGATCTAGAAATTGATTTGTCCTAGTTGTAGCTTTGTTAGCAGGAAGTTTCTGTATGTGAAATAATTTAGAAAGAAGACTAACTATTCTTACTGCAGAAATATGACTTTGTTTACATTTGCCCGCTTTTACAGAAATAGTGTTGCACATTAGATTACTGAAGGGGTTTTAGACTCTTAACAGCTTTACCAGCTGATTATATGAGTTTACAACAATCAGTTTGGGAGAGTGGAAAGTCTTTTATAAATTCAAATATATGGGCAGAAAAAGTTATTTGAAATAAATCTGAACCTACCGGTTCTCTGTGGAAAAAATTTCTGGACTACCAGCTTTAAAGCTTGTAAACTAATAAATATGACTTTACACACCCAACCACCCACATTAATACACTCTCCATTTGTATTATTAAATTTAGGCAGGATCGGGATGAGTCGGTAATAAAGATGACACACAGATACACTTACACTGTTTCTGCTAGAGTAAAATGTGTCGTTTTATTCCGCCACAGAAAACAGCAAAGCAAGCACATCAATCAAGGCACGGTGCTGAATACAAATTAAATTGTTCCAATACAAATTATATTGTCCCCCTTACCATGACACAAAGGATCGGAGGGCCGGTCGACCTCGGCAGGGCAGCAACATGCGCAGCTAGGCGTTCATACGGAACCGTAGCACACTCTGCAAGTGCCAACCGCTGGTGCACGATTACACAAACGCATGATTACACAAACCAAAATATGTTTCTGGCATCCCCTGAACCCACTTTTTACAGCATTATATAATGCTCTCAAGGAAACAGAAACTTGGATAATGAGTGTGCTTAGGCAATAAGAGTGCTTCATTTGTGATACAAAACTTGTATGATTTTCAAAGAACATAAAATATAAAACCCATATATATCACCTTTCCATGTTTTATGGTCCTTGTCAATGACTCCCATTCATTTGTATTGCCTAACCCAGACTAGGGGTGAGTATTGGCAAAGAAGTCATTAATCGATTCAAATCACGATTCACATGCCACGATGCGATTCTATCACGATGCATCATGATACTTGAAATATTGCGATGCATTGCGATATTTTCACTGAACACTGTAAGAAAAAGATACAGCCATTACCAGTGGCTGACTGGCTGGGTATGATCTGGATATTGTCTTCAATTGAAACATCAACTCACCTCAACTCAACTTTATTGTCAAATGTGCTACATGGTAAACATACAACACAGATGAAATTTCAGTCCTCTCAACCCCACAGTGCATAAACATAACATGAAAGCAACTGAATTCATACATAGCTGTATTTATTGAAACGACTTTTTGAGGTGTTGCCATGAAAACAAATACTGGACAGAAATATTACTATTACTGGCGTGGACACACTGACAAAAAGATCTTAGGATTCATGAAACTTAAAATAACAAAATAAGGATAATCAGTGCCGTTTACATGGCCTCAGTGGTCCTTTAAACCAATGAAACGAGAATATTCAAATGTATATTTCCTTTTGGAAATGACGTGCGTCATATCAATTTCATTTTTACCTTCTTTGTTTTTAAAGCCTAAATGCATCCAAGCATCTGACTTGAAATGTGATCGAGCCGCGGGGCGAATTTTCTCAGTGTCCTCCATGTTTTGTTTACGAATGACTCATCGTAGTATCCTGCGGCCGGACATTCTTGTGACACAAAGCAGCAGGCGTCAACACATCCACAGTGACATCTGCTGGACTGGAAGTTGTATTCAACTTGATTTGGCTGATGTGCGCCAACCATTCATGTATTTTATTTGTTCATTTTTTTTTTATAACCGATTCTTGCCTTCAAGAATCGATGCAGTAAATCACAAAAATTAGAATTGCGATGCATCGTCATGACGATTATTTTGCACACCCTTAACCCAGACCCCAACCATTATCAACATTTATCTAACCTGAACCTCAACTGAAATTCACCACTTTAGAACTAAACCCAACACCAAACCTAAGAAGAAAACATTTGCAAACTTTAAAAAAAATGGCCTTAAACTATCCCCACAGAGTAAAAAAGAAAAGTCCATTCATTAATTTTTCAACCATTCTTATGCCCTATAACCCTGACAATAAACCTAAACTTAACCATTACCAATGAATACCTAAAGGTATACCGGTAACTAAACCGGTACAATTAGTCCAGTCCAAAGCCCTTCTATTCAGATCAGAGCCTCATGGGTGCTCAAAGGGAAGTAACTTGTGACCTGGCCTTAGTGTTTTCCTCTCTGATCCCCCCCAAATTTCAACACAGAAACCTGCCTCTTAATCAGCAGCGGTGTCATACAGCAGTCAGCAGACTGTGATGTGGTCTGCGGTGGAGTGACTTAAGATTTTTCTCCTGAGATTAAACAACAAACCACAAGTCACAGCTTCCTCCCTGCAACACTGATAACAGCGGTTTCATTTCCTGCTGAGGACAGGAAACAGCGATCTCTCCATAGCTCTGCCTGCATGTAGCTCTGTGTTTGTGGTTGATGCTTGTTTTAACTCAGCTGAAGTTGTAACCATGTTGGCCATTAACATAAATTAACATGAATGATCGGATCAGCCGTTGCAGCAGATTAAAATCTTTGATCATCTGATATAAATTTATCAAATTATCATTTTCTTTTGAGATATAAGAGGTTAAAAGAGCTGTTTTTAGAATTTTTTCACTCGCAGTGAGGGATCATTATTTAGGTGATATTCCACTGCACATGCAAACCGGATTATACTTATTCAAACCTTGAGGCACCGTTAAAAAATTAGATCTGCTTTTTAACCCTGCGGCCCAAAAACTTTCATAAAGAGGTGAGCTAAAGAGTTCTAACAGTAGATAAAAAGTTTCTTTTCTTTTTATATTTTTCACAATTTTACACCATCCTTCTTACATAAAAAGAAAAAACAATTTGTATTTTTATTTTTCTGTGGAAATTCTCAGTCATTCAGATCATAGCAATCAAAAAAGGTACAGTTACTATGCAATTCAAGACTTAAAAAAAAGACTTTATGCGATTGAATTTCATCACATGAATAAGCTATGCTGCCCCCAGTGGCTTAGATGTGCAATTGCCTCTAAAACTCTCTTATCCCAATGTTTGATTAGATTAGATTTTGAAGGTTTTTAAATAAAATTCCTTTTGATTTGTTCTGACTAAGGTACCTTTAAAAACATACCATTATAGATTGAGTCAGTGGATAAGTCCGAAGAGTGTGTAATAAGTGTTATGTCACTAAACATCATGCAAAAAACCTTAGGATTTCAAATTAGACTTGCAAAAATCACAAAATAATTGTTTATTTATAAAAGTTGTTAAATTGTTTTGCAAAAGTGTCATGAAGGTTAAAACAAACCTTAATGTGGTGTTAACATTTAAAGGTCTTTTAGGCTCTTGTAGAAGCTGTTGTCACGGAGCGAGAAGGAAAACTAAAACAGCTTTCTCCATAGATCTTATTTTAATAGTATAGATCTTTAACTTTAACCTGAGATGACCACACTGCTAACACGGTCCGATTAAGTGTGGCCTAACATAACAAACTCTCCTGTGTTCTTGTTTTGTTTTGGATTCTCTCTCTGATGAGTGTGGTTGGTAGCACACCCTGGTACCATTCTGACTGGAAAAGAGGAGTCTTTGAGTTTCTGGCTGTTTGTTATCTGTGGGGGATGGTCAAACTGAAAATCTACCTATTCTGATCCCAAGTCCATTTCTATGAGGATCCTTAGAAATAAATGTAATGGCTGTGGAGAAATGCCTCCAGTCTGTATGTAGTCTCTGTCTGTATTGTATGTCCTGTTTATCATTCCATTTCATAAAAATTTTTTCCCCCCACGTTTCTACCTCCTTCCAGCTCCACTACATCCACAGCACTCCGGGCGGCTCAGGCTCCACCAACCCTCCCGTGGTGAGCACCGTTTACGGGTACATCGGCACGCCGCCCGCTCAACGCCAACTTTCCAATCTGGTGTGGCGCCTGGGTCCCAGCCACTTCCTGGAGGAGGTTTTACCAGCCACCAGCGTTGCTGCCATCTTTGAACTGGGACCTGACTACGTCGGCAGTTTTCAGGCTGTCTACCTGCCCTGTGGGTGATCCTTCTTAGATGTCACATTTTGTTCAAACTTAACCATTTTTTTTTTACACCACATCACTTGTGTTTTGTTTTTTGCAGGTAAAGACACAAAGGCGGAGGTGTCCCCTGCTACTCCGGTGGCTCTGGTCCCAGAGGAGAAAGTGTCCTTCAGCCTCTATGCGCTCTCTGTCTCTACGCTAACAGTGGCTAAAATCAGAAAAGTCTACAATAAACTGGACAGCAAAGCCATCGCCAAACAGGTCAGGAGAGTAAAGTTGGAGGCAAAAGTATAAGAGAAGCAGTCATAACAGATGGCAAAACATTATTAATGTTCAGACATTTTTTTCCTTCGTGACGATGTTTTTCATCATGTGTGCAGAGAAATAGAAATCATGCTTTTTTGAGAATGTTTTCGTGGGAAAAAAGGTGGATTTTCATTATCGTCCTGTTTCCTTTATGACCTTTTATTCTCTGACATTTTCTTTTGGTGTGGAATCTATTGTACAACCATTGCATCAACCTTGCTGTTGCTTTTATCAAAATGTCATCAGATGATCTAAAATGTGGAGGGTCTTAAGAAACGTAGTAGTAGTGCTACGTTTGCAAAGATAAAAAAAAAAAAAAAAAAGATTAAAGGAGCATAAAAAAACCTATCAAACTTCTTTTTCACATCGTCTCCAAAGGAAAAGACAGCCACATCAGACTAATGTGCATTTACATGCTGGTGTGGAGGGATTCAATTCACTCACTGTAAATAAATGCATATCTTCATTTGTTCTGTAAACAAAATCGTATATTATGCAGTTTTTTCCAAATCCCCCCTGCTGTCATTACTTGGTACAACCTATTCTTGCTAAAAGTACAGCACCGGATCCTCAGGAACATTTTGCAAAGTTGAAGCTAATCAACTTTAGCTCAATCAGAGTCCTGGGTCTTTTCTTATGATCTGTTCTCTTCAGCTTAGCCCACAGTTTTTTCTACAGAGCTGAGGTCTGATTTACCACTTCTGTTATCATTTGGCCAACTGGTTCGACTCACATTATTGCCAAAAAGACGAGTAACAACCTATTTTTAGTTTGGCTGCCACAAATTTTTGTTTTTATTATCTTTAAGGCTCCATGATGCAAACAAGCTTCTTTTTCACGCCACTGAAAAACAGACAAGCAGATTGATTTACACCCTATTCCACATGTTTACATTACAATGACTGGCTTAGATTGTGGCACCAGTGACCCCCCCCCCCCAAACATTTAGTTTTTCATTTGGTCAAAAAATACCCTATTTGGATTATTCTGTTAACCCTGAGGGGAAATAAATGTTGTAGCTCTTTCTTTAACGAGCTGTTGGAGTTGTTGATGGCTGTAGTCATATAGGATCTCTTTTAGCGTTCCATTGTTCAGGCTAAGAGAAATAAACTCATCTTCCTCCTTCCCTTTAGCTTGCGGTGTCCTCTCATGAAAACGCCACTCCTGTAAAGCTGATTCATAATGCTGCCGGCCATCTCAATGGGCCGGCACGTACCATTGGAGCTGCCGTCATTGGATATTTAGGTAAACCTGTTCATATGTGTCCCTAAAACCAGTTACTTAAGCTGCTCCCTTCTTCTCTGAATGGATAAAAGTACATCTACCCTCCTTTGTCTCCCCTCAGGTGTCCGTACCTTCGTTCCCAAACCCGTCGCCACTAACCTGCAGTATGTTGGTGGAGCCGCAGCCATTCTGGGCCTGGTTGCCATGGCGTCAGATGTGGAGGGGCTCTATGCGGCAGTTAAAGCTTTAGTTTGTGTTGTGAAAAGCAACCCTCTGGCAAGTAAGGAGATGGAGCGCATCAATGGCTACCAGGTGGGTCAGCTGACACTGTGGACTACCGCTCTGTCCTTTATGGTCCTCCAGCTGATGTTTTTATGCACTGCAGTCAGATGGAGCTTTTCTTTGTCATGGTTAATCCGTTATTAGTCACCGTATATATGATCAGGAAGTTCTCACTAACTCTTAGTTTTCTTTTAGTCAGACTAGTGTTCTTTCATCTTTTCTTTTCATCTTTTTATTGAACTGAAAAACAATAGTCAGAGCCTTTTCTAAAGCTTTAAATTTGCATTTTTTATCCATTTAAGGGAAAACCAGTGTCCTGTTTTTAAGACCTGCATGAATAAAATGTCCAAATTTTACTCTAAATCTTACCTGTCAGAATGCAGTAGGAGCTTCTGATGAGGACACCCCATGGACACTCATTTGTTACTTACTAACTATGCTACTGAAAAAGTTTCTCTCTGCATGCCCCTCTGACACAAACAGGATTCAGATCTTGGTCTCCCTAATCAAAGAAGCAGACTTATCCCACCACCTGACAGTATCTTTTCAAACCCAGCAGAGTGAAACCTGCCCTGTTTATCAAGCAGACATCTATGAATCATCCTTACCATGCTCTCCTTTAGCTCTGTTCATGAGTCGCCCCTAAACAAAAAAAATAAATAGAAGTGCAGCTTTAGTGTAAATAGTCAGATTTTCTGAGTATTATAAGCTAAATAAACTCAATTAAATTCATTTTATGTATGTAGCACCAATTCACAACACATTTTATCTCAAGGCATTTTTAAGAAGACAATACTGTCAGATTGGTTAAAAGTTCCTATCAAAGAAAAGTAGTTGATTGCATCCAGTCATTGACTTACAAGATATGCTCCTCTTCGATGAACTTTTGGCAACAATTTTCTCTGCATTTTGGAGAGAGAAACTCCCTTTTAAGAGGAATAAACCTACACCAGAACAAGGCTCAGTGTGAGCGGCCATCTGCCAAGGCCAACTGGGGTTCAAGGAAGTAGAAGCAGACATACAGAAAGAAGTAGAGATATAAAAGGGAACTGTTAGCTAGCTCCAAAGGCGGCCTGTCCAAGAAACAAACAGACAGGCTGATGAGCTCTGAGCTACACTGTAGCTCCCACGTCAGAGCAATGAAGAGGGCACATAGAGAAACAGGACTACACTGAAAAACAGGCCAAGCTCCAACATCTACATACAAAGGTGTTGATGTCAGCAGCACAACAGATATTCTCTCCGCAATGGTGTCACAGGAACAGACCAGATGAAGCTACTACAGCAAGAAAATCAGAGAGAATATAAAGTTATGGGTGGAACTAACAGATACTGCAGAATGGGGGAGTAGAGGTGGAATGAACCTGAATGATGAAAAGGGGTCCTTATGTGCTCCAGCAGTCTAAGCCTATAGCAGCATAACTATAGAAAATACATAAGGATAAATTACTATTTTAGATGAGGTATGGGAAATATAGAGCTAAGTAGAAATGTCTGTCCGAACTGAAATATGACCCAGCAACTAAACAAACATCACTCTGTTTTTAACTATAAACTTTATCAGAAAGGAAAGTTTTAAGCCTGATGACTAAAAGATCTACTTCCCATTCTACTTTTAGAAATTCTAGGAACCAAAATAAACCTGCAGATTGAGAATGAAGTGCTCTGTTAGGAACATAAAGAATGATCAGATCTCTGATATAAGATGGAGCGTAGTTATTTGGGGCTTTATACGGGAGAATGACTTTTTAACATCGATTCCTCATGTTTTCTCCTTTTAGCTGCTGGCTATGCTGCTGAAGAAGAAACGCTCACTACTCAACAGCCACATCCTCCACCTCACCTTCTCCCTAGTGGGAACAGTCGACAGCGGCCACGAAACCTCAATCATTCCCAACTCCACAGCTTTCCAGGACTTACTTTGTGACTTTGAGGTGAGCGCATGCAGAGTCACTGTTAGCTTTGAGGCTCCATTCTTCCTTAACGCTGTCGTTTTTCCTTTTCTGATGCTTGTAATTGCCCGACACTGAAAAAGCTCCTGCTTTTGTTGTTCTGCCCCTCAGGTTTGGCTTCACGCTCCATATGAGCTCCATCTGTCTCTCTTTGAACATTTCAATGAACTGCTGACAGAATCCAGGCAAGAACAAACACTTTAGCTGTTTTATTTCCTGTAGGCATACCACATAAGCTAAAATCCTTTTGCTTTGCTTACACAGTGAAGCAGCCAAAAATGCTAAACTCCTTCGGGAGTTTCAGCTGATCCCCAGGTTGCTGCTGACGCTGCGGGACACCTCTCTGTCGCAGTCCACAGTGGCCGCCATCAGCAACGTCCTCAGCCTGTTGCTACAGGGCTTCCCAAACCCTTACGACCTGCTGCGGTGAGCACGCACCTTCACACTCCCTGGAGCTCAGAGGTTTCATGTTCAGTAGCTCTTATTGTGCAACGCTGTCCAGTAATAAGATATTAATATGTAGATACTTTAAAAAACTTTCCACTTTTCAATATAACAAATAATCTGTTGAGTTCCACAGGGAAAATGAATTAATCTGTGAGATTGTGGGTAATATGCCCAAGCTGAGATGTTTTAAAGACCTTTGTAGTTCACCTTTAGTCTGATTTGCTATTTGTGCTTTGCTAAAGTTCTTCAAGACTTCCAGATTGTGAGCATATCTTCTGTCCACAATCCTCATCAAAAGACTTTACTTATTTTTTTTACGGTTTAGCACTGGATGCTTGTTTAGCCATTCAAAAAATGTACTTATTCCACAATGACATAAGTTTTGTTTTAGTTCCTATTATGATTTTTATCACAATGATGTTTACACCTCAAGATTTCAGTGAGGATATTTTGCTTTGGAGTTAACTGGGATGATATTAACAGCTGGGATTTATCTCTGTCAATTTGCTCTTGATGTTTTAGGATAAGTCATGTTTTATTGTTTGGTCATATGACGGTGACTGTGATGCAGCAAAGGGTTGTGGGTGTTTAACTAAAGCAAAGGGCTAAAATCAGAGTTTCGGTAGATTTTTCTGTTTGCACAGTTTATTAAAGAATAGAGAATTATAATGCCTGTTGCATCTGGTGCGTCCCTGAACAGCTTTTGTCTTGTTTTATAAACATTTTGAGAAAGTTGCATTTTATGTTGCTATGGGCTTTTTTTTTCTGCACTTCTGAAAAAAAGTTTAGCTAGAAGTTCTGATAGGCATAAGACGGAAAAACTGTTTTTGGAGTTTCTGAGCTTTATTTAATGTAAATGAGATTAACTTTAGTTGATGGCAGATGACTCGGAAAAGCTGAATCCTGCAATTGAATTAATGTTAGTTTCATAAAATATCAGTTTTGCTTTATACACAAAAACCAGCTTATTGAACCTTTTTATCTTACCTGCAGCAGGTTTGCTTTTTTTTTTACAGTTGCCTTGTGCAGGGAATGTATTTCAATAAACTAAAATAAAAAAAAAATTAAACGATTTATCTTCCGTTTTTACAGTTTTTAGAAGGACGTTAGGATTTTTTAGTCAGCGCTCTTGATTTGCATGGCAGTAGCTAAATATGTAAACGTGGTGTTACTAGAAGAGCCAACAGACAGAGTGAGGAATGAGGAATTTTTTTCTCTGCCTCACAGGTTTGGTCAGTTCATCTCCTCGACTCTTCCCACTTTTGCTGTGTGCGAGAAGTTTGTTGTCATGGAAATCAACAACGAGGAGAAGATTGATGGAGGTGAGGGTGAAACCCATTGAATCGCTGATCTTTAGCGTCCCTCTTGTAAGGGATCCTTTAGGAGAATCTTTAGAGAAGTTATTCTAAAGTCTTTGGGAACATTTGCAGGTAATGACGACGATTTCAGCGGCCTCCTGTCAGCCAGCCTGATCTTGCTGAGAAATCGACTTCTGGATAACCTCCTTAAGCTGCTTTTCACCACCAAAGAGAAGTGCACAGTTAATGTCCAGTAAGATCCGTCTTGTTTTTAAATGAAGTAAAAGCTTTAATCATAAAGCCCTGTGGAAAATGCCTTCAGGTTATTTACATGGAAAACATTTTATTATAGTGCCTAATGTGTAAATGTGTGACCTTAAAGCAAATACAACAAAATAGCAGCTGCATTTTTAGATTCAAACAAGGAGATTAGAAAGATATGTTCTTGCAGGGCGTGTGAGGAGCTTGTGCGAACCCTCGGCTTTGATTGGCTGCTGATGTTCATGGAGGAACATCTCCACTCCACCACGGTGACGGTGGCGCTCCGGATCCTGGTGGTCCTGCTGTCAAACCAGCCCATCCTGAACCGCTTCAGAGAGGGCCTGAGTGGAGGCGGATGGCTGGACCACACCGACTCCGTCCTGACCAATAAGATCGGCACAGTTCTGGGTAAGCAAAAAGCCCCCCCCCCCCATCGCATGACTGACACTTCATCACAGATGAGAGCCTCAGTTTGGTTAAAGTTAGGCTGTTTTGTTGCATGAAGAGAAACATTCAGAGGTTTGCAGTCATGATGTCTAGCATAAATCCCTTTATGTTGTAACATGGCCCAGCAGACGACGCTCCTCACTCTGGCAACGCTTTCCGTCGGAGCTGGCCGTCGTTCAGTAAACAGAAAGCTGCACAGTTTGTGCGTCGCACGGCCAAGGGTTTGTCCTCTTGTTATTCGCCCTTCTGCCTCCCCTTGCTGCAGATCTCATAGTTCCTCCTGAGCTCAGTGCTTTTCAACCTACTCCCAATGTCAGATTTCGACCTAGATGACTTTATTTAAATAATTAGATCAACTCGCCCTCTTGCAGGTTGAGAACCATTGGTTCTGCTTTAAAAGCTCTCCCAGTAACTCACAGTTTGTGCTATAAGGATCCCTTTAGTTTCATTCTGATTTATACTGCAAGTGTTTGGTAAATATTTTAGCTCCTCTGAACCCAAAACCAGGTGCAGAAGTCCTGTTTAGAGCTGCCTGTAGGTGCCTCAGTCACAGGAAGACCCTTCAGCAAACCCACTTTATTCACTCCTCAGTTTGTTCTGCTAAATCCTCCCTAGGCTTTAACGTGGGTCGCAGTGCCGGGGGTCGTTCCACGGTGCGAGAAATCAACAGGGACGCCTGCCATTTTCCAGGATTCCCTGTTCTGCAGACTCTGCTACCCAAACACACCAATGTTCCTGAGCTGTACTTCCTGCTTATGGCCCTCTTCCTGCAGCAGCCTGTCACTGAGCTGCCAGACAGCCTGCAGGTACATGTTAGTATACCCATTTTCTACTTTCTTTTTACACTTAAACTATTACTATATTATTACTCTTTTGTGTTTCTAGCTTTGCACTAGACTGGTTTCCTGCTGTACAAATAAAATTTGCTCTCTGTAAAAAACTGCTGACAGGGTTTTTTTTTTAACCTGTGAGGTTCCCCAAGGGTTAATGCTTGACCCACTGTCATTTTTATAACTGGATTTCTTTTTTCTTTTTTTGTAGCAGTGCTCAGTTATGAGTGTTGAAGTTACCTATCATGATCCCAACTTTAAAAAAGAAAGACCGGCTTTCTGAAACTGAAACAATGGTTGTAGGCCACTTAAAGAGTGCTTTACCCATAGCCATGTAATAATTCCTTTGGGCAGATTATTTGTAAATTGGGGATGATTTATGTTTCCAACTTAACTCAGAACATGCATGCAAAATCTTTTAGTTGGTTTTAATTATACTAAAATGACTATTCATTTATCTTGTGTTGCCTCCATGCAGATAAGCAACTGAAAAATTAAATGTGTCAGTTTGAGTCTATATTAACCCAGATTGTGTGTTTTTCCTCTCAGTTTGACCTGGATTCCATCTGGACGTTTATCTTTGGGATGCCGGCCTCCAGTGGGGCGGTGGTGGGCTCCATCCACAGCGTGTGTACTGAGGCGGCCTTCCTGCTGCTGGCCATGCTGCGCAGCATGCTCAATCTGGTAAGAACTTTCGTTTTTTGATCGGTTTTCTGCAAAAACCAGAACCATAGCGTGACTGCACAAGTATTTTCTAGTAGCTATGTGGCTAAAAAGCAAAATGTTTTTATTTAGTCTTGGTTGAGTGTGCCCAGCATCGTCAACAGATAATATGGGGCTGTAAATAGTTGGCACATCTGGCAGTAACATATTGTCATATTGTTATGATGATTATAAAATTAATGTATGTACATATAAAACATTGGAGAAATTAGATGCTTCACTCTGTCTTATGATTCAATCAGAAGACCGCTCTGTCTTGTGATTCAGTCAGTGGAGCATCCTGTCTTATGACCTGATCAATTGTCCTGTCAGAACAATACTCTGTTTTGTAACCATTTTGTAACCATTTTTGTTATGTTCTGTTAATAAAAACGCTCTGCAGAGGAGGTTCGAGGGAGAGAGAGTTGGAGCGTTGGGTTTGGCTCTTTCCCCTTCTGCAGAAGCTGTTGTTGAAAATCCCTTTCTGTGTGTACTCAGTCCTTCTTTTACGAACCTACATTTTTTAACCTAACACATATATTTCAGATAAAATTAATCTTTATTTCTAATCACTGCTCTGAAGCTTTAGTGTCTCAGATCACAGATATCAAATATAAACCAAACACTTGAAACAACTATGTTGCCAAATACTGCAAAATACCACAATTACTGGTCCCCATGTTGTCAGCTTTGATCATCACATACCTCTTGACTCCCCAGAGCTTTGAGTTCCTATCCGATCCTGTGTTTTACCCCAGAGACTAGAGTAGAGACGATTGTGTATCTTGAGAACTATCAGGGTGGATTTTGCGCCTTGCTATCGATCATTGTCCTGCTGATAGACACGACGACCTGTTTTTAGCTTTCTGGGAGAAGCAAACAGTTATTTTGATTTGAAAAATATGTCCTGGTTTTTCCAAGTATAAATGATATTTAAGATCATTGAAAAAAAACAAATAGATTCTACTTATCACAGATCCAATAGAAGTTTTTCCATAACATCTTTTTGGTTTACACCAGACCTACGTGGAATATGTTTTCTTAAAAGGTTGATTTTATACTTTCCTGACCTTGATTCTGGTTTGCTCTCAAACTTTACCTCTAATAGTTATGGATCCTTGCATATGATATTGATTTTACAGCTATATTAGCTCTGAATTGTTATAGCAAAATAACAGTGATTATCTGAAATAAGTGTTTTAAAGTGAAGTATTCCTACCACAGATAAGAATATCTGTGGAAAGTAATCTAATTACATCTTAACTTGGAACCACATCCTCAACTTTAGTCGTTTAGTTTTTGCTTTGCAAGTATGTGACTGTGCTATGGAAAATTTTAAAATTGAATAAGCTTACAGGATGGGAAGCGAAACGTCTTCAAACTTGGAAACTTTTTTAGCTTTTTTGTAAAAAAATTACGTTTAAATTAAAAAATTATTTATTCATTTATTAAACCTAAAATAACCTATTTAAATTTTAAAGATTTAAATTTTTTTTTCTTTTTTCCTTTTTTTTTTACTTACCCAAAAATAAACTTGACATGCATTATTCTAATTAAACAAAAAATAGTAAACCTTTTTTTGCATGAAATGAATATCTAAATTATTATTTGATTATATAAGTGTTTTTTTTTACACATTTATTGTATTTAATTAATATATTTAATAAAAAAACAATTCATCAGTTTTTGGCAACCCCCCCCCCCCCCCATAAAAAACAGATTAAGGCCACCCCTATTGAAAAAGCTCACTGTACCTTGGCCCGTTTAATAAATCAACAAAAGCAGTTTGGTGCACCAAATCATCAAATTATTACTAGATTGATTTCAACATAAAAAGGTTGTTCTCGACTTCTTAAAATCCAATAATCCAAGAATAATGACTGTAAATCCATCAGTGCTCTTCATTCGTGTCTTTGCTCCTCTGTGAGTTAAGAGGCTTCTCCGGCCCCCTGCTGACTAAGTGGCTCAGTCTCTGAGAAGTCGTCTGCTGAGGGAGTTTCATTTACTGTTCAGAAATAAAGGATTTAAAATGTGAGCTTTGAGCAAATATTTAATGTTTGATTTGTGTTTCCTTGCAGCCATGGCAGTCTGAGGAGGAAGGTTCTTGGCTCCGGGAGTACCCAGTGACTCTCATGCAGTTCTTTAGGTACCTTTACCACAACGTGCCGGACCTTTCACCGATGTGGCACAGCCCTGAGTTCCTGTGCGCCCTGGCAGCCACCGTCTTCCCCTTTAACATCAGGCCGTACTCTGAGATGGTAGGACTCTCTGCAAAAAGAGATAAATTACCCTGAATCAGTGTGTTTTCTTCTGCTTAAGGTCTGTAATGATGTTTAAGAGGTCTGTCTGCCTTTGAGCACTTTCAAGGTTTTTTTAATGTTTTTCTTTTAAAACTACCTCGATAAAAGCAGAGTGCAACGATCGAAAAGGATAAATAGAAGCTGCTTTTCTTCGTCCTCTCTCTGCTGAAGCTGTATAGACTGTTTTTCCCTCTGTTGCTTTAAGGTGAGTGATTTGGATGACGAAACCAGTTCTCCAACCGAAGAGTTCAAGGCCTTTGCTGGAGACACTGGGATGAACCGCAGCCAGTCTGAATACTGCAACGTGGGCTCTAAGACCTCCCTGACCAACCACCCTGCCAAGAAATATGTCTTTGACTTCATGAGGGTCCTGATCATGGACAACATGTGCATGACCCCCGCCAGCAAGCAGACGCCCATCATCGACATGCTGCTGGAGGTTCGGGACGCTATAATCAGACCCAAACCTTTAGATCATCTTTGGATAACATCTGATCACGTTTTTGCTTTAACCTGTAGGCCTCCCCAGATCGCTCCACCAGAACTCAGCAGAAGGAGTTTCAGTCCAGCATCCTGGATGGAGTCATGGAGCATCTCCTGGCCGCAGATGTCCTTCTAGGTAACAGCATACCAGCATTTTCCTTTATTTATGCTACTATCACAGCTTTATGTTCTCAGTTCAGGGATTTATTACCTGCTTAATTATAGAAAATCAACACATTTCAATTAGCAAGAACCTCCAGTGATTCAATTCGAGTTTTAAGCAGTGATGAGCATCCCTTAGTTCTGTATGAACCCTTATAGGTGTTTCACAAGAAAGGAAATTACCCTCACACATATTTAAACAACGGTTTCCGTCCAAATAGCTTCTTCATTCTAAACTTTCAGAAAACCTGAATGCAATTAAGGCCAAGATTGAAACTAAAGCCCCAAAACAATTTTTCTTCTTTTAAAATTAATTTCTAAATGAACTTTCGGGTTGAAACTTCAGCTTTCCAGATTGAACACTGAAATGCACAAATAACTTTACAATCCTCACTGATTGTTTTGATGGTTAAACACAAAAAAGCCTCCCGATGAACTGAAATACAGGTTAACCTGAAACTTGAAACCGTCTGAAACTTCACCGTATCCAGATTTCAGGTTAATTTTAGGGAACAGGTGTCATCATACAGTCAAGAGTTGGCTGACTGTTTCTGAAACTTTAGAGGTTAAAGGAATTTCTTCAATGGGAAAGTTTCTCAAAAGCTACTTGTAAGTTTCTGATGGTGGCCTGTTAGTTTGGGTGGAGTGGCCTGCAGGTTCCTTAAAGTAGTCTTTAAATTCCTAAAACTACAAATTACAGTAAACATGTAACTTGTAATCCCTAGAAAGTTACATCATGGAAAATAGTATTTAAATCCATTGACTGATCATCTTTACCGTTTCTGAGAAAGCACCTCTAGTTTGGTGTTACTGCAGAAATTCTCAAATATTTCACTTCTAAGAAGGTAAAATGTAAACATTTAAAAAAAATAACTGACCTGGAAGAAACCTCTGGGCAGGAAATGTGACCTGATGGTCGCAGGAAGTCATTTGTACATTTGGAGAGAGTAACTAGGAACAAAAGCTGTAGATTCCAGGATAGAACTCTGGAAACTTTCTAAACATGATAAAGTTCTGCAGAGTAAACTGGAAGCTTTAGGCTTTATCATTGATTTTCAGCATAGTTTCCTATCAGCATTTACTGAGTTAACTGATAGTTGAGGCCTTTTTTCTTTTCTATTTTTAACAAATTCTTAAATCTGAATGTTTTTTCTGTGTCTCATTTTTTTTTATTTCCACTGAAGGTTAATTTAGTAACAAAATTAGACAGAAATGTAGGTAAATGCCTAAATTCACATGTTAAATAAAGAAAATACAAATTTCTCTCATCTTTAAGGTGAAGACGCCTCTCTGCCTCTCAGCACTGGGGGCAGTTATCAGATCCTGGTCAACAACGTCTTCTACTTCACCCAGAGAGTGGTGGACAAGCTTTGGCAGGGAATGTTCAACAAGGACTCCAAGCTGGTGGTGGACTTCATTGTGCAGCTGATTGGACAGGTATGTCCAAAAATGGCTCATTTGAATCTCTTCCATAAAATGTAGCAGTAGTATTTATCCTACATTTGTTAGCTTCAGGTAATTTATTTCATCCTGAATCACTGTGGCAGATTGTGAGACACAGACTGGGGTATTTGTACCTCCTAAACTGGTTGATTTAGTTATTTGTCAAGTTAACTGAACCAATCCATCTAGAAAATGCCATTAGATTAGCAGCATGGATGTAACTATAAACCATATTTGTCCATTTCAATTGAAACATTTTGACAAAAATGACATTAACATTAAAGCCTGAATTGTCAGACATTTGGGTATTTTGAGGTAAACATATCTAGTTCACACACGATGGATATAATTTGTTCATGGGAGTTTGAAGCAGAGTATAATACAAAATAAAACATGACTTTGTGGCTATTGAACAGCACATAAAGATTGGATCATCAAAGTAGCTTAGACTTATGCTACGTTCACATGTAAAACAGCGGAGGAAGCAGACGCAGCTAATTTACATGCATAGTCAATGGTTGACGCGCATCTTGGTGCAGCAAAAGGTCCCACAGCATGCGTTTGAGTAGCAGGCGCAGCGCGTCTGAGCAGCTGAAACAGCGCCTGATGTGCGGGACGCACTGCGAAAGCAGCTGCTGCTGATTGGAAAAATTGAACTTTTGCTACTCGATGTGCCACATCAACCAATCAGAGTAGCTAATTTATGAGCTGGCAGGGAGACAGACACCGCACTGCTGATGCAGAGCGCTATGATCAGGGGAGTGATCGTTTAGCTTTTATTATCCTGTAGTTTGGTGTACGTACAAGAAAACGCTAACATCTACTTCCAGCCGCTGTGAACAGTACTTGAAAACGAAAGTTACGTATGTAACTACGGTTCTATGAATCCCGGATGACCGCCAGAGGGCGGTGCTGAAAGCACTGAATGTTCCCTTCGGGCATGCGCAGTTCGAGTAATTATACCAACAGAGTCACACCTGTGACACCGGATGACCACTCAGAAGCTATATAGCCTGGTGTCATCCTTTGCTCTGCTCCTTTTTTCTTCTCGCAAGCGGTTCGCTAACTTCCCCGTTGTCTGAAGCCCCTGTATCTTGACTGGAGTTGCGGTTATTCTCCGCCCTCCCAGGGCTGCAACGGGTCGATTCTGAGGATTACGGAAGGTAAGTGAGTTGTTTGCTGGTGATGGTAGCGTCCGCGCCCCCTCTCCCGGCTCACGACTTTAGCTTTTTACCTACAGCTTCGTGCTGTTTTGTTTCGAACTGGTGACGGCAGCGTTTTCGCCCCTACTCCCAGTGTGAATAACTTCACTGCCGAAGTTATATACGGCTAACATAGTTAGCTTCTTTAGTTTGTTGGTGTTATACCTGGTGACGGCAGCGGTTTTCGCCCCCTCTCCCAGTATATTCCCTACTTTTGCATCCTTTTTTTCACCTGTCTGCGCTGCTATAATTACTGACGGCCGCGGTTTTCGCCCCCTCTCCCAACCAAGTGTGGTCTACTTCGTTTGCCGAAGTTGGAGACTGCTAACGTTGTTAGCCTTTTTTGGTTTGTTTGCAGCCTTCTTCATCGGTCTGCTTAGTTATGAATGGTGACGGCAGCGTTTTCGCCCCCTCTCCCAAAATCAACCTTTTTTGCAGCCTTTTCGTTGGTCTGCTCTCTTAATTGGTGACGGCAGCGTTGTTCGCTCCTACTCCCAACTTAAGTTTCCATACAGCTAACATTGTTAGCTTTTTTGGTTTATTGGTTTTATACCTGGTGACGGTAGCGGTTCTCGCCCCCTCTCCCAGTATCGGCTGCCTTGTGCTCGCAGCCTCTTTCGTTTCTCTGCTGTAATTGCTGACGGCTGCGTTTGCGCCCCCTCTCCCGATTTTCGATAACTTTCTGTTCTTTAAGCCTTGTCGGCCTTCGACATGGATGGCTCCCACAGCTGCATGGATTGTGGGGCTGCCCTGCAGGCAGAGGATGGCCACGACCTGTGCCCTACCTGCCTTGGACATGAGCACCTTTTGGAGGCGCTGTCTGAGAACCCCTGTATGAACTGCAGCTTTATGCCCCATGCAGTGAGGGTGGCCCGGTTGGCCCAGTTGTGCCCTCAGGAGGGCTCGGACCTTCCGCCCTCTGGGCAGGTGGTTCCCCCCAAGCGTTCTAAGCGCCGTGGTGGGACCACAGCATCTGTGCCCCTCCCCCGGAGGAAGCGGGCCAAACCTGACCAGGGCCTGTCCACAAGGGTGGAGCAGTTGTCAGCAGAGCTGGCAGAGATGAAGTCCTTGTTGCAGACACGGCAATCTGATCCCTCGCTCCCAGTGGTTGGGCTCTCTTCCCCACCAATGCCCGAGCTGGTTGTAGAGGATGACGTTATCTCTCTGGCTGCTTCCGCTTCTCATTTTAGAGATGAGGAGGAGGCAGGGTCCTCTCAAGCCTCTGAGGCTGGTTCATTTTCATCTCAGAGTGCGGTTGGAGAGGCCGGTGATGGTTCCATGCGGGAGGTCATGTCTATGGCCCTGAAGCAGCTGCAGCTGGAACTCCCACAAGGAGAGGCATCCAGCTCCGGCAGTGCCTTTTTCAGACATGGAAGGGCTCCTACTCCTTTTTCTGTACCTCCATCAGAGGAGTACTTGAAGGAGTTACACGCCTGTTGGCGGGAACCGAGAGCGCTGTCGTTTCTCTCATCGGATGGTCGTGTATTAGCTGCCATGCATGAGTCGGTGAAGGCCGGCAAGACTGCTTTCCTGATGGCTATCGTCTCAGCTAAGAGGGTCAGTGAGCTACATGCTCTTTCTGTCAGCCCTAGGTGTATCAGGTGGAATCCAGATGGCTCTGGTGTTACCCTGTGGCCTAATACTGCGTTTGTGCCTAAGGTGTTGTCTCCTTTTCACTGTAACCAGCCATTGCGGCTGGCTCGGTTTCAGCCTCAATCTGGTACAACTGAGAATGAGTCTGAGTTGCTGTGCCCAGTAAGAGCGTTGGAGGCATACATTGCAGCCACCGCCAATCTGAAACGCTCGGACCAGCTTTTCCTATGCTATGGGGGTCCAAGGTTAGGCTGTCCTCTTTCTAAACAGCGTCTGTCCCATTGGATTGTGAGTGTCATCTGCCACGCCTACGCTGCAGGTCACTGCTCCCTGCCAGTCGGTGTGAGAGCACATTCCACCAGGAGCGTCACCGCTTCCTGGGCTGCTTTGAGAGGGGTTCCGCTGGAAGCTATATGTGCTGCTGCTTCATGGGCTTCCCCAACCACCTTCACCAGGTTCTACAGTGTCAATGTGGCTGCCCCTCATCCCCTGGGTCAGGTCCTTTTACAAGGTTCTGCTGGGCCTCCTCTGTGAGGTATGTGCTCAGGATTCCTTGTGACATCGTTGGCATTAGTCATTCAGTGCTTTCAGCACCGCCCTCTGGCGGTCAGTAGGGATGAAATAGAACGAAAGTTACGTATGTAACTACGGTTCTATGAATCCCGGATGACCGCCAGAGCTTCTCTGTCACTCAGAATCCTTGCTTTTGCGAGAAGATTCTGTAGGAGCAGAGCAAAGGATGACACCAGGCTATATAGCTTCTGAGTGGTCATCCGGTGTCACAGGTGTGACTCTGTTGGTATAATTACTCGAACTGCGCATGCCCGAAGGGAACATTCAGTGCTTTCAGCACCGCCCTCTGGCGGTCAGTAGGGATGAAATAGAACCGCGAAGAGGCGACCTGGCCAGAGGCTGCTGTTGAACGGGATTTCTAGTGACAGATTACCGCCGGTGTACGGGCGTCTGAGTTGCTCTGACAGCTAAATAATATTTGAAGGCAGGATTGTAATCTTGATGAACTGAAGGCACAGATTGTTTTCCGGTGGACTTTCTCATTTAAAAACATTAAAACTACTTTTTACCCACTAATTATAGCAAATATGGCTGTCATTGTGCAGGCAAAGAAAGGATAGGGTAGCTCTGCCCAACGTGCATCAGACCCACTTTTCGACCACGCTGCTAGAGTTAAGAGGCTTTAGCCGCACATCAGAACTAAACTTGTACAAGCATAAAAAATGAAGCAGCACTTTTGCTGCTTGTTGTTAAAGATAGGCTCTATGTATGCACCTTGGCGCTCTATCTCCCAGGTTCTTTTTCCTGAAAAGAGATCACTCGGGACAAACTCTTTAAATAACACTTCATAACTTATATGTAATAAATAACCAGGAGACATGACAACTGATTTTGATAGAAATTGAGTGTGCAGAAGGCAGCTACTCACGTCCATGCTCACCTCTCAGGAAGTGGCCCAGATTAACAGTTAAAAAGGCATTTTATAAAACTCCAGATCACCACTTCATCACATTTTACATCATACACGTTAGCAGATGATTATACATTCATTGCTTCAGCCTTATCAAAATATTACACTTCGTTCTCAGCTGAAGGACACAGCTCTCATTCCATTTCCAAATCTTTGCCAAGTACAGAATGAAGATTATTACTGTATGTCCAGACAGAGGAACTGTCTTAATTAGACTATTGTGGAAAACATCAGTTCTGACACGCAACAGGCAGCCAATACCAAGGTGTTATAAACTCACACATCATCAATGATAATAATCCTAACATTGTGGTGTGAACGTAGCATTAGACTTGGACATAAACTCAACCTCAACTTGATTTATTCCTTGGGATTACTCCTTCAGGGAAATTCTAGTTCTAGTAGCTTATATACAGGTGCTGGTCATAAAATTAGAATATCATGAAAAAGTAGATTGATTTCAGTAATTCCATTTAAAAAGTGAAACTTGTATATTATATTCATACATTACATACAAACTCATATATTTCAGATGTTTATTTTGTTTAATTTTGATGATTACAAATGACAACAAATGAAAATCCCAAATTCATCATATCAGAAAATTAGAATATTACTGAAGACCAATAAAAACAAAGGATTTATAGAAATGTTGGCCAACTGAAAAGTATGAACATGAAAAGTATGAGCATGTACAGCACTCAGTATTTAGTTGGGCCTCCTTTGGTCTGTATTACTGCAGCAATGCGGCGTGGCATGGAGTCGATCAGTCTGTGGCACTGCTCAGGTGTTATGATAGCCCAGGTTGCTCTAATAGTGGCTTTTAGCTCTTCTGAATTGTTGGGTCGGGTGTATTGCATCTTCTTCTTCACAATACCCCATAGATTTTCTATGGGGTTAAGGTCAGGAGAGTTTGCTGGCCAATTAAGAACAGGGATACCATGGTCCTTCAACCAGGTACTGGTAGCTTTGGCACTGTGTGCAGGTGCCAAGTCCTGTTGGAAAATGAAATCTGCATCTCCAAAAAGTTGGTCAGCTGCAGGAAGCATGAAGTGCTCTAAAACTTCCTGGTATGTGGCTGCGTTGACCCTGGACCTCAGAAAACACAATGGACCAACACCAGCAGATGACATGGCACCCCAAACCATCACTGACTGTGGAAACTTTACACTGGACTTCAAGCAACGTGGATGAAGTGCCTCTCTTCTTTTCCTCCAGACTCTGGGACCTTGATTTCCAAAGGAAATGCAAAATTTACTTTCATCAGAGAACATGACTTTGGACCACTCACCAGCAGTCCAGTCCTGTTTCTCTTTAGCCCAGGCAAGACGCTTCTGACGCTGTCTGTGGTTCAAGAGTGGCTTGACACAAGGAATGCGACAGCAGAAACCCATGTCTTTCATACGTCTGTGTGTGGTGGTTCTTGAAGCACTCACTCCAGCTGCAGTCCACTCTTTGTGAATCTCCCCCACATTTTTGAATGGGTTTTGTTTCACAATCCTCTCCAGGGTGCGGTTATCTCTCTTGCTTGTACACTTTTTTCGACCACATCTTTTCCTTCCCTTCGCCTCTCTATTAATGTGCTTGGACACTGAGCTCTGTGAACAGCCAGCCTCTTTAGCGATGACCTTTTGTGTCTTGCCCTCCTTGTGCAAGGTGTCGATGGTCGTCTTTTGGACAACTGTCAAGTCAGCAGTCTTCCCCATGATTGTGTAGCCTATAGAACTAGACTGAAAGACAATTTAAAGGCTTTTGCAGGTGGTTTGAGTTAATTAGCTGATTAGAGTGTGGCACCAGGGGCCATCAATTTTGAACCTTTTCACAATATTCTAATTTTCTGATATGATGAATTTGAGATTTTCATTTGTTGTCATTTGTAATCATCAAAATTAAACAAAATAAACATCTGAAATATATGAGTTTGTATGTAATGTATGAATATAATATACAAGTTTCACTTTTTAAATGGAATTACTGAAATCAATCTACTTTTTCATGATATTCTAATTTTATGACCAGCACCTGTAGAGTACAAATGGCAGAGATAAAGCAAGATTCCATTAAAGATCAAAAATACAACAGACAATATAAAAAAAGTGTATATAGTACAGAAAAGCATAAAAAAAGTTGTAATGTCCTAAAATATGTTTCCCTTAAATATAAAAATATCTGCACAGTAGAGAGCTAATGAAAGACTACACATTAGTTGACTTGGATTATTGCACTTGTACTGCAGAGATGTACTGACCTTATAGACAGTTACATAAGGTCAGTACATCTCTGCAGTATACCGGTAAGTGCTATTTAAATATCTTTATGTGATTAGTGCTATTTCTGTCCACCTGCTTATTGTCAGTTATTTCTGTTTTTAACAGTCAGGTTTTCTAGTAAAGTTTGTGTATTTACAACTCAAAGCCTCATTGCAGTTAGTTTAGAAGGCTGTACCAACAAAAGCTAACAACCAGAGCGTGTACACAGCCGACTAATGATTGAGTCTGCTTCCAGTCTAAGAGACGGTCCCAGGGTCTGTCGCTGGACACCATCTACCATTGTCTGAACCGGACGGTGCTCTACCAACTCTGTCGACCCCACAAGACGGTAGCTCAGCAGGTGGCCCTGCTGGACGCCCTGCGAGTCCTGACGGTCAACCGCAATCTGGTGCTCGGCCCGGGCAACCACGACCAGGACTTTGTGGCCTGCCTGGCTCACTGCTTCATCTGCCTGCACAGCGGGAGGTAAGAAGGAAAAAAACCAGACATCTGCAAACAGGGGCAGGAATGTTTTTATTTGTTTAGAGGGAAAAAAAGCATAGTGTTTTTGAACAGATTTAGTTTGAATATGCAGCAAATGAATCCCACATAGAATTGTGTTGCATGTGGGATTTGGTGACAAACAACATTATCTGTAACAGATGTGCAGCTTGTAGTGACATTTTATGAACTTTAAAGCAGGTGTGATCAGATTCCCTCAGAGTCTCATGCCATCCCACCCCAGAGATGTGATGTTTCTACAACCTAAGAACCAAACAGTTACCTGCAGGATGTGTTGTTCCATGATTGTTTTTCTCTCCTCAGCAGCGTGGAAGGTTTCGGTTTGGAGGCGGAGGCCAGGATGACTACCTGGCACGTCATGATGACCGCAGAGAATGAAACTGACTCAACACACAGCCACGATGTCAGCGAGGGTGAGACACTATGCTCATTCTACTCATGTGTGGGTTTGTTGTACGCAGAGGGATTTATTCTTGTTCTTATTATTCATCCTCCCCTAAAAACAAGATCCAAACAGAAGGTTTTCATACATTTATCTATGGAATCGTTTTCTTCCTGTATCGATTTTTATTTTAAAAAGTCCCGTCTGAATAGAGGTAGACTCTTTGTGCAGCTCTACAATCAGAACACAGGTAGTTGATCAGAAAAGCAGCCTTACATCACCACTTTTAACGTGATAAGTTTTCTCCCTCCTGCAGGGCGACAGCTGCTGCTGAAGGCCGTGAACCGCGTGTGGACGGAGCTGATGCACAGCAAGCGTCAGATGCTGGAGGACATCTTCAAAGTGTCTCTGCCATGCAATGACAGAGGACATGTGGACATCAGCACCGCCCGCCCTGCTCTGGAGGAACCTGCTCTGAAGAGCTGGCAGAACCACCTAGGTGAGGGAAAAAACTCAGAATACATTCAACCCAATCGTACTCATAAAGGGCATGGCTGTACGGCTCTTTGTGAAAACAACTCTGTTATCGTTGACTTCTGTGTCGATTCACATCGATATAAGCAGGTTACTGCTGACATTTTAAAGTGGTTTCTGTTTTACAGCCAGAGAGTTTGGCAGACAACCAGATGTTCTGAAGTTTTAAAGTTTATTTATTCAGTGACACAAAATCCATGAAGAACCAGCAAACAAAAAGTGTAATCTGCTCCTCTAAAATGGAAAGTAGTAGTTTGGAATTATTTGGGTACAGAAACAACAATCTTTAACGCAACTTTAAAAAGCGACAGCAGAAAAACAGACTGATACTGGAGAACGACTAAACCAAGCAGCCTGAGGCATTTAACAGAAAGTCCAAAATGCCTCACAGCTTATGAGATTCTGGGGTGACGGTCCTGACCAGGTAGGCTTCCCTACAGTTAGAATTTTATTGTGCGTTCAAATACAGCTCGTACAGCGGCTTGTCCAAATATAAAAACAATGCTAACATCATTTAAAGACACGTAGAAATGCTCCTAAAAATCAACACTTAGCATTTTGTTCTTGTGTAATCCATTCATGGAGCAGATCTAAGCGGTTGGTTTACAAGTTTAATCTGCTGTCTGAACCTTTACCACAAGATTAGGTAATATTAATCCTGAGGGCTTAAAGTTTAAATAAATGCTGTAATCTGGACTCTTTCTCTCTGCGTTATCAGTTCATGAGAAAAAGTACATCAGTCGCGGGGAAGCTGCAGCGCCAGCCGCCCAGTCCAAACTCTCCAGAGTTAGCAGCGGCTTTGGCCTGTCCAAGCTGACCGGTGTGCGCCGCAACAAGAAGGAGAACAGCCTGAACAAGAACAGCCCGTCTGCTCTGGTAAATTTGTCGCATCGAATGTCACTTAGTTCAACCCATATTAGGTCGGGTTTCATTTTCCATTTCTGACCAACAGGAGACTTTCCAGTGGATGTTCACGCACATCGCAGTGGTTCGGGATCTTGTTGCCATGCAGTATAAGGAGTATCAAGAGGTACCCAAATAGGAGGGACACTGCAGTGCGACTTTACAGAAGCATTTTTGCAGTTCCATTTATAATTCATAGCAGCCTTTTTAAAGTGACTGACCGTCAGCTTTTCATCCATCTGTTCTGTCCGCCAGCGGCAACAGAATGCCCTGAAGTATGTGACCGAAGAGTGGGCGGCCATCGAGTACGAGTTGCTGCGGGAGCGAGGCCTCTGGGGCCCGCCCATCGGCTCCCACCTGGACAAGTTCACGCTGGAGATGACGGAGGGGCCGTGCAGGATGAGGAAGAAGATGGTTCGCAATGACATGTTCTACATTCACTACCCATACATCCCTGAGACCGAAACAAACACCAACTCTGCACAGGTACTCAGCTCTACAACAAGAAAATCCTCCCTGATGAACCAGTTTTACAAACTTTCTACTTTTTCAGATTCAATGTATGTGCTTTTATTAGACAGAAAAGCAATAAGTGTAAGCTAAAAGGTTTCTCTAATCCCTTGCAGAATTGTTAACAGGGTGTTTTGAGTTTAAGAGACAAGACTTGAATTACTTGCCCAACAAAGATAAAATAAAAAAGAGTCTTAGATCTCCATCCTATATTCTTACATTTGACAGAATCCAGCTTCTTCTTCTTTATCCCGTAGTAGTAAGCCGAGATCTGGTAACATATACCCAGAAGACATTCCTTTTAGTTCTCTGCTGAACACAGCTGATTAAAAGGTTCCAGGTTAGTTTAGACACGATTCATTTAAACCGCAGAGCACCAATTCACATCAAATGTTACCTGGAGGGACTTCACCACATGAATGGATACAAGGTAAATCTAGGCCTTACGAAATCAAATCACTGTAGTTTTTATCAGTACATTTGAATCATTTAGACAGACAGTAGGGATATATTTTATCATGATTGTGCATGAACCACATACCGATAACGTATCCCATGAGGAAAATGCCACCCATTTTACTTTATGTTTGCCAAATATATGTCTTTTTTTATACATTGTTCTTTGGATGTGGAGCTGAATTCAGTTCACTTTGATTTATTTTAAAAAAACCCTAACCCAGAAAATGTCCCTTATATAAACTGGGTCATTTAAATGCGCTTTATGGAACATTGTATCTCATGTTAACTAAAGATATTATTGAACCTCGGGTACATCCCGGGTAAATACATTGCTGGTAGGGTTTACAGATTAAGAGAGGCCCATGTCAGGAGATCATTGAACACCTTCAGAAGTTGTGCTGATCCGTTGACCTCCCTGATGGTTGACATCGGAAAACACAGAGGTTGATCTGAACCAGCACATGCTTCCCCTCTAGGTAGGACAGCCATGTGCACGCAGCTCCAGAACATTTATATTTATATGTTCGTTGTGCTCCCATCGACCCTAAAGACCGTAAACCACTGCGCATTGCCACACAGCACTCCAGCCCATGCGACTGGCATCTGTGGTGGCCACCTCCCTGCGCCACACCTTTATTCCCATAGGGACGCCCTTGAACAGTTGAGTCCGGTCTCGCCATGTGGCCAGGGCATAGAGGCACATCCATGTCACTGTGAGCCTGTGATGTATGTGTACGATGTCATCAAGAAGAAAGCTGTTGTGCCACCTTTGAAAAGGAAAGAGCAAACCCAAGAGCACACCATAAGTGACAGAGGTCAGTTTGCCTTGCATCTGCAAGAAGGTGATGTAAGGAAACCGCCAGCTTGAGTATGTCGTTCACCCTGTGAACAGACAGATGAGCCATCATGGCTGTTGAGTCCATCTGCATCCCGTGAAAAGTGGATGTCTGAGATGGAACAAGGCAGCTCTTCCCCAAGTTGACCTTGAAGCCCAACCGTGACACATGGGCAAGGAGCCAGCATGTATCCCAAGAGGCCTGTGAGGGGTTAAAAAGAAGCCAATCATTAAGGTACAGAAGAACCCTGATGCCTGACGTCTGCAGAGGAGAGAGAGCCGCTTTCACGCACCAAGTAAACCCCCTCGGCAAAAGAGAGGGGCCAAATGGGAGCACCTGCAATTGCCAATGTTGTCCCAGATAGGCAAACCTGAGAAAATGGCGGTGGCAAAGAGGCATAAACCACTAGTTGCTGTAAGCTACCGAGAAGAAATGAAAGCTATGTATTTTGGACGTTTTCTGTATACTTAAGAATCTATATTTAAGTGGAAATATGAACACCCCAGCTATTATTAACTGTTTCAGCCTTCCTCTCTGTACCTTTTCCAGCCTTCCTCCCCACCTCTGGTGCCTTTGTTCCCCTCAGCTCAGGTACCCTCCTGATGTCCCTGTGAATGATAATAAGAATAACCCAGTGCTCAGCTCTGTCTGGTGTGAATGCATGTTTTAACTCTACAGCTAAAAGAATCTAAAACATGGCTTTACGCGGTTGCAGCATCCGATGACCACATGCTCTCTTGCACTGTGCACCTGTCTGTGGTTTTGGCTGAAAGTATGTATAGACCTATCAGCTTGCCTTTGGTACACAATCTAAACCTTTCTCTTCCTTTGCCCTGTTGCTCACATCACAAACATGGATTTGGAAGCAAACTGATTTAGTTCAAGCTACTCCTATCAGATTTAGTATATTTGAAGAGAATACGTCTGCTTGTTAAAAAAATCAACATGAGAAAGAAACGACTTAAATGTCCTTTTCAGAAGTCTTTTCTGTGCCTCAGATTCTCACCTTCTTTTCATTCCCATCCAGAAGCCTCTGCGGTACCGCCGAGCCATCAGCTATGACAGTAAGGAATACTACATGCGCCTGCTGTCAGGGAATCCGGGGATGTACCAGCACTCTGTGGAGCACAGCACAGAGGGGGAGACCACGCAGCATGAACCGGAGCACGGGGAGGACACTATCGCTAGAGTGAAAGGTACTTGTGATGACTGAGATCTCACTGATGAACGTTAAGCTCCCGGACACGATAAAAGGCATTTTTAGTGTAACCGAATGTTTATGTGATCTGCCCCTGAGGTGTGTTTTTTTCCCCTGTGATCTCCAGGTCTGGTGAAGGCCCCTCTGAAGAGGTCTCGGTCCACAGCAGATGGTGCAGACGAGGACAGCCAGGAACAGCAGCAGGACCAGCTACTGGAGTCAGGAGGTCCGGAAGAGGAGCAGAGGACCGACAACACATCCCTGCTGCGCCTCCTGGAGGAAGGGGAGAAGGTAAAGAAGATGCACTGAAATATCTAAATTCTCTCTTCATACTTCCCTTATTTCCTACCTTATATAGCTTCTCTTGCTTTATCATTTTCTTCATCTTTTTGTTACTCTTTTGCCATCTTCCTCTATCTTTTCTTCCTCTTCCTGTTTTTTTCCCTCCTTGTTTTTTTTTTCCTTTTCATATAAAATGTTAGAAGGGGGGACTCTCTCTGAGGGTCGCTGCAGCATCTTATCAGACGTATCTGATGTTCTGCACAAAGCTGTCTCACTGACACTTCTCTGTGCGCTCAGTGGATTCTCCCTTTCATCTTTCCTTCACCGACGTTTTCCCTGAACACTGTTTATCTAAGCTCAGAGTGTCCTTTCTCTGAAGTCTTTTTTTTAAGCCGCTGTCTGTTATCATCCATTCCTGCAGATTCAGCACATGTACCGCTGTGCCAGAGTGCAGGGTCTGGACACCAGCGAGGGCCTGCTGCTGTTCGGCAAGGAGCACTTCTACGTCATTGACGGCTACACCATGACTGTTTCCAGGGAGATCAGGGACATCGACACGCTGCCGCCCAAGTAAGTCATCCCCTCCCTGTCTGCCGCTGTACACCAACACCTCCAGAACTGTTAATATGTCTGGAACCGCGGCTGACGGACGGGCAGCACTCCGACTGCACTACCCCTTCACAATGACATCATCCCTCTGGACACCGCAGCTGCTGGGATGATGTAATGCTACGGATGGAGCATGCGTTGTCAAACTCAACAAAGCTTTTTATAAATGTGTCTTTTTGAGGATGCCGACTCTGCCTTTTCCCGCGAGACACAATTGGCCAAAAGCCCAAAAAAGGAAAGGAAATGACAGCAGATGGTTGCTGCACTTTTTATTTTTAAAAGGGTTGTACTGCCTATGGTTTCCCTATGATCCCACAAGGCAATACATTATTGATAAGAGAGTGAAGAAATTAATTAGTTTCTTTCAAAGATTTAGTTGATGCCATTTTTTGATCATAAAAAACATCTTCCAGCTTTAATGCTACATATGTCCTGTATGAGTTGGAAACTGGAGCGCGAGGCTGTGCAGGTGCTTGCAGCAAAAATGTAAAAACTGAATGGAAATTTTTGATTAGGGCTATTCTAAGATGACCAGTTCATCTTAGAATCAGAAGATGGTAACATCTTTTTCCTATGGAAACATCCTGACATGGCTTAATTCACATATGTCATATTTAATCACACAATACTTTGCTTTGTTCTTATGAAGGCAATCATTAGCTACACACAAAACCAGTGCTGTGCAACACATTTTTAACAGGGATGTATGGTAGTGGCAGCATCATGCTAGTGGGGCTGTTATGCAGTAAAAATTGATCTAGAAAGGAGTGAAAATAACTTAAAATCAGTGTGTTTGCCCTTAATTTGAACAGGTAAGTAGAATGATCTTCGGTGCCAGGGTGCGCCATCTTTATAAGCTGAGGAGTATTAATAACAATGGATAACCACAACGAAAGATTTATCAAGTAGGTTTGGAAGTACAACCACTTGTGAGATGCTTCAGACATGTGGTTTTGGAAAATAAACCAGTGCCGCCGAAAAAGTTCACGTGACCATCCGCCGAAGTTCTCGCGAGTTCTCGAATAGGCTTCCCCTAGAGCTTTGGCGGGAAACTGCTGTGCGTCTCTAGAAATTCCAGACCGACGTTGCATACCAGCAAAACTGGTTCGCGACCAGACGCAACCAACATTTGATGTGTGCAGATGCAGAAGTATAATCCGCCCTTCACTAAACATTTCCTGAACATTACAGAAAACTCCTGATTTCAGTGATTGCCTGAATTCAGGATCTCGATTTGGATTGTTTACTACATAACTGCTCTCTCAGCCACCCCTAATACTCCTGGGCATGGTGGTTAGTTCCTTCATCTCAAGCTTGGGTCCTCTTCCGTAGGCCTGGGAGCTTGAGAGTTTCTTAGCTCTCCTTAGAAATGCACATTTCTGGACTGAGAGCTCTGATGTGGGGCTTACTGCCCCGAATGCTCCACTGACCACAGGCACTGCCGTTGCCGTCACCATCCAGGCCTTGGTATTTTTCCAATCTCTCATGTTTATTTTTTTATGTTTCTAACATATGGAATGGCCACATTGATCACTGCTGCTGTCCTCTGCTGCTTATCATTGATCATAATGTCCAGTTGGTCGGCCACCACCATTTTATCTGTTGGTGTCTGAAAGTGCCACAGGACCTTAACTCTGTCAGTCTCCACCACATTCGGAACCAGGGGGTCATCAGTTCGTATTCTGCACAGATGTTTCACTTGGTTATAATGTTCCATGTTTTCCTTTTGCTGCCAGTGTCTTACACTCTGCTGTTTGAGGGTGGATTGTTTTTGGGACCTCACTGCAGAGCCTAAAACTGGGGTGTTTCCTGATATGGTAGATCTGGGCCTCTATTGTTCTGGTGCTCAAGGCCTGCTCCTGTACTGCCATGATCGGTGCTTCTATGCTTTCCTTCATCCCAGCCCTCTCTAGCTATTGGTAGGATTTGGTCATATCAGCCACTTCAGCTATCTGTCGGTGGTACATCCCATATGGGCGGCTTACCTGCTCCTCTCCTTGTTACCATCCGGCCACATTTCTCCAGCCTGAATGACATTCCAATGTCCCTGCTGCAGATCCTGGTGGTGTGGATCAGCAAGTCAGTGTTTTGTTTACTCTTAGCATACAGCTTGATGCCATCCCTGTGCTGGAGGTAGCTGATAGTGCCCCCATGATAGTGCCCCATTCATTTATACAGGTAAAGGACTTTAGTTTTGGGACAGCTTAGTCAAAGTCCATTGAGCAGTTAATCTGTTGCATGCGCCAAGTAGAGTGTGTAAACTTGGTTAGAGTGGATTCCTGCTGTGAGGTCAAGGTGGAGCATCCTGATCGATGCCTATAGATTAGACTCAATGCAGAGACAGACAGACAGACAGACAGACAGACAGACAGACAGACAGACAGACAGACAGACAGACAGACAGACAGAACTGCTTTACCAAAGGTCTGATCTGATGGTGCACACACTTTTTATCAGCAGGTTACTGCAGCTGTTTTATTTTCTGGAAGTTTTTATTTGTTTGCTATTTAATTGATCAGGATAAATCTGGCAGTTAAAGCTACAGTGTGTAATAATTACAGGGATATACAATCAGAAATGTAATATATTATACATAACTATGTTATTTATCATCATCTACGAGCTCAGCCTCTTAACCTTAATATTTGCGTTGCCTTGGAATTCGTTATTTATAATTACATAGGAGCGGGTCTCGCAGCCATGGAGGCAGACATCTTTGCGCTACGGCAGCGCAGAGCCAACAAACTAGCGATTGCGAGATCGCCAAAACGTCACAACGATGTAGAAAAAATAACGGGTATATTTATTATCTTAAGTCTACATGAAATCTATACCCTACACAGACTAATGAAATACTATCTGTAAAATTATCTATGTAAACAAACCTGATCACTTGAGAAGGAAGGTGATGTGGACGTCGTGGAAGACATTTTGTCCCGTAACGCTCGCCGTACTGGGGAGATGTTAATGTTTCTGCAGTCTGTCCGCTAGATGTCGCTAAAAGTTACACACTGTAGCTTTAAAGCTGTACATTATTAATAATCATTTGATTTATGGTATTTGTTCAGTGACGAATCAATGAATTTGCATTTGTTCCTTATTACAATATTTTGAATGCAGTTTTATTTGTCTTACAAGTTTTGTGCTATTTAGATTTTTCTGTGTAAAGTTCAGAAAATAAAGTCCTAATTTTCCCTTTATTTTTTATGTTGTAATAGTTTTTTAATGCAAGCTAAACCTTTAGGGGATACATTTATTTGTGAAGAAAATTGAATAAATTTGGGTCTGTGTTTTCTTTCCAGTTTGCATGAAGCAATCATCCCCAGAGGGGCGCGGCAGGGCCAGAGCCAGCTGAAGAGAACCTGCAGCATCTTTGCCTACGAGGACATCAAGGAGGTTCACAAGAGGCGATACCTGCTACAGGTTAGCATCAACGGTCCAAACAAGAACCAGAAACCACACAAAGACATACTATATGTTTTTTTTTTATTGTCTGAATATATTTACTGTATTTTGCTGTAATTGGAGAATAATCTCAGTAAAAATTTTGTTATTTCTCTGTAACGGGTTTAGATTAGAAATATGTCCAATTAGGATGATCTACCTTCCTGGGCTTTTTTTATGCACAAAAAGCCAAATGAGGCAAGAGAAAAGAGGAAAACCCTTATTGTAACATTATGGTACTGTTTATAAATATAATGATATCGATGCTCAAACCTTTAACGTTAAAGATCCCAGTTTAGTGTTAAAACCTGTTTTTTGTTTCCTTCCCTCCAGCCGATGGCAGTAGAAGTCTTTTCTGCAGATGGAAGGAACTACCTGCTGGCCTTCCAGAAGGGAGTCCGAAACAAAGTTTACCAAAGGTAGAGGATTCAAATTTAAAAGCCTTTTTCACAATTATTTGCAGGTCAAAATGGAAGAGAAATAAACTCGTTTTCCTTTCTAAGGGGATGTTGAATCAATCCTCTTGGCATACAGATGCATTTGTTTTCAGCTGTGTTTTGACTGGATCCTAAGGGAAAGTTTTTTGTTTTGGTCCCATCTTTGGGTTTGTACAGATGATTTAGTTATGCTTTCATGTTTAGGCCTTAACCTTCAGCCTGTAATCTATAGATGGGGCCTATAAACGCTCCCTTGGGTTCAGGGGTGTGTGCCTCAAGGAAAAGAGTTGAAGTGTCCGAGTGTCTCTTTAAGGGGTTGCGCTGAGTGGAGCAGGTAATGGGAAGGGATCAGGGCCTCATCCACTGAAATAAGCTTTTACTCAGTTGAGTAAGGGGTAAAGTCCTGGGTTTTCTGATCCATTTAAGTTAGAAGTTATCAGACCCAGACAAACTCTCCTTTGCCTCGGAGTTGCTGAATCAGGCATATCTTTAGCAGGGAGGTAACTTTGAGGCAGACCTGAAACCTGATGGTGTTATATAAATCTGTCTCTTTACAAATGGATGGATAGATGAGCCAATGAATAGATCCGTCCGATCCGTATGATATTACTTAGTCTACTTTTTGTTGTGGAGTAAACTTTTGGTTCTGTGCAGGTTCTTGGCAGTGGTGCCGTCGCTGGCAGACAGCTCAGAGTCGGTCTCAGGTCAGAGGCCAAACACCAGCGTTGAACAAGGGTAACTATCTCACAAGCATTATATATTTCTTAGTGTTATTAAGGCAAAGCTCATCAGAATAATAGTCAACAGGAGCTAAATCCAATATAACAAATATATTATAAAAGATTAATTCTTATCATTTTCTTCATTATATACCATTAAATAAATAGGCTATATATTGTATGAACCAGTAATATGAATAAACCTGGTTTATTAACAGCTGAGTAATTAGCTACGATTACGGCCCAGGGTAGTAAAAGTAAAGCAGTCACTGAGTTTACTAAACCGATCATCTTTTCCCTCCTGGTGTGCATCAGGTCTGGACTTCTCAGCACGTTGGTTGGTGAGAAATCAGTCACTCAAAGATGGGAGGTAAGCAGTTGTTTGCATGTTTGATCCACACCATCTATAACTGGATTGAAACCCTAATGAGTGAGCGTGTGATCTTTGTTCCAGCGAGGAGAGATCAGTAACTTTCAGTACCTGATGCATCTGAACACGCTGGCTGGACGCTCATACAACGACCTGATGCAGTATCCAGTCTTCCCCTGGATCCTGGCCGACTACGACGTAGAGGTGAACCAGCATTTCACTCTCTGCTGTTTGGTGTTTGACTCAGCAGAAGCTGAAGCACCACACAGAGACAATGGAGAAAAATGTTTAGTATTATTTTTCTGGGTTGTTCCTTTTGTTTTTGAACCAGGAACTGGACCTGAACAACCCCAAGACTTTCCGTAACCTGGCCAAACCGATGGGCGCTCAGACTGACGACCGGCTCACGCAGTATAAGAAGAGATACAAGGACTGGGAGGATCCCAACGGTAAGAACCTCAGAGAGAAGATAACAGGTGACTCATATGTAACATATAAGCTCCAATAGAAAGATAAGGTGCATAATCGACTTTAAGCTGTTAAATCTAGTGCCTTTTTGTTCAGAGGTAACTTTTTTTTGCCATTTTATTCCATCAGGTAAAGCTTCAAAAATACATGTAATATTTGTGTAAATAAAAATGTAATAATTTCTACTTTAACTTTCTTGATTCTAGCTTAAAAACCTTTGATGTGATGTTATTTAGATTCCCACCTTCTCCATTATTTGCTATTTCACTAATAGTACAGCTAATAAAGGTGTAATAAATGTTTAAGGTCCTAATAATTCAATGTAAGACATTTTTATTATTTCTTCTAAAGTTAATAAACTTTTAGTTCACTACCTACCTTTGCTTCACAAAGTTGGACCCCCTTTTGCCTTCAGAACTGCCTCAATTCTTCGTGGCATAGATTCAACAAGGTGCTGGAAGCATTCCTCAGGGAGTTTGGTCCATATTGACATGATGGCATCACACAGTTGCCACAGATTTGTCGGCTGCACATCCATGATGCGAATCTCCCGTTCCACCACATCCCAAAGATGCTCTATTGGATTGAGATCTGGTGACTGTGGAGGCCATTTGAGTACAGTGAACTCATTGCCATGTTCAAGAAACCAGTCAGATGATTCCAGCTTTATGACATGGCGCATTATCCTGCTGAAAGTAGCCATCAGAAGTTGGGTACATTGTGGTCATAAAGGGATGGACATGGTCAGCAACAATACTCAGGTAGGCTGTGGCGTTGCAACGATGCTCAATTGGTACCAAGGGGCCCAAAGAGTGCCAAGAAAATATTCCCCACACCATGACACCACCACCACCAGCCTGAACCGTTGATACAAGGCAGGATGGATCCATGCTTTCATGTTGTAGACGCCAAATTCTGACCCTACCATCCGAATGTCGCAGCAGAAATCGAGACTCATCAGACCAGGCAACGTTTTTCCAATCTTCTATTGTCCAATTTCGATGAGCTTGTGCAAATTGTAGCCTCAGTTTCCTGTTCTTAGCTGAAAGGAGTGGCACCCGGTGTGGTCTTCTGCTGCTGTAGCCCATCTGCCTCAAAGTTCATCGTACTGTGCGTTCAGAGATGCTCTTCTGCCCACCTTGGTTGTAACGGGTGGTTATTTGAGTCACTGTTGCCCTTCTGTCAGCTCGAACCAGTCTGGCCATTCTCCTCTGACCTCTGGCATCAACAAGGCATTTCCGCCCACAGAACTGCCGCTCACTGGATGTTTTTTTCTTTTTCGGACCATTCTCTGTAAACCCTAGAGATGGTTGTGCGTGAAAATCCCAGTAGATCAGCAGTTTCTGAAATACTCAGACCAGCCCTTCTGGCACCAACAATCATGCCACGTTCAAAGTCACTCAAATCACCTTTCTTCCCCATACTGATGCTCGCTTTGAACTGCAGGAGATTGTCTTGACCATGTCTACATGCCTAAATGCACTGAGTTGCCACCATGTGATTGGCTGCTTAGAAATTAAGTGTTAAAGGTACACTATGCAACCGGTGTTGATTTTCCAGCGAGGCTCCCCCCAGAGGGCGAAAGTAAAAGTGCACAGTCGTAAATATGCACAGCTGTTCTCCTGGTTTCTCCGTCAAGCCAGGCGCGGTTGTTTTGAGCTTAGCAGACAGGAGAACGCAACGAATGACTAAGCATCTGACGCGCGTGACGCGCTGCAAACGCGCTGCTGCTCGAGATGGAAAAATTGAATTTTTGCTGCTCGACGCGCCGCATCAACCAATCAGAGAAGCTGATCTGGGAGCTGGCAGGGAGAGAGACAGCGCTGATGATCACTCCTCTGAAACAGTTTATTGACGCCTAAATTAACTTAAAATGCAGAAATCTGCCGGCAGAATATGTTCACTTTTACTATCCTGCTGCCTGCAGTTTGGATTATTTAGATGAAAAACACCTACCAGCTGCCACGGTGAACCGCGAGGAGGCGACCCGGCCAGAGGCTGCTGATGAAGGGATTCCTACTGTCCGCGCACCGCTGGTATGTGGGGGTCTGAGCGGCTCCGACAGAAAAAATATTGTAAGGCAGGATTATAATCTGAATGAACTGACGGCACTGATTACGTTTTCAGGTGTATTTTCTCACTTAAAACATATTAAAACTACTTTATTCCCACTGATCACAGCAAATATAGATGCAAGGCAGAGAAAGGATAGTGAAGCTCTGCCCAACGCGTGTCAGACACACTTTTGCACAGCGCAGCCAGAGCAGCAAAGCTGCTTCAGCCGCGCGTCAGAACTAACTGGTACAAGCAGTAAAAATGAAGCAGCAGACGCGCTTTTGCTGCGTCGGTGTGAAAGCAGCATAACTGCACAAAGATCGCCACTGTGCTAGCAACGAGCATGTTTTTAACTGGGGGGTGTCGCAGTTCTCGCCGTAAAGCAAGACCGACTCTCGCGAGACTTCTGAGCCTGTGGGTGCGGGTCGGTGCTCCTGCAATTGCGAGTGCGGTATTTCCCCCACAGACCACCAGGGCGGCCGAGAATACCTTTGTTCAACCTGAAATGACTCATTTAATCATCCAAAACGTTATGGAACACATTAATTAACTAAAAAGTGTTGCATAGTATGCCTTTAACAAGCAGTTGGACAGGTGTACCTAATAAAGTGGCCGGTGAGTGTATAATCTAGTTACTACATAAATTAGACCAGTAAAGAGTGATGATGATGATGATGATGATGATGATGCATAGCGAAGGAGTAGGATGCAAAGTTCCCACTTCCACCCACCTTTTTAAAGGAGAATTCCGGTTTTTTACACTTTAAGCCCATTTTCTGTAGTGTCCAGGATGAAATCGAATGATCGACACCAAAAGTTTGACAATTGCTCCTGTCTCTGCTTTTTGGCTCATTTAGAATCCACCCCTGGCTGCTTCATAATGGCTGCCATAGTGCATGTCCGATAATGTCCTTAAAACAACCTTAAACGTTCTTTTTTTAAAATATGCTACTCACCGTGTCGTCAGCGCTGTTCAATGACGTTCCAAAAAAAGTTTCGTGAAGAAAAAACGTTCCTGTAGTGTTTTATTTAGCATTTTGTAAATCCCATTGAGTTCTGTTGGAATAGTCAATATTCCCCTGCCACCGGAAACGGAAACGGGGCCTGTTTACACAGTTGTAGTCTTTTCGCTTCACTCTGTGTACTCCGACGTCGAGAATCAAGAATCCACCTTTCGTTTTCCATTTTCAGAGTTTTTTAAAGTGTTTAACAGAGACGTTAGCACCTCGACGTCGGAGTACACAGAGTGAAGCGAAAAGACTACAACTGTGTAAACAGGCCCCATTTCCGTTTCCGGTGGCAGGGGAATATTGACTATTCCAACAGAACTCAATGGGATTTACAAAATGCTAAATAAAACACTACAGGAACGTTTTTTCTTCACGAAACTTTTTTTGGAACGTCATTGAACAGCGCTGACGACACGGTGAGTAGCATATTTTAAAAAAAGAATGTTTAAGGTTGTTTTAAGGACATTATCGGACATGCACTATGGCAGCCATTATGAAGCAGCCAGGGGTGGATTCTAAATGAGCCAAAAAGCAGAGACAGGAGCAATTGTCAAACTTTTGGTGTCGATCATTCGATTTCATCCTGGACACTACAGAAAATGGGCTTAAAGTGTAAAAAACCGGAATTCTCCTTTAAATACTGTTGCTTATCTGGATAAATAGACTCTTATCATTACTGAATTAGGTAACATTTGCCTTCTGTCTCACCAGGTGAAACCCCAGCATACCATTATGGTACCCATTACTCATCCGCCATGATTGTAGCCTCCTATCTGGTCCGGATGGAGCCTTTCACACAGATCTTCCTCAGACTTCAGGTGTGATCCAGTCTCCCAGATCCTCTCCTCTGTATCTTTCCTTTTAGCTTTAGGCATCTTTCAAGCCTTTATCACTCTGTTTAACACCATGGTAAATAAAATAACGGCATCCTTGCAAAGAGGTATAAGTGTTAATAATAAGTGTCATTTACAATAAAAGTGAAAAATGTCTTTAACTGTTATGTTTTGTTTATTCATAGAAATACATTTAATTGATCTAGGAAGGTACGTTTTTCATGAACAAGAGGAACTAGAGCAGTAATGTAAAATTTGCTTCATTTGGAAAAAGTGTGAAAAAAGCAGTCTTTGAAGAGGAGCAGAGGGAAAATAAATATTAATTTCCGTTGAAGCCTTATTCTATTGGTAGCTTAACCTAATATTACCTTGTGTTACTAGTTTTACTGGTTGCAAACCGTTGGAGTCTCATTTGGAGACTGGCTGCAGACAGGACAATTGTTTATTTCAATATGACAGCCTTTCATGTTTTGTGACTGATAGAAATGTTCACTTTTCAACAAATTAACAAATTTACAGTAAATTATTTACTGAATGAAATAAAGCAGAACAAGAAAGGATCCATTCAAGGATGAAATTTCAGTTTTTTTCCTTCAAATTCTAAAATGTTTTAATTTACTAGAATTTGTCTCTTTTCTAATGGGGTGACGGTGCTGATATCCTGAGTGATGCATTGGTCTTTATCCATGTGTGATTCTCAGGGAGGTCACTTCGACCTGGCTGACAGGATGTTCCACAGCGTCCGAGAAGCGTGGCTCTCTGCCTCCAAACACAACATGGCCGACGTCAAGGAGCTGATTCCAGAGTTTTTCTATCTGCCTGAATTCCTGCTGAATTCTAACAACTTTGATCTGGGTGGGTGATCCGGGAGTCTGCTTTCTGTCAGCTGCTCTCAGCTCTGATTTAACCTCTCCTGTTATTTCTTTCTTGGGCCTCCAGGTGCCAAGCAAAATGGCACCAAGCTGGGTGATGTCATCCTCCCCCCCTGGGCCAAAGGTGACCCCCGGGAGTTCATCCGGGTCCACAGAGAGGTAGGCCACCCCCCACACCATCTGAAATATCAGAGACAGTGTGAAATATTAACCCTTGTTGATATATTAACTTACTTTCAGGCTCTGGAGTGCGACTACGTCTCTGCTCACCTCCATGAGTGGATCGACTTGATTTTCGGCTACAAGCAACAGGGACCGCCAGCTGTAGAGGCCGTTAATGTCTTCCACCACTTGTTCTACGAGGGTCAGGTGGACATCTACAACATCAACGACCCGCTGAAAGAGACGGCCACCATCGGCTTTATCAATAACTTTGGCCAAATCCCCAAACAGGTTAGAAACCCGCTCCCTATTTCACCTCTGGCTGTCTGAAATAAGGTTATGTTGATCATTTCACACTGCTGTTACTCTAATAGATGCTGAAATCACATTTCTTGGCGGATTTTTCTTCATTTCAGCTCTTTAAGAAGCCTCATCCCCCTAAACGTGTTCGCAGCAAAGCTAACGGCGACTTAACAGCTGCTCCTCCGAGCTCCAACAACGACAAGATCTTCTTCCATCATCTGGACAATCTAAGACCTTCTCTTGCTCCTGTTAAAGGTCAGCATCATCTTCCTCACATCACGACTAAAAGCCAATGGAGAGGTTACATCTACCATTATCTTAAAGTCTGTGTTTTTTGGCAAGTTTTTCTATTTAAAGGAATAGTACACCCAAAACATGATTAGCCTTCATTTTCTACTCACCTCCATGCTGAACAACACTCTGGAGTACTTTTTTGATATCTCAAATGCATCTGGAGATCTGGGAGACTTCTTGCTGTCTGCTGACATTCAAATAATGGAGGTCTATGGCGCCCGAGACAGAAAGGTCCATAATAGTCCACAAAAACGTGTCAATATTCCTCCATACTGCTCGTCCAATGTAATCCAAGTGTCCTGAGTGGGTAGCATCCAGAATTTACTCGAAACGAAGTAATTTAGAATGTTTTTAGAGCATAAACAGTAGTGTATAGGATTTCCTAATAGCGCCCCCATGCGCGCTCACGATTCTACGGAAGCCGGCAGACCAAACCGGAAGGAAGTGCGCATTCAGCGTCTGGTCTGCCGATAATGCAAGCGTAGAAGAAGAAATGTGCTGTTTACCTGTGCAAAGAAAGAAACAACGAAAGAAAAATGTCTGAGGACTTCAGTGTTGAGGAAGAGCATGAGTTCTTTGCCGAGCTGAATGCGCTGGTTTGGTCTGCCGGCTTCCGTAGAATCGTGAGCGCGCATGGGGGCGCTATTAGGAAATCCTATACACTACTGTTTATGCTCTAAAAACATTCTAAATTACTTCGTTTCGAGTAAATTCTGGATGCTACCCACTCAGGACACTTGGATTACATTGGACGAGCAGTATGGAGGAATATTGACACGTTTTTGTGGACTTTTATGGACCTTTCTGTCTCGGGCGCCATGGACCTCCATTATTTGAATGTCAGCAGACAGCAAGAAGCCTCCCAGATCTCCAGATGCATTTGAGATATCAAAAAAGTACTCCAGAGTGTTGTTCAGCATGGAGGTGAGTAGAAAATGAAGGCTAATCATGTTTTGGGTGTACTATTCCTTTAAGGTCCCACTGATGTTCAAAAAAAAAAAAAAAAAAACATCTGACAAAAATATTGTGTTTTGCATTAGCACACTCATTTTTTACCAAATAAAAGATTAAAAACTTTAGAAGTGTTATCCTGGAAAAGATTGGAAAATATGTTGGAACCCTGTCATAGATCTACCTTCAGTCAGTATTTCAATAATAATAATAATATTAAAGGAGGAATAATGATGCTGAACAGAGAAGTAGATCATAAACAAAACTAAAGGGTTTCCACAGGTTACCTTCAATGCATAAAATGGTAAAGTCCAAAAAGCTGCAAAAAGCTTTGAAAAAATGAGCAGGAATCAGTGACTGAAGAAGGCGGCCATTTTGAAGAACATGTATTTGTATTTTTTTCTCTTTGGGCTGCTCAGTGGAGAAGTAGTTAGCACTGCTTCCTTGCAGCAAGAAGGTTTTGCACCAATGGTCTTTCTGCATGGAGTTTGCATGTTCTCCCTGAGCATGCGTGGGTTCTCTCTGGGTACTCCAGCTTCCTCCCACAGTCCAAAAACATGATTGTTAGATTTAATGGCTCTTCTAAAGTCTCGTTAGGTGTGAGTGGTGTGCATGAATGGTTGTTTGTCCTGTTTGTCTCTGTGTCGCCCTGTGATGGACTGGGGACCTGTCCAGGGTGTACCCCGCCTCTCGCCTGTAGACAGCTGGAGATAGGCACCAGCACCCCTCGCAACCCCACTTGGGATAAGCGTGATGGAAAATGGATGGATGGACATTTGTATCTTAAAATATTTTCTGTTTTGGTTAGTTACCTTCATGTCGGATGTTCTAGATGGTTTGACAGTTTCTGTGTCAAATGTTAAGAATTATAGAGCAAAACCAAAATGGAAAAAACCCCCAAATATAAGCAAATACAATGTTACTTTTACAGAAAAGACATGACATTATTTAAGGAAGACTGAACCAGAACTACAGGATGACATAGTGCGCTCATAAGATAAAAGGATAAAAGGTCATAGGAAAATCTGCTGCTGAGATTTAGCCGATTGTGCTAAATGATCCTCTGGTTCTGACCAGCATTTTTCTTCTCAACACAGTACTTTACAATAGAAAGCTCTACTGCCCAAGAAGCAGCTAAAAGTCTTTTCATTAATCTAATCTAACCATGGTTTACCTGTTGGAGCTCAAAGGCAACACAATAGTATAGCATCAGACCAAGGTCAGCATCTTTCAACACAACCTCTCTTTGGTTGCACCTCTTCATCATCATTGACTATCAGAAGTTTCAGATTATTAGCATCAATAAACAGATGCACTTTTGTGTTGGTTTGTGCAGAGCTGAAGGAGCCTGTGGGACAGATAGTGTGTACTGATAAAGGAATCTTAGCTGTGGAGCAAAACAAAGTTCTGGTTCCACCTACCTGGAGCAAAACGTTCGCCTGGGGCTACGCCGACCTCAGCTGCCGCTTGGCCAACTATGAATCTGATAAGGTGAGTAATAAGCTTCTTAACGCCTTTTTTCCTCAGGGACCTCCTTATTTTTATGTTTAAAAGAGGTGGATTTATTTAAGGATGCTAAGTTAATCTGAGGTCTCCTTAAATAGAAGTGAATCATTAAAGCAATGTTTTCCCCTGCTGGTGCTTCGGTTATTGCAGGTCTATTTTTTTTCTTTCTTTTGAAATCAGTTATAATCATCTCCCATGTCTGGAAGAGTGTAAAAATTTAGCAGAGTGCTTTAATTCTAGTCCTGAATTAGTTTTCTACAATTCAATTACAAATACAGATATTTAAAGGACCTTTCCTGCCTTGATATATATATATTTGCCATACATTACTTATCTTTTATTTTCTCTATTAGACGCCAAGTCAAACATAGTCTGTGATCAGTGTTTTGTTTCCTTACTAAGAGGAAGCAGACTTAAGCTCCTTTGTGGCTTTCAGACACTTTTCCTCTGTAAATCTCCCAATTATGATCAACTGAAGTAGATAAATCACCCCAGCAGGTTGCCGGAGCAAACTAAGCTGGATGCAAAATAAAAAAAAGGCCCCTTTATCTTATTCTTCGTCATTCCAGGTGTTTTAGTCCGACATCCACATTTATCTGTGATGTTTCTTGGACAATCCTTGCATGTGTCTGTAAACACCTCTGGGCTTCACAGCAGAGCCAATCAGAGCTGCATGCAGCGTAAATTAGCATTTATACGTCATTGCATTAAAGCTGGTTTCACAGGGTAAAGATCACGTCCTGTAGTGTACGGGGGGTAACGAAAGATCAGCCTCTCACAACCACGTCCTGATCTGGAATCCTACGGTTGGGAGAAAATCAAACATTCAGTCGGCCGTAGTAAGATCGCATCAGAGCGTCGGGCCTCACAGCGAAATGCATCGTGAGCTCACTTCTGTCTGGCTGTCTTGTCCCCTGATGCCGCTTGGCTCCATCAGCCAGTGTCTCTGTTCTGTCCTTTTTTGTTAGTAGTTTGTTTTATGTTTATTATGTTACAACGGCAATTCACCCTTTTCATTCGAATTTCATTTGTATTCCAATTACCTACGGGAAATTTTTTGGTTTATGAATTACCTGTCGCCGAACACATTGGTCAAGATAAAACCATGTTCATGTTAACTTCTAGTTTAAAGTGCAGAAGTTATTTCATAGTAAGAGACCCGAGCACAAACTCCTGTTTGCTGCAAACTTTAATTTAGAAGAAATTAGGTTCCCCTCAGTATCGTCTTAGTGAATCGGTGTTCAGATAACTGCTCCCTAAAAAAGGGATTGTGTTAAAGTGCAGAAGAAAAATGTACTCACTGCAAGATAATCTTTTTCAAAATTAATCATTTCCTACGACTGTAGAAATATGCTTCATCACGGGTTATAAATACACGGGGCTCATTGCAGTTGCCTTAAAGCTTGAGCACATGTTTGACACAAATTGAACCCCGTACTTTTGAACCATCGTCTCATCTGAGATCCCCTGCCTTGTTTCAGGCGATGGTCGTGTACGAGTGTCTGTCCGAGTGGGGTCAGATCCTCTGTGCCATATGTCCTAACCCGAAGCTCGTCATCACCGGGGGCACCAGCACTGCCATCTGTGTGTGGGAGACGGGCAGCTCCAAGGAGAAGGCCAAATCTCTGACGCTCAAACAGGTGAACATGCGGTGTTTTCTCCGAATCATCAGGTTACTAATGTCAGTGAGGTCAACTTTGTTAAAAGAAAACTTTTCTATGTTTCTATATATGTGTTTTAGGCTCTACTCGGCCACACGGACGCCGTAACATGTCTGACAGCTTCGTCAGCATACCGCATCGTTGTCAGCGGCTCCCGCGATCGAACCTGCATCATCTGGGACCTCAACAAGCTTTCTTTCGTCACGCAGCTTCGGGGACACCGCGCTCCCGTTTCCGCCCTGTGCATCAACGAGCTGACGGTGAGTTTCTACCTGGATGACCTAACGTGCTTCCCTCCTGCTGTGATAAAGACAAGGTGAAATGATTTCCACAGGGGGATATCGTGTCCTGTGCGGGGACGTACATTCACATGTGGAGCATCAACGGCAGCCCCATCGCCAGCGCCAACACCTTCACCGGCCGCAGTCAGCAGATCCTCTGCTGCTGCGTGTCGGAGATGAATGAGTGGGACACGCAGAACGTCATCGTCACCGGCCACTCTGATGGAGTCGTCAGGGTAACGTAACCTCATCTCTCTGAAGCAGCCTTTGATATTGTTTTAGGAGCTTAACCTTTTTCTTATTAGCGTGTGGTTAAAATGCGTTACAGTTTTGGAGGATGGAGTTCCTTCAGGTCCCAGAAACCCCTGCTCCAGAACCGGCTGAGCCGGATGTACCCGACTGCTGTGCCGATGAGAAGATTGGTGAGAAATGTTTTTCACAAAAGCATGCCTTAATTAATTTTTTGTGTGTCAAATTACAAACACACAAAAAACTAATTATTCGTATTCTTGGTATTGTTGTATATAATTAGCCAAAAGTGAAGAATACTTTGATTCCCCTTTGAGCTACTTTATTTTGGATTTTAATGAATACATTTCATCACAGTGAGTAAAGTTGAATCTTCTCCTTCATCTCAGAGGGAGCAGAGAGTCACAACGCCGATGACGATAGTAGTGAGTCAGATGGAGAGGAACCTGCGGCGCCTCGAAACCCATCAGCTGGCGGAGGGAGCAGCAGTCAGCCGGGAAGCGCCGTCCACAGACCCAGAGGTACGTAACCAACGGCTCTGCTTAAGTACTGGGATGTTAAAACAAAATGTTGTTAACCATACTGACCTCTATCTGTTTATATTCCCTGATAAGGTCCGCCATCTCGAGCTGGAGCGTCATGGTCAATGGACAGCGGCTCTGATGACTCTCACCGCTGGTCAGACACACTGAGCATCGATGAGAAGGACGGCTTTGTGTTCGTCAACTACTCTGAGGGCCAAACTAAAGGCCCCCACCCTCAGCAGAGTCATCCAGGCCATGGACCCCTCAATCAGCCTCCCCATTCGTCGGCCACAGAGCCACGGCCGTATAACCAGCTCAAAGCAGGTGGGAGGCCCTCTGGAATTATTTTACCTCCTTCTCCCAATGTTTTAACCCCTTCCAGAGAAAGGTGGTTTGATGAGTGTTTTTATTTGTGTGCTTGTAGGATACAGATGGGAGCGGCAGCTGGTCTTCCGGAGCAAACTCACCATGCACACAGCGTTTGATCGCAAGGATAATGCTCACCCAGCTGAGATCACCTCCCTCTCTATCTCCAAGTAAGAGAGCAAGGAGTTTTTGTGTTAATATTACAGATAAAGCTGATACCTAAGCAATCTAAAAACACCTACAAAGAAAAAAAAAAAAAACTTGAAATGAACTAAAGAAACTCCTTTAAAAGCAGATTGTTTTTCTATTATCAGGACACTAAACTCTGAAAGGCGTTGCTGCGTATAGAAGGTTTAAGGTGACAAAATAAATAGAGGCTGGGGCTTCTCATTAATGTGGTGAAAATAAATTTAAAAAACTTTTTGAAGTTATTTCCAACTTCTCAGTATGGAAGCCTGTTTCCGCCACTCTGTAAAAAAAATAAAAAAAACTATCTCAATATAATGAGATAGTAACTCAATATAATGAGATAGTATCTCATTATAATGAGATAGTATCTCATTATATTGAGTTACTATCTCAATATAATGAGATAGTATCTCATTATATTGAGATAGTTTTTTGGTCAATAGCTCCCAGGTCATGTGACCTATTGATGCAAAATCAGTGTGAAATTGTTCTACTAGTCTCTGTAGATGGGGCACACTCATTTGTTTTTCATTTTAACTCTTTTTTTATTTTTTAGCAATTTTTTTCGTTAAAATTTAGTATTTTTGGTCAATAGCTCCCAGATCATGTGACCTATTGACGCAAAATCACTTGGAAATTGTTCTACTAGTCTCTGTAGATGGGGCACACTCACTTGATTTTCATTTTAACTCTTTTTTTTTTTTTTTACCAATTTTTTTCGTTAAAAATTAGTATTTTTGGTCAATAGCTCCCAGGTCATGTGACCTATTGACCCAAAATCAGTGTGAAATTGTTCTACTAGTCTCTGTAGATGGGACACACTCATTTGTTTTTCATTTTAACTCTTTTTATATTTTTTTACCAATTTTTTTTGTTAAAATTTAGTATTTTTGGTCAATAGCTCCCAGGTCATGTGACCTATTGACCCAAAATCAGTGTGAAATTGTTCTACTAGTCTCTGTAGATGGGACACACTCATTTGTTTTTCATTTTAACTCTTTTTATATTTTTTTACCAATTTTTTTTGTTAAAATTTAGTATTTTTGGTCAATAGCTCCCAGGTCATGTGACCTATTGACCCAAAATCAGTGTGAAATTGTTCTACTAGTCTCTGTAGATTGGGCACACTTATTTGTTTTTCATTTTAACTCTTTTTTTATATTTTTTACCAATTTTCTTAGTTAAAATTTAGTATTTTTGGTCAATAGCTCCCAGGTCATGTGACCTATTGACCCAAAATCAGTGTGAAATTGTTCTACTAGTCTCTGTAGATTGGGCACACTTATTTGTTTTTCATTTTAACTCTTTTTCTGTTTTTTAGCAATTTTTTAAGTTAAAATTGAGTATTTTTCTTCAATAGCTCCCAGGTCATGTGACCTATTGACCCAAAATCAGTGTGAAATTGTTCTACTAGTCTCTGTAGATGGGGCACACTTATTTGTTTTTCATTTTAACTCTTTTTCTGTTTTTTAGCAATTTTTTAAGTTAAAATTGAGTATTTTTCTTCAATAGCTCCCAGGTCATGTGACCTATTGACCCAAAATCAGTGTGAAATTGTTCTACTAGTCTCTGTAGATGGGGCACACTCATTTGATTTTCATTTTAACTCTTTTTTTATTTTTTTACCAATTTTTTTAGTTAAAATTGAGTATTTTTGGTCAATAGCTCCCAGGTCATGTGACCTATTGACCCAAAATCAGTGTGAAATTGTTCTACTAGTCTCTGTAGATGGGGCACACTCATTTGATTTTCATTTTAACTCTTTTTTAATTTTTTTTACCAATTGTTTTAGTTAAAATTGAGTATTTTTGGTCAATAGCTCCCAGGTCATGGGACCTATTGACCCAAAATCAGTGTGAATTGTTGGGTCCCCCCTTACATGGGCCCACCACCCGTGAGAGGGGCCATAAGGGTCGTATGCAATGTGTGTTGGCCGGGGGAGGGGACCCTGGTGGTCCGATCCTCGGCTGCAGAAGCTGGCTCTTGGGATGTGGAATGTCACCTCGCTGGTGGGAAGGGACCGGAGCTAGTGTGTGAGGCTGAGAGGTTCCGGCTAGAAATAGTCTGTCTCACCTCGACGTATGGTTCTGGTTCTGGAACCAGTCTCCTTGAGAGGGGCTGGACATACTTCCACTCTGGAGTTGCCCACAGTGAGAGGCGCTGGGCAGGAGTGGGCATACTTGTTGCCCCCCATCTCGGCGCCTGTACGTTGGGGTTCATCCCGGTGAACGAGAGGGCTCCGCCTAAGGGTGGGGGGACAGGTTCTGACTGTTGTCTGTGCTAACATGCCCCTCCTGGGGACTCCCTTGTTCTGCTGGGAGACTTCAACGCTCACGTGGGCAATGACAGTGAGACCTGGAGGGGCATGGTTGGGAGGAATGGTCACCCCGATCTGAACTCGAGTGGTGTTCTGTTGTTGGACTTCTGTGCTCGTCATGGATTGTCCATAACGAACACCATGTTCAAGCATAAGGGTGTCCATATGTGGTAAAAAATAAAAAAAGAGTTAAAATGCAAAACAAATGAGTGTGCCCCATCTACAGAGACTAGTAGAACAATTTCACACTGATTTTGGGTCAATAGGTCACATGACCTGGGAGCTATTGACCAAAAATACTCAATTTTAACTTAAAAAATTGCTAAAATATAGAAAAAGAGTTAAAATGAAAATCAAATGAGTGTGCCCCATCTACAGAGACTAGTAGAACAATTTCACACTGATTTTGGGTCAATAGGTCACATGACTTGGGAGCTATTGACCAAAAATACTCAATTTTAACTTAAAAAATTGCTAAAATATAGAAAAAGAGTTAAAATGAAAATCAAATGAGTGTGCCCCATCTACAGAGACTAGTAGAACAATTTCACACTGATTTTGGGTCAATAGGTCACATGACTTGGGAGCTATTGACCAAAAATACTCAATTTTAACTTAAAAAATTGCTAAAAAATAAAAAAAAGAGTTAAAATGAAAATCAAATGAGTGTGCCCCATCTACAGAGACTAGTAGAACAATTTCACACTGATTTTGGGTCAATAGGTCACATGACCTGGGAGCTATTGAAGAAAAATACTCAATTTTAACTTAAAAAATTGCTAAAAAATAGAAAAAGAGTTAAAATGAAAAACAAATAAGTGTGCCCCATCTACAGAGACTAGTAGAACAATTTCACACTGATTTTGGGTCAATAGGTCACATGACCTGGGAGCTATTGACCAAAAATACTCAATTTTAACTTAAAAAATTGCTAAAATATAGAAAAAGAGTTAAAATGAAAATCAAATGAGTGTGCCCCATCTACAGAGACTAGTAGAACAATTTCACACTGATTTTGCATCAATAGGTCACATGACCTGGGAGCTATTGACCAAAAATACTCAATTTTAACTTAAAAAAATTGGTAAAAAAAAAAAAAAAAAAACGATCTCAATATAATGAGATACTATCTCATTATATTGAGTTACTATCTCATTATAATGAGATAGTAACTCAATATAATGAGATAGTAACTCAATATAATGAGATACTATCTCATTATATTGAGTTACTATCTCATTATAATGAGATACTATCTCATTATATTGAGTTACTATCTCATTATATTGAGATAGTTTTTTTTTTTTTTTCTTACAGCGTGGCGGAAACGGGCTTCCATATCTCAGCGATCATTTTGAGTCCAGTAAAAAAAAAATTCAGTTAGTAGCAGCCAATCAGAAGTCAGGTTTGTATGGAAGCAGCTATAGTCCCGCCCACCGAGTTTGATGGGTGAAGTTGACATTTTTAAAGGATTTCATGATGAATCTGCAGCGCCGATGGCATCAAATAAATACATAAATGTGAAATAAATTAGTGAAATGATGAAATATAAATTAACCTATTTTTTAAAATGACATTTAACTATTGATTGCCATAAGTTAGACATTTATATTTAATTATATAATTGGAAATTTAGCTATGCATTTAATTTTATAATTCATAATTTAATGTTACATTTAATTGTTTATTGCTGTATTTCATAGAAGGACCGTTTAATTATTTGAGGAAACATTTAATAAAATGTTTATTTATTTAAATGTAAAATTTAATTATCTTATGGTAGATTTGTTTTATTTTGTGTTTCATTTAATTAGTCATGTATTTAATGGTCTATTAAATAAATAAATGGTACATTTCTTTATTTCATTATACATTTATTTATTTTAAGTTTGATTTAAAATAATCATTAGATTTTTTTAATGGTGTATTAAATGAATAGATGGTACATTTAATTATTGAATGGGCCATTTAATGGTGCATGTATTTATTCATAGTACATATAATTATTTTATTTTATAGCTCAACCAGTTTGTTAAGCTGTTGTTGGTATATCCATCCTGTGGCAAAGGTTCATATTTGTTTCCCTTATCTTCCATTAATCACTGCTGTGTTTCCCTGCTTCCTCCTTCCTACAGGGACCACAGCAAGATCCTGGTTGGCGACGGCCGCGGTCGGGTGTTTATCTGGTCTGTGAGCGACCAGCCTGGCCGCTCGGCGGCTGACCATTGGGTGAAGGACGACGTGGTGGACAGCTGCTCTGGCTGCACGGTCCGCTTCTCCTTAACAGAGCGACGCCACCACTGCAGGAACTGCGGGCAGCTCTTCTGTCAGAGGTAAGACGATTACCCATCACAGTTCTCACAGGCTTTGTTCTTTTGATCCACTGATCCTCTGGTCTTAAAGGACATTTAGGAGCTTTAAAGTTAATCTTTATCTACTCCTGTTTTTAACCTTTATCATGTTGGAAAGCCCACCTGTATCCCAACTTTAAACTATCTAGCTTCAGTTTGAGCCTTTTTCAGGGTTTCCGCAGGTCATTAAAAATCATTATCTCATTTAAGTATTATCTTTTAAATTAAGGCCTGAATTGGCATTAAAATTTATTAAATGTGACAATTGTGGCATTTAAAATGCTTTATTTAAAAAAAAAAAGGGTTATGAAAACATTTTTTACAGATCTATATCTTGATATGTTTACGGTTGATCATAAAGCCGTATTTTCAGAAAAGAAGCTTGAGAAAAAGCTAGAGAATCGGAAAATGCTAATTTCAACAAAAGTGGCTGGAAAGCGAGGAATGCGGGACATGGCTGCAGCCTGTCGACCGTAAAGATGACGGAGGATTTCGCCGTGTTATATATGAGAGTCATGGGTACTTGTTGATAGCATTAAAATTATTTCTAAGAGCATTAAAAAGCATTAAAATACAGTTACTAATTCCTGTATAAACCCTGTTTTTGCTAAAACAGCTAAAACCATCAAGTAAAAAATACTTACACCCAAAATAAATCTCTAGTATTTTCCCCTCGCTGAACAATAACTTAACCACACAATATTTCACCTGAAATAAACAAAATGGAATGACTAAATGAATCAGATGAGCTTTTAAAAATGCAAATCTGCCTAAACCAGCTTTGCTGCCGTGCTAGATTTTATTCTTCTTATGATTCAGTCGAAGACCGACAAGATCTTTCTAAGGACTTGATTTTTTTTGTGGCTTTTTTGGTTTTGGTGCACCTCAGGGCTTTCTAATTGCCTTTTGTTATTTTGTATTTAATTTATGTTAAAAAGGTAATAAATTAGGTTTCTTTTTTATTGGTATTGTACATTGTTGGGGGTTAGTAGAAATAGAGAGAAACATTTGCAAATGCAGTAAGAAAGAGGCAAGAGTTGGAGCTGGTAATGGAAAAACCTCCACGTTTTGTTGCCTTGTGTTGCAGGTGCAGTCGCTTCCAATCTGAAATCAAAAGGCTGAAGATTTCCTCTCCCGTGCGAGTGTGTCAGAACTGCTACTACAACCTTCAGCATGAGCGCAGTGTCGACGACGGCGGCAGAAACTGAGCCCCGCCTCTTTTACATCTGCCTCTGTTTGGGGAGCAACCGCTTAAAGAGTGCTTCATCCCTCCATCTGCCCTCCATGTAATATATAAACATCCCCGAATCCAACCTTTCTAACCCTCTCAAATGTAAGAATGTTTAGTTTGCATGGAGATGGGAGCCGGATCAAAAGGAAAATGTGGGAAAGAAACTCAGCCATCACTTTAACCACAAGCACTCATCATCAGGAGGAAAAGAGAGCAAAGAGGCTCGTCTGAATCAATCACGCGCCATTTTCACTTAGCAGCGGGAGCAGATATCGTCCTTCAGTCACGGGAAACAGTAAAAGACTTGTTTATAGTGTAAATACTTAACCACGGCCTTTTTAACTCTGGAAACACGATGGAAATTTAAGTTCTTTAGGAAAACAAGAGCTTGCTTGTAACTAAGCGATGTGACTAACCACTCCTTGCTTTAAAAGAAAAACAACAGATTGTGTGTAACCTGCGTCACAAGCCACAGCGATTCCAGAGATGGAGGGAGATGAATGTCAAAAGTTTTTAGTCTGTGGGTCGAGGTATGCAAAAATCTTTTTTTTATACTCAATTAATTTCCACATGATGTTGTTTACAAGATTTAAGCGAGATGGATCATAGAATTACCCTTTTTTTTTTTTTGCCAAATAGAACTTATCTCCTCTGTCCTTATATGTTTTCCATTTGGAGGATCTTTATCATGGTTGCTGCTGCTTTCTCTGAAGACTAGATGCTATCAGTTTAAACTGTCAACATATCACTCAGTTTTGTTTCTTCTGTTTGTAGGAGTTCTTCAAAAAGCCTGACATTTTTGTTTTTTCACATTGCCATGAAAGTAGCTTTTAAAATGCACATAGAAAAAGGGGCATCTTAGTTTTTTTCACATTAAAAAAACCTTTACATGTATTCAGCTCTCAACACAAGCTGTGTTGGCTACTGCTCCAGCTGCAGCCAAATTTAAAAGCATACATAAAAGATCCATCATTAATATGTTTTATCTAAATAGCTTGGACAAAAACCGCTGTGTTCAAAAATGTATGGGTTATCGTACTCTGTTATGAAGTGATCCTGAATAAGTTTATTGTGGTCGAATGTTGTCGTCCTAGCACAGCAGACATGGAGAAGGGAATTTTAAATATTCCTTTAAACCAAATAATGATTTAAAAATCATTATTTGGTAACTTCTATCAGTTCAAAGTTATCCAAAAACAGGAAAGGTTGCCACATTTTAACAAATTTTTTTTTATTAAATACAGTGTTTATTCCACTAATGTCCCGTTTTTAAATTTGAAATTAAAGAACAAAATTTGATGAATCCCCAGCTTATCCATAGTTATACTTGTGATGATGTTTTATTTAGTTTACATTGTTTTGAAATTTTATTTGCTCTGAGTTGGATCTGACAGGTACAACGGTTTGCTGATGACAAAACCATATTTTTTAAACATTAAGTAATCCACCATCTGGACTTTTAAAGCTAAAAAACTTTTGGTTACTAATCCCAGGTTCGGACCAATGATTATAACTATGAGGTGAAGAGTGAGTGAGAACAAATTCCAGTGAGGAACTTCCAAAGCCGGACGTCAGAACAGAGCCTCTGCTCAGGTGATTCAGGTATTTCATCAGGTTGAGTCTCTTTGGAGGTTTTACGGTACTTGACCTTTCCTACTATTAGAAGACCAGGGTAAAAAAAATAAAAAATTGCTGGTGAGACCATACATCTATTTTGTAGTACAGACATCTTGCGATCCTTCAGAATAAACTGAAGATTGTCGCCATCTTTAAGTGTTATCACCATACCAATAATAAGGAAAGCTAAAGATAATTTAACCCAAAAAGTTATGATCTGGGGTCTGCAACCTGTGATTTTGGAGCCTCATTAGGCTCTTTGAACTCTTTGGTGGCAAAAAACATAATAGCAAATATAACAAGTGACTGTGAAATGTTTTAGATGTAGAGTTAATAAAAGGACAAGAGTTTAAATGTTTTATCTGTATTTTTTTTCATTCCTTATCTGCTTTGGATTTACAAAAGGACACTAATGATATGTGCTCCGTGTTTATTTTACATAAATATTAACATTTTATATAAAACATGAAAATAGAAATTTTATTTTAATACTTTCTCTGTGTTCATATTAATAAATTTATTTTTTTTTCTTTCAAAGGTACCTGCAGGTTTTGTATCTCTAGAGCAGGGGTCTATAAACCTGCTGCTCCTGAGCTGTAAGTGACTCTTTGGATTTTTAAAAATGATTTGAAGAACCAACTAATGGGTCTAAATAGAGATATTTTTTAATTCTGGTTTAATATTATAACACTTTACTACAGAATAACCCTAAAATTACCATTAGGTTGGAAACTGAGGGTTATGTTGCTTGACCCTTTAAAGAAATGAAGAAATGAAATTGCTTTTGTTAAAAATTGAGAACAAATATAAAGATACAATTGGCATTTATAAAATCTTTTTAAAGATTGTGTAATGTTTTGAACATTTCTTTCAGCGGAACTGAGGGTTAAAAGTTCAAAGTGCCCCTTTGGATTTTGAAGGTTGCAGATCCCTCATCTAGACCATTTTCCTTTACAGGATAGAAACAGTTCTTTGGATTAGAAAGATGACCCCTAATCCAAATCTAACATAATCCCACATTTAATTTTGTCTGCCGTTTATTTTTTTACTTTAGATGAGCTGTTTTATTGCAGTGTGTGATTCAGCAGTTTGATGTCAAGAATCTGGTTAAATGTTTTTATTTTATTTATTTTCATTTTATTTTCCATACCTTTCGTTTTTTTTAATCCGTTTCCTGTTGTTATCAGTGTCCTTTTAATGCTTCAGCTTTACATTCAGTGAAAGCTTGTTTTGGAGAAATCCGATCTCCCACAGATCCCAACTATTCGTCATAAAGTCACTCATTCCTGTTACCTTTGGTTGTTTCCGTACTGTAGCTCATAGTGCAATCATTATCATCACCGTGGTGACGCCATCGCTCCAAAAAAAGGCCGAGTTCCTTTGCACAAACAAAACAAAAAAAAACGAGCAAAAAGAAATCAGGAGTTTTTACTGCAGCAGGTTTACGTTTTCATTTCAATAGAGAGGTGCATTTCACTGCAGATAAATGAACTGTACAGAGAATTTATGCAATTATAACTGCGTTTAGATTTTTTTTTATGATTTCAGCAAGTTTTGTTACTTGTTGCATGTTTTATTAACACAGCTGACTTTCTGTGTCAGTGTATTGTACATGTTAGATTGTTTTTTTTTTTTGTTGTTGTTGTTTTGTTTTTTTGCTGGAATTATGCTTTTTAACTCTGAGGCATTGTCTGATGAACAGCCGACCGACACAGATCCCATCCCCGGCTCCGGGTGGACTTTTGTACTCTTTACGAAAGAAAAAAAAACAACAACTATGAACTGATTATGAAATAAAGAAGAAAAACCTGACTTATTTTGGTGGTCTTGTATTAGACTGCGTTACTACAGTATCTGGTGTGCAATCTGTGATAGCTGAATGTTCCTTGTATCTTTGTGTTCACTACATCCTACAAAAGAAAAATGGAAAAACAAAAAAAAAGTAGAGTAACATCCACGTCCCTGTTACAGGAGCAAAATGGTTCAATAATGCAATAGAGCCGGCACTTATTCTTTTTCATTTGAGTTCAATAAATAATTGCTGTTTACCACCAAAGGTCCTTGTTTCTGATTTCATTTTCCCATCTGGGACCCCTGGCCCCCAGCTAATAAAGGGGTGTTAACAAAGATATTAACATCAGACGGGGGTATACAGTATAAGCAATATTGCAGATGTTACTGTAGTACCAGAATTGCTTGTGTTTATTGGCCAGGGGTGGTAAAATTGATAAGGAAGCCCAAAGACGCACATAAGAAAAAACAAATCTGGATAAGTAAAGTTCCACCGGTTTTTTGTTAGTTATTTTTCTGCCCTGAAAGGTAAAAAAAAAAAAAAAAAAGAGATTTAATGGCTAATTTTTGCATTTCTTTGCATTTGTAACACTCTGTTCTGCCACTAGAGGCGCTAAAGTGAAAGCACATACCTTCACTAACAGGTGTATTCTTCATATGTTTGATGTTCAGAGGCTTTGTTTCTAAGAATTAGTGCCCAGTCGTTCAACTTGACTATTTCAAAGCATAATAAGGTAAAATATACTGTGCATTTATTGGACAAGGTATGTGGTTGTATAAACCAAAGGATGAAAAAGTCTGACTTCAGGTATTAAACCTCTTTGTGGTATGTTTCCTCAGTTTATCCATATATATATATATTGGATTTAATATAAAATCTAAACTGTTTTCAGATTTCCGCTTCAAGGAAACCTTAGTATCAGTATGTGAGTATGCATACACAGGGGTGTGTTAAAAACTGAATTTACTTTAGGGCATCACAGCCTCTAGGAGTAATAGATATTGATGTAAAGACGGGGATGCTCCTTAATTTAAGTTAAAGGACACACCTTTAGAAATGTTCTCCTTTTGACTTTGTCCACAGAATATTTCCCCAAAGGTGCTGAGGATCTTCTATATTTCAATTAGAAGTCTTGAAGCCTGATAAATGGGTTTCTAACCCTTTACCAGATTATGCTGATAGAGAGGTTCTGTTCATGGGGATTTTATGATTTTTATTGCAATAATTGGGTCAAGTTAACCAAAGAAGTTTGGCTCTTCAGCGTTAATATAAATAAATGCATGTTTGTATGGGCTGCTCAGTAGCGCAGCAAGAAGGTTGCAGGTTCGAATCCCGGCCCGGGATGGAGACTTTCTGCATGGAGTTTGAATGTTTCCCCGTCAGAAGATGGATGGATGGATGGCATGTTTGTACAGTTAATCAAGGCCTGGTAGGTTCAGTAGGCTTTTTTTTTTTTTTTTTTTTTTTACCTTAAGAACCAAATTATGAGAAAAAAAAAACATCTTGCATTTGATCTTATTAATTCTGATTTAAGAGTTTGGCTCAGCTACATACAACATTTAACTGTGACAAAACCAATCAAAAGAAGTTGTGTTTCCTATGACTAATGCAGTGTTTAAACAATCACAACTCATGTTGTATGATTTTTTTTAGATTTTATCACATCATGTGCTTTAGGATTTTATTTTGTAAACGTATTTATTTATAGCTAAAGCACATACAGATTTCCATCAGGAAACACAGAAGAGACATGGTAGAAATTAAATTTCATTATGTTTTGGGTTTGAATTTTAATACAGCATATTAAACTCTCTAAAATGCAGGATGTATATGTGGTTTTTCTAGCATTTGTTTGAAAAATCCAGCACTTTTCTGGTTTAAATGATGCAACATTAGCCAAAAGCATGATACTACCCCCAACATGCTTAGCATGGAGCATGTGATGCGGTTAAAGGCAGGACTCTAGTAGAATGTATGAAAATGTCCTGTTCATTTTGCAGAACTTGTAAGTTTCAATAATTCAAATGTGTAAATTGATTAACTAATACTGAAAACTATATTGTATTGAACTGAGTTATAATCTGTACAGCTTGATCAGGAATGCTTAATGTGTTTTCTTCTGGATTGGATCTTTCAGTTCAGTTCAGTTTTTTTTATTCCTTTAGATATTATTTGGAGCAATATGAGGAAATCTGAGTATAACTGCTGCATTTAAAGAAGTCAGTCCTTAACTGAACAGCTTTTATCTTTAGTTTATTTTATGTTTTATGCAGAATGTGTGTCTGTGTTCTGAAGTCATTTTTCACTGCTTGTTACTGCAGAGAGAGAAGCCAAGCAGGTTAACCCAGTATGAACTGAATGGAGGGTGAGTCTGCAGCAGTGGATAAAGTAAAAAAAAATAAAAACATACTCACACCGGAACTAAGATTTCCTGCACCTCAAAGTAAAACAAATCCTCCAATAGTGCATATTTACTAAATCTATAATGCCCAAATGTACCACAGTTAATAAAATAGCACAAATGTGATCATTTAATGGCCTCTAAGGTTAAATAGGTACAAATGAAAGTATGCAATTCTATTTTATCTATCTTTTTGCAGTATATTATATAATTATAATAGGGGAATTTAATATTCAGCATTTTTAAGCTGTCTGTGATTTTACTATTCACTATTATGAAATTAAGTCCCCAGTGTGCAAGTTTAATAAAAATCTGTTTACACTGGATCAATTAAGAAATGATTTCCATTCAGAGTAAAGTACAAAAAAGTTAATTAATATTGAAAATCACTGTGGATAGACGAAAAGGTCTGAACAATAAACTGAATTATTGTGGCCCGCAGAGAATGAAAAGAAACAACTTGTAGAAAAATACAAATAGAATTTTGAACTCAGACATGTCATGTACTTTATACTATTTTGTTCCAGTGCCACGATGATCAGCCCATGTTTCTGCTAACATGTTTAATACTCCAAATCAGCCTTTATAGTGATAGACTGTTTGTGGTTTTGGCTCAGTTGTCTTTTCTGGATCATGCTCCCTACATTCGCTGTCACAGCACAGTAATACCAATTCATTAAAAGTCACCTGCTGCTGAAAAATGAAACAGACATCTAGGTGCATGTCCTAGATATATCTGTCAAACACCAACTATAGCTGCAATTCACAGTTTTGGAGCCTCCACTAAATTTCTGAATGATTTCCCATTTACTTTCACTTCTGTTTCTACTACAGATTTACCTTCCACATGACTTTCCTTTAATATGATGAATGCTAAACTGTGTGGGCAGCCAGCTTATTCATTAATGGCCCAAGTGTGTCTTTCTGTTTTTGGGGGTTGAGTGAATATCTGTTAAACAACTGTCCTCCTCATGTTAGTGTTGCACCGATGCCCGATACCTGGATCATGGCTTTGTCAAGCTGCTGCCTACCTTTGTGAAAGAGGAAAAAGACAAATACAAAGTGAATCAAGTAGAAGTTTTTATTGCCTACCTGGAATGGTTGACAATAGTTGAATAAACTTTTGGCTCATAAAATGGTATCGGTGCCCTATTTGTTGGTACTCGCCTATACCAATACCACCATTTTAGAGCTGGATCGGGGCCCCGCACGATACTGGTATCGGTGCAACACTACCTTAAACATTTCTGACTTAAAAAGCAAATTTTTGGTCTACTGTTTTATTTTAAAATCCCGTGGTCCTGGGTAGTTGAATTTGACAGAGTCTTAGTTATTATAAAAATGTAAGAAATAGGCAAAATCTAACTCTTTGTGATGACGACTGTTGCTTTTCCTAATTATAGTTAAATAATTATTGTTAGAGTTAAATAAAACAAATGAACAATTTAGTTACTTAGCTTAGTTATTAGTTTATTATTCTCGCCTAAACTGTAATTTTACAGATTTTTTTTAGCTTTTATTTTTAAAGAGCCTACCGGAAGTAGTTTGTCTATATATTCCGTGTCTTCGCACCAGCAGGAGGAGAAGCAGGGACTGCGGTGGTAAACAAACAGGTATAGAAGCGGCCCCGCACAGCGGAGCTCTTCTGTCGCCAACGGTTGACTTTCAGGGAATTTGACCTCCTTCACGGACCGCGGAGGAATTCAAACCGGTTCTAAAATCCCCCCGAACTCCGACTGCCGAGACTCCAAGGTTCGCCCTCCCCACCTCCCTGCCCTGTGAGTCGGCTTATGTGACACATTAGCGTCCCGGGGGGCGAGACGAGCGAAACATGACTGAGCTGAGGAAGCGAGGCGGCGGCCGCGGAGGAGGAGACCCGGACACCGCCGAGAATATCAGCGACAAGGTGAGCTACACCTTTCGGCTGGAAGGAGACACTAGTATCACCGTTTGGGAAACCGGTCCCGGCTGGTTGTTGTTGTCGGACAGCAGGGTTAGCCGGGCTAGTTAGCTGTCCGGTTAATCCAGCTTCAGCCGCAGGGAAACGGCTCTGAGTGGGACGATCAGCTGCATGTCACGGCTGAGTGCCTTCAGGTGGACTCTGAAATGTCAGGTTCATTTTAATTTTGAAAAGGAATCTTTGAATTTAACACCGTGAAGTAATCTTTGATTAAATTAATCAATTAAAACACGACCTAATTAAATGCTCTGATTGATAAGAAGCCTTCTATATCTTTTTAACCCTTTATAGGGCAGGTTATTTTTTGATCACTTACAAATGGAGTCCCCCCCCCTCCCTCAGTGAGGTCTAGAAGCACCAGATCTATATGCAGCCATTTAGCAAAGATACTTCTACATGGCTGTACATCTGTACATCTTATTTTGGCATTTGACCAATTAGATGAGACCTTGAATGATATATTACCTGCTGTAAATTAAGTTAAAAAAAATATAAAAATAAATAACAAGCCAAGAAAAAAGGTAAAAAGCTTGTCGAAAAGTTAAAAGCTAAAGTTAAAAAGTTAATAAGCTTAGTCAACAATTATATTTAGTGTTATAACCTAAAAAAATGTAAGTGCCAGTATCAGCATTAATGCCTACGGAAGAGGATTAGGGCCACTGGGGGAAAAAAAGTTAACTCATTTTTAAATGTCTGTATATGTGTGTGTGTATATGTATGTATGTATATATATACATAACATTATTATGGGGAAAAAAGTCAGAATTTTGACTTTAATCTCAGATTTCTGACTTTTTTTCTCAGAATTCTGACCTTAATCTCAGAATTGTGGATCTTATTGTAGATGGGCACCATGAAGGAAGAGATGTGGGAGCACTGAGCTTCACTGACAAAGATGTGAGTTGTTTGGTAGGGCCAGTGACACATTGGTGGAAAATTACCGAATTAAGCTACTTTTTACGTGCATGAGGGATCCCTGGTGATGCTATTTCATTAATGGAAGAGCAGAAGGTGATTAAAACAAGAGAGCTAGGTTAGTCTCTGAAACAGACATGGTTATGGCTTGATGCTAACATGTTTGTTAGCTGTCAGATTTCAGTCAGAATTCTGACTTTTTTCTCATATTATACTGAAATATAATTAAAAAATCAGTTAACTTTTTCAATTTTTTCAGTGACCCTAATCCTCTTCCATAAGTGCGTCTAAGGTTATGTTGTACAAAAAAAATGGATTTCTCACTCTGTTTTTCATTAATTTCTTATAGACGCGCTTTTGTTATTTTTCAATACATTGACATGACATTTTGCCAGCAAAATGTATAATAAGGTCCTGTCCTGGATTCCAATAACACTATTGGCTTGAACACTGGAAGAATTTTAAATATAGATTAGTCATTTTTTTCTTAAAATAAATGCATTTGTTCTTAGATTGAGGAGATAAAAGAAACATTTAAAACATTTAAAAGCTTTTCCAGATAAATAATCTGAACAAGAAAGAACAGATTCATATCCACTTCAGATTAAATCTGGTTAAGTTTTCAATTAGTGCACTGATTGCAGGTTTTTGCCAATTCTCAATGTTTAAAAAACCTGACAGGCCGATTAATTCCAGTTTTGACCGGTACCAATGTTTTCATTCTTATCTTACTGAAATACATTAATAAATACCCTTAAAAAACAATAACTTCTGAATGAACTTTTCTGGAATGTAAATCACAGTTTAGAGCATTGGCAGTGGGTGATTTTCAGACCTTTGCATGGGTGGATAAGATTGTTGGAAAACATCAGCTTTACATCTAAGTATCGGTCGATCACAGACCTCCTGAAATTGAGGAAATCAAGACAGATCAATTGACCGGCAGATACAGTAAATCGATGCATCCTACTTTTTTATGTTTTAGGAAATTTTATTATGACCAGATGATTGGATAAAATTTAGGCAATATCCACCTGTCCTTTCTATTCCATAGTATTGTTTTTACATTTGGGTCGAACACTGAGAATCTCTGATAAGCTTCTCTCTCTTGGAACTTTGGCTCATTCCTGCCGTCCAAACTGCTGAGGTTTGCTGAGCATCTCTCACATTCTCAGCTCTTTAGATTTTCCAGCCTTCTTGCCACTTTGGAACTATAATTAAGGCCAATTTATGCTTATGACACATAGCCTCTGCAACCGTCAAATCTGTCTCTGTACGCGACCACGCCCCCCGAGCAGAGGCTCTACTGTGATTGGTCCTTGGTATGCCTTGGTCCTTGGTATCTGTGTGGTCGTCCCTCTTGATTCGGTGCCTCGGCGCGCCATTTTTAAAAACCAGAGGAATAACTACAAAAGACATCCTACATGTCCTCCTTTGTCTTTTTGCAAACTCCATTAACAGAACCTGTTCCTCTTCAATTTCTAGCAACTCTAGATCCATCTCTGTGACAGTGATATCTTGCAGACGCGCCATTGTTGTTTTGGAAGATAAACACTCCCACTGGTGCCGCCGAAGTTCTTGCGAGTTCTCGAATAGGCTCCCCCTTGCGCTTTGGCGGGAAACTGCTGTGTCCAAAGAAATTCCAGACCGACGGTGCAGAAGAATACCTGCAAAACTGGTTCGCTATCAGACCCAAGCGACATTTGATGTGTGCGGTTGCAGAAGTATAATCCGCCCTTTAGGGTCATTGCAGTGTAAGCGGTGCGCTTTTGCTCTGAGAAGGTTGCAAGCATCCGGTTCGATCCCCACAGCCAGGACTCTCTGTTTAATAATAAGACCCTTAACCCCACACTGCTCCCCTGGCACCCCACAATGGCAGCCCACTGCTTCCCAAGGGGATGGGTTAAATGTAGAGAGTGAATTTCTCCATTGTGAGATCAATAAAATTTAATTTCTATCCTTTTTCTATATGTGTAGTTCCTACTAAAGTCCATATTTTCATTTGGCTGCTTAAACACTTTAAGCGTTCCTTCCTTAAGATAGCATCTATTCTGTGAAGCATAGAAGACTCTCCTCCTTCAGAACATCCCGTAATATAAAAGTAGAGCAATAATTTCCTCCACCTTTCCTGCCCATGTGGGCACTAGGCTGTTTTCACTGTTCATATAAACACAAGGTGTCCTGCCTTCATTCTGAACCTATCTTCATCCTGAGGAGTATAATAGCTGATTTAATATCCGCTCGTACTTCGATCTAACCATTTGAGCAGTAGACGTGATATTTTCATGCAGATGTGGGCCAAATATTGGCAATAACCCACTGATATTGTGGCTAAATTCATTTGATTTTTCAGTGATGTCAATATGAGGGAGTAGTTTTTTTTTTTAAACTGTTCTTTAAAAAAAAACAAAAACAAAAAAACATTGAGGTAATTTAACTCAGATGAAGGGATTTTAACCAATCAGTAAACAATAGATGGATTCATAGCATCGTCACAATTTTAAAGGCGTGATGGGTTAAGAGAAGGTGGAAATTTTAACACAAAAATTTCTGCATATTTCCATTATTTTTTTTTTTTTGGCATTTGGAAAATTGGGATATTTTCGGTTATCCTAGCTCGACTGAAGCACTTTTAGAAAGCAACCCAGACCATCTTTAAGGGTTAAGAAAAGTTTGTTTTTTTTCCACTGAAAGAAATGTTTTTGATGGGATTAGATGGGGATTCAAACCAAACCAGTCAGCTGCCTTTATAGGTCTAATTATCTTCTTGTAGTCACTTGAAAACATGGTAGAACTTGAATTTCAACTTTAACAGGGTTTGAGAGTTTAGCTGTGATCCATAGTAAAGCGCGTTGGGCAAGACGTTTCTAGATTCAAGCAGAGCCGACTACATCAAGGTGTTCCAGTTGTTACTTTAGTGTGAATCCTCCACTTTTTTATTGGGAAATGGTTGCAGATTAGAGGAAATGGACTCTGCGGTTAGGAGATGCTTAACTTGGGGATTTTAACTTGTTTCAAAGCAAAGTTTCTCATCGTTTCTCACTGGCGAGACTCAGGACGTGTTTTTGGGGCGTGTAGACGATTACTTTGCTTTGGTTCACACCCTGCAGCTAAATCCCAAATGAACCTTTTTCACATTTACAGGGTGGAAAAAAAAAAGTTTTGCATTGGTGATCAATACAAGTGTTATTATTTTAATGTTGATTCTTTAGGCCTATATCTATTATCTTTCTCCTTTAACAATATTAAAAATTACCCAATAATAACAAACATAACACAAGCCTAAATCTAAACTGCTGATTGTGCTAATGAATCGGTGTCAGCTAGGGGTGAGTATTGGCATCATTGATATACAATACGCATCAGGATACTTGGGTCCCAATACGCCATTTTATCTATAATATCACTAATATATAGTGATATTTCTATATCATTAAATATTCCAATATTTTTCCCAGTTATTAAAATTAAATGTTTAGATAAAAAAGCAAATGCTCTAAATGTTCATCAGAAGATATTGATCATTTAATTATTTGGTATCCATGTTGTCAGTCCACGTCTTCCACTGTTATTACCTCAACTACCGATATTGCGCTGCGGCGCACAGTAAACGGCTCCTCTGCGCTATCTGCCAGTGGCGGTGCAAAGAGATCCCATTTTCCCTCATTGTTTTTAGGTAAAAATGGTTAGTTTTTTAAAAATCGATATTAGGAGCTGAAATATCAATATTATATCGGGTAGCCGAAAATCACTATATATCGCCAAAAATATTTTTCCCAGGGTTAGGGGGATAAATAAAAACTTCCAGTCTTTTCTCTAACTAACCTTTAAAAACCCGAAATTTATCTTGATTCCAGATGTGTAGTTAAAGGAATAGTACACCCAAAACATGATTAGCCTTCATTTTCTACTCACCTCCATGCTGAACAACACTCTGGAGTACTTTTTTGATATCTCAAATGCATCTGGAGATCTGGGAGGCTTCTTGCTGTCTGCTGACATTCAAATAATGGAGGTCCATGGCGCCCGAG